CTCCAAGGCCCCGCCGCCACCCCCGCCACAAACTATCCCACCCTTGCAGGCGCCGCAAATAAACCACTCACAATATGTGAATTCTGCTCTGCCACCTCAAGTTGCCCAGATATCACCCACGGTTCCCAAAATGATTCCCCAGATGCCACCACCAAAGCTCCAGGTACCTCCTCAACAGGTTCTGCCACACTCCAACAACCCTTTCCCTTTTGCTCCTCAAACCACACCCGTGTCTACCTCAGCGCCTCAAGAATTGCCTCAAGCACCTGCGATGCCAGACAGGCCCCAGAGGTCGAAGTCGCAAAAGAGCTCGAACCCTTGGGGTGAATATCGACCTCCCCCAGTGAGTAGAATCAAGCTGAACCCACAGGATGTTGTTCAAAGCATGATGAACCTTTCTATGCAAGACGACGTAAATCTCATTGACTTCGATAACCCCAGGCGCAGTGAGCAATCGTCCGATTTGCAATTCATGGACTTGGAAGTTTCAAAGAGTCGAGGAGACTCTGCTATGAAAGTGAAACTGAAGAGGTTGTCGCTGATACCAGACTTTGACGGTGGAGTACAGGAGGAGGTGGTGGATTTCGCCAGTGATGATGAAAATCCAGCTAATAACTCGCAAATGAACCGGATGAACATCCGTAGATCGCTCAAACACTCGCGGCGCCTGGGGGAATATAAACGCAGTGACAGTGGTGCTGAGAAGCTGAAGCGAAGACTGTTTTTCGGAACTTGAATAATTCATAGTTATAATGCACATGATAGAGAAGTGTTAAGACACGTAACAAACGACACGTGGATCACAACTTGGATTTAAAGCAGAGATTATCAATTGTATGGAATTTCCTGCAAAGTACTAGAGTCAAGTTGTACTATTCACGTACATTGCACGGAACTGCTGACAAGAGTCTGTAGTAGCTCCGCTTCGCTAAAGAATCAGAGTCTTCAACAATGATGTTGTAATTCCCAGAGTGTTCCTTGTATGCTTGCACTAAAGCCTACCCTGCCCAGTCACCTGGGCTGCCCTCAAGAGTAATAACACTCCTGAAAAGAACAGGGCAGTTATCGAGGATATTTCGTCAGCGTCAATGGTGACGGCTTGCAATGGCCGTGTGAGTTGGTACGGTACAACATAGAGTGGTTAGCCTTAAATGGCTCTGACTTGATGGTAAGTCCGAGACTCTTTACTTGAATACCTTTCGGCAACCACTAAAGCTTGATGGAACCTGCTACAGTAAAAAGAAAAAGAAAACCCACGGCGGGATTCGAACCCACAATCGCTCGATTAGAAGTCGAGCGCCTTAACCATTGGGCCACGCGGGCAAATTTTCAGATTTCAAAAATTGTTGTTTTCAATCAAATTGTCTCAAATGTACAGACCAAGATTACCATGCATAGCGTCAAAACAGTTGAATTTGAGTATAATTAAATCCACTACCAGTTCCGTTATGGTTGGAAAGTTGAATATGCTCTTATCTGATCATGGTCGTCTTGTTTGAGTGTTCCAACCATGAGCACTCACCTTGCCTCCACGCTTTTACATGCTACAACATCGAAGTGGCACGTGTGTATACTTCCACGGCTGTAGTACCAGTCTATCAACTACTTGTAGGTCTCCGGGCAAGCTAGAAATATGATCGAGGTAACCTAAATAAATGATGAAAAATTATTCAAAATCAAAATGAAATACAAGAGAAGCTCAACCACAATAAGGTACAAATTTTCCAAGCCACTAGAGAGAATGTATTGATATTAAATCTTATTGAACTTCGCATAAATCTTTAATATATTAGTACATAGCATCATTATGTAAAGTTCATAAACTACAATTTGGGGAGGTTGCAAAATGTTTCCCCTCTTATTATCCTTGCTTTTCAGGGCTAAATAGAGATATTAGTGTAGTCAGGTCCTGTTCCTAATGGCGAACTACTTTTATATGATGTCCGTGTGAAATCACCAAGTAAGTTTCATACTGTGGGGTTCTCGCTGATTGGAGTGAATGTGAAACGATAGAAAATTTATACGTGCCGGGTGTCAGGGTGTGCTTGATATTGTTAACAATCATGGGCGAACACATGGAACACGTGGCTGATGGAAAGCTTTTCATGAACAGGGTGAACTGTACTCTATTATGCTACTTTATGAGTCATGTGCCACAATAACCTGTCGATACGCAAGCGCTATAGCTTGTCAATTTCGATAAAATGATTAGCAAAATTTTTCAATGAAAACTGTAGTTCCCTCCTTTCAGTATTGAAAGCATTTCTAGAACATGTAGAAGGCTAATTTTATACTTGGATATCTCACACAGGCAATACTTTATGACTCCGATCGTCGCACAAGGCTATCACATCTTTGCGCACCAAGACTTTGCGTGAACGTTACTGGTTGAAATGTCCAAGTTACGTGTTCTTGTCCCAATCAAACGGGTTATCGACTTCGCCATCAAGCCCCGGATCAACAAGGCTGGCACCGGTATTGACACTAAGGGTGTAAAGTTCTCGATGAACCCGTTTTGTGACATCGCTCTTGAAGAGTCGTTGCGTCTCAAGGAGGCCGACAAAGTCGACTCCATCCATGCGGTTTCTATCGGTCCTACTAAGGCCCAAGACATCTTGAGAATAGCTCTTGCTAAAGGTGCCGACAACGCCACTCTCGTTGACGTCGGCGATGAAACGGTTGAGCCGCTTGCGGTCGCCAAGATCTTGAAGAAGATCGTCGAGAAGGAAGACCTGAATATCGTGATTTTGGGTAAGCAAGCCATCGATGACGATGCTAACCAAACTGGTCAGATGTTAGCGGGTTTGTTGAACTGGCCCCAGGCCACTAATGCCTCCAAGGTGGTGGTGAATGGTGATGAAGTGGAAGTCACTAGAGAAGTCGATGGTGGTTCCGACACCCTCAAAGCTAAGTTGCCTTTGATTGTCACCACTGACTTACGTTTGAACGAGCCCCGTTACGCGCTGTTGCCCAACGTCATGAAGGCCAAGAAGAAGCCCTTGACCAAGCTTAAGCCTGCTGACCTTGATGTTGATATCGCGGGAAGATTGGAAACTCTCAAGGTGGAAGAACCTCCCAAGAGGCAAGCCGGGATCATGGTCTCGTCGGTTGATGAATTGGTGCAAAAGTTGAAGGACGCTGGTGCCGTTTAGACATGTATAGATAAATTTTAGTAAACAGTACCGTTCTGTCAGATTATGTTTAGATTCTTCTTCATACCGTGTCGCCCATTGTGGCTCCTCCGGAAAGTCTCAGTTGCGGAAGTTACCATGTTTGACCCCGCATTGTGCGATCTCTACATCAGAGGCAATGTCGGTGGAGGCTGCACTGAAATTCATACTAAAAGCTTTGGAAAATGTTGACATCAAGTCGTTAAAGGCCCCGCTTGTTGTTGGGATCAGTGGTCCTCAGGGACTGGGCAAGTCGTGGCTTACCGTGGAATTGAAGCTGGCTCTAGAGCGGGCACTCCCCGAAGCCATTGTCGTCCAATTCTCCATGGACGATGTATATTTGACGCATGAAGAGCAGTCAAAAGTGACAACGGTGGCGAGAAAAGAAGGTAACGCTTTACTTCAAGGTAGAGGACTTCCAGGAACCCATGATTTGAGATTGGCCACCACCATATTCGAAAAGCTCAAACGGCGAGAACCCGTACAAATTCCGCGGTACGACAAAAGTGCTTTCGACGGAGAAGGTGATCGTTGTCCGGAGCTGCAATGGGAACACGTTGCTTCGTCGGATATTGTACTTTTCGAAGGCTGGTTCAACGGTTTTTGCAGCGTCGACTCGATTGAGTTGCCTTACTTGATGTCAGGCCCCACGTCTGTCGTTCAAAATTACCCCATGTATCACATTGGCGAAATAAATCAGCGGCTTAAAGCATATGAGAGGATCTGGAGTGAGTTCGACAAATTCATCTACTTCAGAACCAATGATGTCAATAACGTCTACACTTGGCGTGAACAGCAGGAGCACGCCTTGATCAAGGAGCGAGGTCGAGGCATGAGCGATGACCAAGTTAGGAATTTTGTGAACCGATATATGCCCGTCTACAGCTTATATTATCGTACGATGTGTGATTCGCGAGTGTGTTCCCCGGGGAATAATTTACAGTTGGATATTAACTTGGATCGTACTTTATCGAGCTCAAGTATACATTAATATTATGTCGTCATATGATTCCCATCAAAAATTGTAGTCTGTATGGTTTGTGGTAAGAGATGCGAACTCGGTCTATCGCGTAAGCCGCATGAACGGCACCCCGCTCATTGGCGGACTAGCGAAGCCCGGACGGCGTTGTAGGAGCGGGTGGTGTCGACTTATGCATATAAGTGGGTTGAATCCGCCACATCTAGACTTCATCTGGTTTTATACCTAGTCTGACTGTGGCTGTATTCGGGACACCTTTCTTAGATAGGGTTACGTAATCATCACTATACACGACTATCGACTACCTTCTTCCCTCATGGTTCGCTTTAAGATGAAAGATGCAATATTTGCGATTTTTATAAAGCGTATGACCTCGTGTGACCATATTAATAAACCACCAACACTAATTGTAATCGGTGATGATCAGCGTAGTAGACTTGACAAACCAAGATAATTCTATCGCATATTCGATCCTAAAGAATCTCACACTAAGAATGCCGCTGTTTTCTTCCCCTCTTCTTGCTCATGCGCGGCATCTTTCGCCATTAAGGATGTCCACCCCGCAAGAGCAGATGGAAGCTTTCCGCCGTGCTGCTGAGACTCTTCGTCTGAAGATCGATGTGGTCCCGCGTGTGATGATCATCTGTGGTCTGGGTCTTGGTGGACTTGCCAATATCTTGGAAGGAAACCGCGTTGAAGTGCCCTATCATGACATTCCTGGCTTCAAGACGTCCACCGTGCAAGGCCATGCCGGTAAGTTGGTGTTCGGCACTATTGGGCAAAATAAAGTCCCAGTGATGTGTATGTTGGGAAGACTTCATTACTATGAAGGGTACTCTTTGCAAGACACTGTATTCCCTGTGAGAGTAGCTGCTGTGTTGGGGATCAAGACGATCATCGTCACCAATGCTGCCGGCGGTGTACGTCCTGGTTTCAAACCAGGCGAATTGATGGTGATCGATGATCACATTAACTTCCCTGGTTTTGCCGGTACTCACCCGTTGAGAGGTCCTAATCTTGCCGAATTTGGGCCTCGCTTCCAACCTCTTAGCGATGCTTATGACTTTGAACTTCGGAAGCTTTTCATGGACAAGGCGAAGGAATTAAAGGTGACGAGAAACATTTACGAAGGTACTTACTTTTATGCTACGGGTCCTACTTTCGAAACGAGAGCCGAAGTGCGCATGGTACGGACTCTTGGAGGGGACGCCGTGGGGATGCTGACCGTTCCCGAAGTCATTGTTGCTCGTCACAGTGGTTTGAGAGTATTGGCGTTGTCGCTTATCACCAATGAAGCCGTTGGCGATAAGCCACCGCTGGCATTCGAAGAAAACCCTAAGGACTTGAGCGAAGGAATGGCTCTGCACGACGAGGTGTTAGAAACCGCTGACGAAGCCCTGAAAGATGTTGAGGCAATTGTGGCAGCTGTGGTGAATGAATTATAGTTTATTTATCATAATGTAGTCGCTTGGTAATATACATATCGTACGTCATCACTGGTCCACCTGTCCCGCCAGTTCCCACTTGCCTTGGAAGTTTTCCTTCCACAAGCTCACCTTGTTGTCACCCCCAGACACAGCGAGGATGTTCCCCAGCAACGACCACGAACATCTCCAGCATACATCGGGGAAAGGTTCTTCAGTCAATAGTTGTTTCTGCCAGTTGCCCTGAGCATCAGGTGACCAAATCAACACTGTACGGTCTTGTGAAGCAGTGGCAATGTACTGCTTGACGAGGTTAGATGGCAGCCAAGCCACATCTCTAACCCAATCAGAGTGGCCCTGAAGGGTGGCCTCTTGTACGTATTTGTCTGAAATGGGGTCGAATCGCCAGATCTTAGCCAAATTGTCAGATCCGCAAGTAACAAATCGCCGGGCCAGCTTGTCCTTAACGTCAGAAACTGGAGCCCACAGCGCCGAGTTGACGCCAATAGCATGAGCATCGAACACCACCGACAGTGTGGTACCGTCCTCGTTGAAGTCAACCACCAGCACTCTACCGTCGCTCAGAGTGCACAATAAGACTGCCCCTAATTCATGAGGTGCCCACAGAACCAGATTTACTGAAGCCTGATGCACCGTGTGCTCAGCGATAACTTGCCATTCTCGATTCTGAGGCTGTTGTTTCCAAATCAAGGCCTTACCATCGTAAGAACACAGCGCAAGGATCAGCCCGAACTTGGGGTGGGCCCAAGCAACTTGCCACACCGGACCTTCATGGTGGAATAGAGTGGATGCTAACTTGTAATTCTCGCCATCAACTTCGAAAACCTTTATGGTCTTATCCAGGGAGCAAGTAGCAAGACGTCGCCCGTAGTAATCTAACACCGCGTCGTGAATCAAGTCGTCGTGGGCATTGCCAATGGTGACCATTGTTTTTGAGATACGTGTTCTGGAAATTCAACGTAGCGTGAAATATTCTCTGATTACGTAATCAACAACAACTGCAGGTTAACTGCGATTAAGTCAAGTAATACAAATAAGAGACTGCTGGTTGACTGCTCGATTGAAATATCTCAGTTGAATCATCAAATAATTGTGCCCAATTGCGTCTTCAAATAACGGAATTGCCGAAAATTGACGTTACTTCCATAATGCAATCGCACGCGCGAGCACAGGGAATCGATATGAATAAGCCGCTCGTCGAGCTCCTGCTGATCCTGGGGCTTGTACACCTGGTAGCCACTCAAGTTACCGCTGCTCAGGAGAGACTAAGCAAATTTGAAGAGCTCACCAGAGGCCTAGCAGAAGTTACACTTGACGAAGTTGAACCAGATGAGGAACCCGAATCCTCAAAGTATGATGACACCCTTGTCGCTGATCTCGAGGCACGAAAACTTGACCTAGTGATGGCGATTCAAAAGCAGCAATATCTAAGCGACAAAATCGATGAAATTGTTGGACAGAATCAGGATATAGTTGACACTGTTCGAGAGTATTTCCAGCTGCGCGATCAGATTACAGTTGAAGAGAGAGAATACGCTCAACGGAAGCTCAAGTATTACCAAATCATATCAGTTGAACCCGCAATTGAGTATATGGATAAGTTCAACTGCCACTTAGTGCTGAACATGAAATCTGCTCGACACGCTGTGGAGTCAGCTACCAAGCAGTTTTCCCAAAATGTGAATGAAATGAATGGTGAGTACAATCTGCAGGTTTTGGAGCTAATTAAAGAGATGAACAGCATATTTCGACAGATTGAGGAATGTCCTACTGAACGTGGAGCTTCACGGGATGTTAGCACGTCAAATCAAGAAAAGCGTGATCTGCTAATACTTCCTCTTGATCGGCCCCTAAGCATCGGAAGTATACCGAGTCCTACCATATCATTAAATTCGCTGGAATCGTCAGATTCAATTGGTGTAAGCCCTAATATGCCATATTCTCTGCCCGAAAATGTCTCACCCAAAGACAACCAAGCTCGAACTCAAGAGAATAGCTCTATAAACACCCCAACAAACAAGGCGTCACGGAAAAATCCATTCAGGGCTGACAACGCAACTATACCGAATTAAAATAAATTTGCTGATTCATCAAATTTCAGGTATGGACTTGTTCTAGAAACACTCTCCACACATTATGTTTTCTGAGTCTCTTCAACCTGCGATGATTCAAATAATGGGTCCTCTTCGTTGTCGACATCAAAGTGCTCATGAAGTGAGCCGTTCTCTGGTTTACGATTGAAATTATCGTCTAACAGAGTTTTGCAGTCATCGTGATTATCACTTCCCAGCATTTGATTAGGTTTAGACAGTGCAACACTATTCCGCGAAGGGCGCTTCCCTACCATAGAGTAAGCGCGATTGATGATCGTTCTATTCGGATCAACCTTGATCCATGACTTGCGAATGCGATCAATATTCATATTCGCCCGATCAAAATGAAGTAATTGCGATAAATACGCGAAAGCGTTATAAACCATCAAAAAGAAGCTCGTCATCCATGTCGATTGGGGTTCAGACTCCATGGTGTAGGTATTCAAATGATTAATGGGTTTTCCCAAAAGCTTCACCTCTATGTCACGACGCTCGGAACGCGAGGGGCAGACCTGAAAAAACCCTTCAGAGTTCACCACACCTTCCGCCATATGAGTTAACCGCTTCTGATGATTAGTCACAACCATTTCTAAATCGTTCGTCAGCTTTTCAAATTCATCAACCCGCTTATCAACCAACCTCAACTCGTAGTCGAGTCTATCAACGGTGGAATTGAGTTGATTAATTTGGTATTCTAACTTTCCTTGCAATTCCTCGTCTATGATTTTGGACTTGTTAGCGGTCATTTGCGAATAAGCGGTCTGAAGACGATACAAATCATGATTCAATACCCCGAAATTTCTAACCACATTTGCATTAGTGGTACACGCACAAGCATCAGCACTGAAGTCAGAGTCGTACAACTTCCGAAGAGACAGATATCTGATAAATAATTCAACCTTTTGCAAATAATCAAGTGAAAACTTTGTCATCGTATTTGTTGTAGACTTTGCTGGTCGAAGAATGTATTCCTCAATTTCTGAGCAGCTTTGAGATCTGACTAAACGGATATGCGTGTCAAGCACTTTAGCATCATGATTTACATCGAGTTTTGTGTGCTCCAACATGTTCAAATTTATTTCTTGAGCAGAAAATGGATACGAGTTTCGCCTATTCAAGGCATTCCGAAAGTGGGTGAGGGGTCGATACGACACTGTAGTTGTTGTGGACTTTGAGTCACCAGCGTCATCTTGTATAATATCAGGCGCAGTAACATGTACCGACTCTTGAGTCTTAGACTCAGTCTCCGTAACCATTGGGCGTACCAGGGAGGAGGTCTTCTTCAAGCCCATTCGCTTTAATCCACGAGAATACTTCAGCAAATCTCCAGCTTGTCCTTCGCTGAATAGAGGCCCCCACAGCAGAACCTTCAGATAAAGAGACATGAATTCGTAGGAGTTTTTCAGTTGCATTAGTTGTGATCCACGAATATGACCATTCATATCAATGGGCAAGTTTGAGAGACTAGACTTGGTAACACCGTAAAATAAACGATTCAAGGTTTTTCCCGGTAAATAGCCCTTGACCAAAGTATCCAATTTCAAGGCTTCCACATCAGCCGGGTTCATAGGTTCAGCTAATTTGGAGATCTTGTTTCGAATCATAACTCCAGACTTCGAATTGATCATATCCTCTTCTTTGGATCCAGCAGCATTGATATGGTCCTGTACTGTATTTTTCACAACATTGGTAAACTTTTTGAGTTCCTTAGAGTAATAATGTCGATTTTTCTTTGACAAATAAGGCATTCGCTCTTCATCATCATCATCAATGCTAATTACGGGTTTGTTGTTGCTGATGACTTTGGTACTGGTCAATTCGAATAACCTTTGTAAAGTTTCCAGATCAAGCTTTTTGGTTACCGGCAAATTCTTCAGTTTTTGGAATTGCGTCACAGTGTGAACAAAGTTTTCGAAATCGTATGGGTCCTTGGGAGGATCGCAGCCTACCATATTCAATCTCATTCGACACAGTAAGACCATTCCAATAATTGCTGCCACAGTATCAGCAGGTAAAATACCTTCACTTTCTGGTTGTTTTTTCACATGTCGAAGATGAACCATCGCGACTCTGGTCCACCAATTTGATATGGCTTCTTCCGTCTTGCGACAAAGTAACCCATCAGCATAATTTATATCCAATAAGCCAAAGTACCACAATGAAATCTGTATAACGTTCACCAACTCCCTAACAGAAAATTGGCACGGTATATTTGCATTGCAAATTCGGTAAATCTGCCGAAACTTATCAACATTGGCATCAGATATTTTCGGGGTGATCAACAGCATCGACCGCCCTGAACATCTAAGACGTTTGAGATTCGAGTTTATGACAAAGTTGGTTGAAACCTTTCTCACGTCACCATCTGGGATAGGTATTAAGTTGAGATACAGCGGAAGGGATGCCAAATTTGTAACGAAACAAACTTCTTGGTTGTGTTCCTCTAGATTCACCAGCAGTTGCGAATCATTCCTCGGCTCCTCCATCAGCTTCATCCGAGCATGATTCACAGCTAACCAGTTGATGTATTCTTGAAACTTGACAGGGTAATGTCGACTTTGCTTTTTTTCAACCCGGAACTTAACAGCACGGACACGATTTGTGACATTACCAGTGTATGCGGCGACCACGGTTCCAATTTTCCTGTCAATAACCCACTGTTCAACCATATAGATGTCAATACCACTAATACTAGTCTCTTCCATCATGTAAAATTCGCCAGCAAAAGCATCCTTGAAATAGTCGACGGCATGGAGGTCATGGAAGATATAAGTTACCAACCCTTTTGGCTCGGAAGGGGCAGTCTTTTTCAAGGTTGGCTGCTTATGGTAGTTCGGAGGATGACTCGGCAGAAGCTCAGGATAAAATCCCAACGGCGAGGCCATCGTGTGTAAGATGGGGAGATTTGACTATTGCAGGCTTATCAATACCCTCACAGGGATTTGAGCAGGGATCAGCCGAGTCGCACGCACTGTGTTGCTGAACACGAGTTCACAATTTTTATTTGAAAGTTTCGTTTACACCTATCTGTAAAGGATTCTATTGAAGGCTCCATAGAGGGCCGTCTACCATCGCAAAAGACAGTTACGACATCGACGAGATGAGAAAGCATGATCAATTTGCAAACCTCTGAAATTGTGAACTAATCAAAGTAGGGACTTCAGACGAGAGGCGAACAAATCCCGTATCCACAGGGTATAAGTCTCCCATTTTGAATTTACATGAACCATTTAAACCATGGCTACAGGTAGTACAAACGAATATGTTTGCCAGTTTAAAATTGCAGCACGACACGAAATCAAAATTACAAGAAGCACCAAAATAACAACTATACCCTAAGTTTCGACAAGCGACACTTAAGATATTCCATGAGAGATCGACACTTTCCGTCAACACTTAATTGTGAAAAGTTTATTTCTCTTCTCTTTTGAGAGCAATTGTAGGTTTTTCTTTAATTGTACCGATGCAGAAACCTCAATTCTGTTTGGAAAAGCTATTGTATCCCCCCGTAGCTTAATATAAGTGAATTTCATGCGAAACTCACAAGTCGCATAATCCTGATGCTCTCAAGTCTAAATTTTAATTTTGTTCTGCATAAGGACTGTTGGTGTACTGGTAACACTCTTGCCTTCCAAGCAAGCGAAGTGGGTTCGATTCCCGCACAGTTCATTTGTGCAGGACTGTTGGTGTACTGGTAACACTCTTGCCTTCCAAGCAAGCGAAGTGGGTTCGATTCCCGCACAGTTCACGTTTTTGCTTCTTCACGTTCTTATTACTCTTTCGAATGATTACTGGTGACTGTTTTTTTTTCGCTCCTTATGAAGCTGCGTCTCTATCACTCAACTCGCACGCGTCTGTTTACAAACACATTTCCACACCCATGCCCACCACAAATCGACCGACCAAACTGTCGATCGATGCAATCTCCGATCCTGCGGAGATTAAGTCTGTGATGAGACATGTATTCAATGATGCACAAGCCAATGCGCTGGGACATCGCAAGCTCATTGTGGTTTTGAAGCATTTGTGGCGAAAACTGCAGGAGCTTTCAGCGACAAGTCAGTTTATACACTTCTTCACACAGCTTATAAACTACGTACTTCCTTGCAAGCGAGGGGAAAAGAGTGCTGATCGAATCATCAAGTTTGTGGGTCAGTTTGTTGGCGAGTTAAGTCGTGATGAGGACTCCCATGATCTGGTCCAAATGGTCAACTATTTGATGCTGCATTTGATCCGTGGTGCTCATTCGAGAGACAAGTATGTCCGGTACCGAGTTGTACAAACGATTGCCCACACTGTGAGATCATTAGGTGAAATCGACTCGGAAACTTTCATCACATTGTACGATACACTCATCGAAAAAACCCAGGACAAAGAAAGCATTGTGAGAATCCAAGCTGTCGAAGCCTTACTGAGGTTTCAAGGTGAAGGCGACGATGGCTCTATTGGTGATGCAAAGAAGCATTTGTTAACTTTACTCTGTGACGAATCCGCTGAAGTTAGACGCGCTGTGCTTTTGAACTTGGACAAGGATAGTTCTACATTACCATCTTTGCTAGCTCGATCTCGAGACATATCTTCTGTTAATCGACGACTTGTGTTTTCTCGCGTTGTTCGTGACTTGGGCCTTACCAGCCTTGATGAAAAGCAAACTGAGCAGCTTTTGATGAGCGGGTTGAACGATCGAGATGAAACCGTGAAAGGCGCAACGATAAACTTATTAGTCAATGGTTTTCTTGCCTCTTGCAATGGAGATATATTTGAGCTCTTATCTCAGCTACGCCCAGACTGCAGTGAGGTCGCAGAGCGGGTACTTCGAGGTATTTTTGAGACACGTCCGGAGTTAATTCCTACTAGAACGATGGATCGTGAGTTCCTTCAGCATCTTGGAATTGAGCATGCCTTCTTCTTTCGCGTGTATTACGATTTTTGCAGCAACAAGAATCTACACGAAATCATTGATCAAAAATTCCCTGACGCCGTTGAGTTACTGGAAACGCTAGGGCGTTATCTATCTTTGCGGCGGCAGATGTTAGATGACAATACTACTCTGACAGGATCATTGCGAGAGTATGAGTCAAGGCTTCGCGAGATTGACAACCAAATTTTCCATAATCAAAATTTAACCGTTGAAAGTGGCCACGATATGGAAGTTTTGGACAAAAAGCTTAGGGCATTCCCTGATTTTCGAAACCTCAAACCTCAACTTGAAGTCTTGAAATTGCGCTTGACTCAAATGGAAAGGCGAGAAAGTCATCAATCAAGCCGAGCTTCAAAAGTCACTTCGAAACGGACCAAACTGAGAAGAGTGAACCACTCAGGGAAAGGCCACAACGCTGGCGCGGAAGCGTCCGGAAGGGACACCGAAGAGGACGAAGAAGAGGAAGAAGAGGAAGAGGAAAAAGAGGAAGAGGAAAAAGAAAAAGAAGAAGATGAGGACGAAGAAGGCAAAGAAATCCTTTTGAATAAATCTCATAATTCATTTATGGACGAAGATGGAGATGAAGACAAAGAAGAAGAAGATGAAGACGAAGAAGATGAAGTCGAAGATGAAGACGAAGAAGATGAAGTCGAAGATGAAGACGAAGAGGAAGATGATGGTGATGATGGTGATTTTAACGACAACGATGAGGATGCAGAAGTAAGTGACGAAGATGACGAAGAATTCGGAGAAGAAGAAGAAGATAGCGACGCTAACCAATCAAACCACGATGCTACAACCGAGGACAAGCAACTTTCCGATTTCAAAAAGCTGCTCAGAGGCATGTCCAAGGCTGATTTGACGAAAACATACAAACAGTTGAAAGACAAAGCCAAAAGTATGCGAAAAGAAGTAAAGGATTTGAATGCTCATGGTTTGAGACTCAAGGAGATTCATGAGGAAGCTATTCGCCTAACTGATTCTTTCTCAGAGCAGAAATACAATATACTCCTCGAAAAGCCCAAGGAAACGACCGAACTTGAAGCCAACATAAAAGATTTGGAATTTATCATCGAGCAACTCTTAGATGTTGCTAAGAACTATGATTTTTCGGATGAGCTCGCGAGACGTGAGATGATGCTGTTGATGAGACAATGCTTAACCAATGACAACTTAAGCAACGGTCTTGTGAAAGCGGCTTTCCAAGTGATTCACAGACTTTCAATCAACGAAAAAGATTTTGTGCAGTTGGCTACGGAAATCATAACTGATATCCGTGATTCGTGGGACGATGAAGATGAGGAATTCCACTCGGCGATGCTGGTTATGGAGGATGATGACGAGGCAGAGGAGATACTGGAGGATGATTCACAAGTTCAACACAAAAAACGAAGGATTGCCCCTAAGAATCCTCCCGATGAAGTGGTGATCCAATGTCTTCAAATGATTCAACATGTATTAGAAATTGTGGAGGAGCCTCTTGTGAATAATCCCCTGTTAGAATCCTTTTATTACGGTATTGTTAATTACGCTTTACAACAGCGGGATAAGTATCTCCTACATACTTTGGGTCTTCGATGCTTGGGGCTATATGGACTCATCTCAGCTAATATTGCGACGAACGCGTTGTTCACATTCATAAAAGCAATGCACCGGTACGGCCAAGAGGTGTGTTTGATTGCAATTCAAATGATGGTTGATATATTTGCAACACATGGGTTAAGTGTTGTTGCCTCAGAGCATATATTCCAATTTGCGCGTATGTTCCACAAAACGTTGAATTCTTATCGTTATCCCAAATTGCAATGTACAGTGGCGGAAGGCCTATGCAAATTGCTTTTGGCTGATTTATTTGTTGGCCAGGGTGAGTATGCAACGACTTCAGAAAAAGAGCTTTTCGAGTCAGTCTTGCTTTGTTTCTTCGATAATCGTATTGTGGAGAATGATGAATTGAAGCAAGTGCTTGCGTTTTGTATACCGGTATATGCCTTTTCACACCCCAGCCACCAAATCAGAGTTGCTCTGGTGCTGGGTGATTGTCTTTTCCGATTATTTGCATCGCTGGACGCAAATCTGAGCGACAGCGTGATTCCTGCTTCCAATGTCGTTCAACAACTCATCTACTGGTGCGATCCCAATAACTTGGTAAATGTGAAAACAAAGGAAGTGGAACTGCTGATGGCCCACATTTGGCAAGCTATATACTTTTTACAAGCTGTTGAGCAAAATACCCCCAGGGTTGTTAAAAGAGCGATTCTATCCAACTTGATGAGAATGCTGATTTCACTGTCGCTTCAACCAACCGAGCTCGAAGGCTTGTTGTCGGCTATACGGGAAACAAAAGAGCTACTTTTGAGTCGCAAAGACCAACCTGAATTTTATCTCGACAAGTCGACTTGGCGCAATTTTGAGATTTTTGAAGGTATGATAATTGCAGCACATGAGCATCTGGTTATGCTTCATGCGACACAACCATCCACTAGAGGATCGAGCATGATCACAAGTCGAGCAACTTCGACAACACCAGAGCCATCTGTTCATGACAGTAGCAGCTCTAAAATCGAGCATGTCGATGCCAAGACAGTCAGCGAACCTTCACATGCTGCAGCTAGCAAACTGACCGTTGATGAATCATTGAAGGAGATTGACGAGTTGTTGGAGGCCGAAGAAAATGTTGAGTATAATATCTAGTTGTCTAACGAGTGTAACGATTAATATATGTAAGGGTTTTTATTTAGTCGAGCTACTTTCAACATTGATGTAAGGGAAAAATTTGTGATCCCCGGGATTGATCTTCATTCGGTACCCAGCACTCTTGGAGCCCAAGTGAAGTTTGCTTTTAAGCTCTGTAAGGTTAAGAGCGTACACAATCAGCGTTTTAATAAGTTCTTCACACAGCCTTTGGGCATAACCGGCAGATGATTCCAAGAAGTTCAGTTTCACTTCAGCATCTTCCATTAACGTCTTCTGCAATTCTTTAAAAAGTTTTTTCGAAGAGTTGAATTTGAGGATTGTGGCACTTATAGCCTCGTTGGCATAATCAACATTGGGCACGTGAGGACAGTTTAATGATCTTTTGTACTGTTCAAAGGTTGGCAATTGCGGAACCCCTATACTCAGCCAGGGCTTGAGGCGCAAGTTGAAATAATTCTCAAATGAAGTGAGCGACTTGGATGCTGACTCCAAGAAATTAGTTGCACCAATGTAGTGGTAAATCATCAACATCGACTTAACAGCCTCAAACATAAGACAGTAAGCTTTCAATTTAACCAATGTGTAGTTTCGGTGGTACCGCAAGGTTTTTTCGAGTTTAGGCAATACGTGCTCCACAAGATGCGCATGCTGATCTCGAAGCTTTTGCTTTTTCTCACCTTTAAGTTTCTTCAATCTCTTTGGTAAGGTGTGGGTGATAAAGTTGATCTTACCTTCAATTATATTGCATATGCGGCCCAGGTCCAAATCGAGCAAAAGTTGACTTAAATACAGCGCGTACCAATAAATTAAGAACAACTCATAATCCTTGTAAAGCTCCAAGTCAATACCATTGATTAACAAGAGAAGCATTTCCGACAATTTCGTGTGGAAGATAAACAGTGACACTGCCAACAGTGCCTCCCCAGTAGTGAGCTCATCCCCAATGCCAAGAACAAATAACTCACTCTCAAGTGTTTCACTATTGATTTGCAAGGTGTCCCAAATAACTAAACCCTTATTGCGTAACTGTTGCTGTCTACAAGGATTGTTCCCATAGATCAACAAATTGTAATATATGGTCGATTCGAGGTCGGTTTTGAGTTGTGCGATTTTCTTTTGGACCAAAAGAGCCGTTTCAACCTTCAAGCTGGCAGCATTGATGGGTTTAAGAATGACAGTATTAACGCCCACAAGGGACTCAATTGCTTGTCCAACATATCCGTCTAAATGAAGCAGAGACCCTAAAATCAGTCTATCATCTCGAATAATGAATAGTTTGACGATACCCTTAACAAGAGCATTATATTTGGTGCTAGAAGCCGTGATATCATAACGCATGTAATTGAGGAATTGGGCAACATTTGCAATTTGGGAAGCCGAACTAACAAATTCCTTGATTTGTTTGAAAGTTGTGATGTATTCCTGCTTAGCATTTGAGGCGTCTATTGCATAAAGCTCCAGGGGAATATTACGATTGTCCATGTCCAACTGTATGAACTTTGAGAACAGTCCCGATGGAACTTTTTCACCCTGGAAATTCAAACTGCTTGCAACCTCCACAGCTTGGTCCAAAAAGGGAAGGTTGAATTGGGATGCATTAGGAACAAACGCGTTTAAGCGTAGCCCTAGAAGTGTTTCGAGTTTGAGTAAATAGCCAGCCATGTTCAAATTTGTTTGTAGTACATCGAAATCGTGTTTCTCCAAATTTTGAGTTGACAACCAAGCTTTCGCAGTGTCAAGTTCAAACAATACTACCTCAATTGCTTCATTTTGGAGATAGTTTAAATTCATATTACGTGTTGTGATATCCTCTTCTTCATAAAGCACTTCCATGGCTACCAGTAAGGTAAATCCCACAAATCTGGCCATGGCCATCAAAAATGGCTTCAAAACCTTATGCACTAATCCATATTCGAGTGATTGGCTGTCCTTGATTTGAGGTGCCAACCTTGAATCCACCAAACTGCATCTTTGCAGAAGAGTGCCACCGTTTGAAGTGTAGTTTTGCAACAACGTTTGGACATATCGACATGACAATATTGTCAAAGGAAGCGACAGGTTGTTGAGCCACAGCATGTATCCAATCAACAACCTGTTCATGACTCCAATAACAGAGTCAACATGCTGAGGCGCCAGAGGGTCGAAGCTGACGTCGTCAACATCAACCTCGATCAAGCCAGTATCAAGGTTGGGATTCGAAATTTCAATCGCTCTTGTACCTTCAAGCAAATTGAATAACGGACTTTGAACCACCTTATTTTCAGATAGCCCCTCGAGAGATTTGAAGAGCTCATCGGTGATGTCCACCAAGTCTTCCATCTCGGAGAGAGTTACGATGGCCGCGCGATCGCGGTCAAGCCTCGAGTGAGCCGCATGAACATCATCGCTTCGATAATATACGCTTTTGATCAATGTCCATTATGAATATATATAGATTTCACTCAAATCAAAACCGCCTTCAAAAAGGACACGCTTCATGAACTGATACAGAACATTACCAATATGAGGTTAGCATACTGCAATGCTATACAAATAGCATATAGGTTTGGTTAGATTCCATTTGACTGCTTTTACAATAGATGTTAAACGACACCGGGATATTACAGACATGATAATTCTTTTTTGAACTCATAGACTACATGTGCATAGAGTATTAAGATCTATTGCAAGAAAAGCATACTCGACGCGATAAATCGATTATTCAACACTGATCGACCTCTAAACACATAACGAATGGAACCACAAGGAACTTGAAATAGACGACAATCTCGCTTTACTCGAAAACATCGGGCATGCATTATATGTACTCCAAGCTGCTCGCAGTTGATTAGTAATTCAAACTGTACTCCAGTGAGGATCACCGCGCACCTGTAAGAAAACTTGTATCTTTTAGTAGATAGTCACAGCCGTGTACACATTCCATCTCCCGTCATTTTCATGATAACGACGTGGTGCTTTTTCAGTCTGGAAAAGAAATTAGAATTAGCTCGATTGTTATCCTGTATAGGGATGCTTACGTGAATCACTCCCTAAACTCCGCGAACAAAATTTCCAGGTGTGACTAATTCAGCACTAGTGAGTTTGCCACCGAAGATGAGTGAGGTCAAGCGGAGCATTTCTGAGGTCCTGCCTTCTGGAGGGCCTCCCGACAAAAAGGCTCATGCTAAACCAGGACGCAAACCTATCGATACCGAACCCAAGCTGAAGCGTACCGCTCAAAATCGTGCTGCTCAAAGGGCTTATCGAGAACGTAAGGAGAAGAAAATGAAGGACTTGGAAGAAAAGGTCAAGTTGCTAGAGACAGAAAACGTGCGTGCCGCCACTGAAGGCGATTTCTTAAGAGCTCAAATTGAAGTTTTAAAGCTGGAGTTGGCTCGCTATCGCGGCAACGCAGATTTTAGTGATTTGAATCTTCCGACATCCGTTGGTCGCTTGAGTCATCCGCAAACTGGTGGCTATGTCCCTCATTTCCCAGAAGTATCGCCAATCCATTTGAAGAATTCCCAGACATCCATGTCACCACAGCGTAACGGTTCACTGATATCATCACTGGCAAAAAGTGATCATTTATCACTACTGGAATCTCAACGGAAACTGCCAGATTTTACTGCGGAATATTCATGGCAACCAGAGAAGGACAATGCCCTAGAAAATCTCGAGACTGATTTTTTCAAGATGACACCTGCAAATAACACTGCAAATGCTTCTAGCAGCTTGAACTTGACCACAGAGAACTTAGATGTTGCTGCTAATTTCGATGAACAAGTCAACACTTTCTGTACTAAACTTAATGAAGCTTGTGGTACAAAGGAATCCCCTTTGCCCAAAGACAAGCAGTTTGAATATTCATCTCCGTTCTCCGCTTTGGTCACACCTCAAGAAGCTGAGGAGACTTCAACGGAAGCATTTTTGGCCGTGCTGTCGGGTGACCCTCTCTCGTTTTTGAACGACGCGAATTTTGATATGAATCTTGCGTTCAAAGATCCGGTTGCTCCTATTCCCGAATTTGAAAAACCGGTTCACGACGAAACTTTTGATCTCTTGACTAATCAGGAGCTGATCTATGATCCCTTGGGCAGCGGAACAATGGAGACGACACCAAACTCTCAAACTACTCCAATTACAATTGGTCTGGGGGCGACGCCCGGCTCTAATAAGGAGGTGAATATCAATTTCAGCTTTAATGAGTTTGTCAAGTCTCTGATCAGTGAGAATTCCGCCGATGAAGCTATGGTGCCAGCTCTGCCAAAACGTATGCAATGCAGTGAAATATGGGAGCGTATCACTCTGCATCCCAAGTACTCAGAACTTGATATTGACGGTTTATGTAGTGAGCTCAAGGCTAAAGCCAAGTGCTCAGAAAAAGGCGTCGTCGTCAATCAAAATGACGTGAACTATTTTATCGAACAGCTGGCAATGAGACGGGGATTATGAATTATGAATATACGGGAACGGTTTAATACGTTGACATATCATTTAGATATGGAAATTCCGTTTTATATTAACTGTAGAGCGTATCACTGTGTCAAGCAATATGGCTTGCTAATTATTTTCCTCGGCAACACATTCCAATTCAACTTTGATTGACTTGTTGGGGAACTGTACAATAACGCAGGATCTCGCAGGTTGGTGGGGAAAGTATTTGCTGTACACCTCATTCACTTTGCTGGCGTCATCGCCATTTGAAATGAAGAGCAAAACTTTCAACACCTTGTCCAAGCCCGAGTTCAGGTTCTTCAAAGTGTTGGCCAAGTTTGCAATTGCTAGTTCCGTTTGCTCAGCAACATCAGTAGGGAATTGTCCGCTCCCATCGTTCCCAACGTTACCCAGTGTAAAAACAAGCCCATTGGACTTATAAGCAGGCGACAATAATTTGTTCCCTTCCTTCACTCCAATTTGGTTCCAAGTGACTTGCTGCATGTTTGAATTTTCAAGGGATACATGAAGCTATTTATACCGCTTTTATGTAGTACTGTATCGAGCACCCCCACAAATGTTATAGACGGAATTACATACTAGAATTGGCAACAGCCTAACCGTTAAATATCGAAGGTTGACTGTGGATTGATACCCAAAAATGATAACCATTCCACTGTCAATGCTGAAAATGTCATATACCCTAATCAGGCTCTCAGCCGTGGAGCGATCTCATTGATCCACGTTTACAATACGCCATCATGAAAATATTGTATTGAAAGGAACCACCCTTGGAAATTGTTTTCATAATGTTTATAGAATTGTGATATTAGCATCTAGCGAAGGTTTGTCATCATGGACGTTGAAAAAGTTTTGACTTGTGACTCAATCGATTCCAATCGCGAATAATACTCTTTCGATCCGCTTACATAAAATTTTGAATCTTACAACTGAACAAAGTTCTTTCACTCAGGTATATTCATTTTGATCAAAAAAAATCCAAATTCTAACCGATTAACTTAATGGTTCAGCTGTCGTAAGAAAGTCTCTTTTCATCTCAACTTTGCATATTCCATTGACGCGCTTTTGTGATGGCGTGTTGAATTTTTCGCTCTTCACTATCCACTTCAATGTCGTTACCTGAGGTTGAAAAGCTCCTGGCTGCTGAAAAAGCAGCCGAAGCCTCTGCTGCGGACATCAAAAAGGGTCCCAACAAAGAAGCCAAGCCCAAAAAGGAGAAGAAAAAGGAAGCGGGGCCTAAGCAACCTCTCTTTTTGGATCCCCAACCTGAATTCATCGATGAGCGTATCAAGATGTTTGATGAACTCAAGGCGAAGTACGACGCTGAAATCGCGTCTAAAGAAAGAAAGGCTATCAATATCACGCTTAAGGATGGAACCATGAAGGTTGGTACCGCATGGGAAACTTCTCCTTTGGATATTGCCAAGGAGATCGGGTCTGGGTTTGCTGATCGCATGGTGATTGCCAAGGTCAATGGCCAATTGTGGGATTTGCCTCGTCCTTTGGAGGGTGATGCCGAGTTGGAATTATTAGATTTCGAGCATCCTGAAGGGCGGAGTGTTTTCTGGCACTCTTCAGCTCACATCTTAGGTGAAGCTTGCGAATGCCATTACGGTTGTCACTTGTCGCATGGTCCCCCGACTGATGACGGGTTTTTCTATGACATGCTGATCAACAATGGTGAAACCACGGTGGCTCAAAGTGACTTTTCTAATTTGGAACAAGTCGCCACTAAAGCAATCAAGGAAAAGCAAAAGTTCGAAAGATTGGAAATGACCAAGGAAGAATTGCTCAAGATGTTCCATTACAACAAGTACAAAGTCAAATTCATCCAAGACAAGATTCCCGATGGGACTTCGACCACCGTTTATAGATGTGGTCCCTTGATTGATCTTTGTGTTGGTCCTCACATTCCTCACTCGGGTAAAATCAAGGCATTCAAGGTTTTGAAGAATTCTTCATCTTATTTCCTTGGTGATGCTACGAACGACTCACTTCAACGTGTGTACGGTATTTCGTTCCCTGACAAGAAATTGATGCAAGCACACCTTAAGTTCTTGCAGGAAGCTGCCGAGCGTGATCACCGTAAAATCGGTCGTGAGCAAGAGTTATTTTTCTTCAATGACATGTCACCTGGTTCGGCGTTCTGGTTGCCTCATGGTACCCGTATCTACAACACGCTTTGTGAAATGTTACGTAAGGAGTACAAAACTCGTGGCTATGAAGAGGTCATTACTCCCAATATGTACAACTCTAAGTTGTGGGAAACCTCTGGTCATTGGGGAAACTATAAGGAGAACATGTTTACCTTTGAAGTTGAAAAGGAAACTTTCGGTCTTAAGCCTATGAACTGTCCTGGTCACTGCATGATTTTCAAATCCCGTGAAAGATCTTATCGTGAATTGCCCTGGCGTGTGGCTGATTTCGGTGTTATCCATCGTAATGAATTTTCTGGTGCTCTTTCTGGATTGACTCGTGTTCGTCGATTCCAACAAGATGATGCTCATATTTTCTGTACCCAAGATCAAATCGGTGATGAAATTGCTGGTGTGTTCGATTTCTTGCAAAAGGTTTATGGCATCTTCGGTTTTGACTTCAAAATGGAATTGTCTACTCGTCCCGAAAAGTACGTGGGTGACTTAGAAACTTGGAATGCCGCTGAAGCCAAATTGGAAGGTGCACTTAACAAGTTCTTGGGCGAAGGCAAGTGGGAATTGAACCCCGGTGACGGTGCTTTCTACGGGCCCAAGATTGACATTATGATTTCTGATGCTCTCAACCGGTGGTTCCAATGCGCCACCATCCAATTGGATTTCCAATTGCCTAACAGATTTGAATTGGAATTCAAGGGTGAGACCAACGAGAAGGGTCAAGTCCATCGTCCCGTTATGATCCACCGTGCCATTTTGGGTTCGGTCGAAAGAATGACGGCCATTTTGACGGAACATTTCAAGGGTAAGTGGCCATTCTGGCTTTCTCCTAGACAAATCTTGATTGTCCCAATTGGCCCTAAGTTCTATGATTATGCTCAAACTTTGCAGAAGGAATTGAATGACAAGTACTTCTTCTATTGTGACGTCGATGTTTCAGGGAACACCTTGCCCAAGAAGGTCAGATCGGGTCAATTGCTCAAGTACAACTTTATTTTCATCGTTGGTGATGACGAACAAAAGAATAACTCGGTCAACATTAGAAATCGTGATATCCCTGAAGAACAAGGAAAGGGCGCCGCTGTGCCTTTTGACACTGTCGTTCAACAATTGATCAAGTTGAGAGAAGAAAAGAGATCGGATAATGTATTGAATTAGGAGGCGTATTTAGTAAGAGTTTTTGAGGTTTGTTAAAAGACAACGACACCATGTGTTCAGCTAAATGAATTAGTATGTGAATCGTCGCACGCGCAATTTGTTGAAAATTATTCTAATGGTCCCAATTGGTCTCCAGTGCGACACGCAGGACTATTCCTTACCGCGCAAGCAGCACAGTAATGTGCGTCGACTAGTATCGGAAAGTTCGGAAGCGAATTAAGACCCCATCTCCAAATCAATTGTAGACAAAATTGGTATTGCCATGGTTCTGTATTTATTTTTGTTATTCAACATTCCTCGTTTCCCATTCTCTCCAATTGCATGCGTCACTGCCTCGGGCTTCGATTGCTGCTCCCTGCGTATGCGTCCTTGAAATATAAATGCTCACATCAAATCCTCTTCCCGCGAATAATTATCCATGTCTGACAGGGAATCAGTGAGACAAGCTGCATTGAACGAGAATCCTCTCAAGGCCAAGCTCTCTCCTCAGCAATTTGATGCTGCATGTCGGTTTTATGACGCCGACCAAGAGCTTAGCCCAAGAGAGCGTGATGAAATAGCTGACCAATTGAAGCCAGTTCTCAAGAAAACCTCCTTCATTTCCTACGGTCTTGCCACCGTTGGCTTTTTCACTCCAACCATTTACTATCACTTGTGGGGTCCGAAATACCCTCCCACCATTGTGCCCACTACCGATGGAGGTTTTAAGAAAGTGCCCAACCCGTTAAACTCGATGATTAGAAGACCCTTCTTAGGGTTCTTCATTGGTTTGGCAACTTTGTTAGTGCTGGCTCAAGTTGTTGGGAAGTATACCTTTAACAACAAGAGAGAGGCCATTAGCGACCCTGTTGAGCGCCGAGTTTGGGACTCCATGGATTACCGCCAAGCTGGTATGTTTTACATGTACTTCAAACGTACCGCAGTTGATGCGCTGTACCAAGTCAGAGATCCTAGAAGTTTCACTAGAGAAAACATTCATGAAGGGATTACTAAGGGCGGTCAACACTTTGCCAATGCTTTGCACCCCAATGTCCCTAGTCAATGGGATATGATTAGAGCAAATGCTGGTGTTGATGTCACGCAAGCGTCTAGACCCAAGAATCAGGACAACTAAGTGTATAGCTTTCGTACGAATGTATTCATAACTTGCAGTAAGCTGTTTTTTGTCGCGCGCCCAAATGCTGCGCACAAGAACACGTATTGGCTCAACGATATGGACGCCTTCACCGATTCGGGAGAATTGTACTCCATACGCAATGAATTTTACACCAACCAGCATAATCGAGTGAAGAACTACTTGCTTGACTCTTTCTCAGCTGAAAACCAGCTCAAAGTTCTCGAGTTCCAAATAAGACTGACGATTGCCCTTGGAGAAGATGCCAGCCAATTGATTTCATCAGGTAAATCAAGATTTCCTGATAATGATGGGTTCTTCCAATTGTTGGAAGCCTACAACGACTTGTCTTCTTTTGGTACTGACAGTCTGACGTATTTTGATGACGTGAAGGAAGCACTGTTCGAGTTGGAAGCGGTACTCACTGCACTTTATTTGGTCAAATATGAAAAAGACTTTGAACAGGCGACAAAAATATTGAACGGTTATATCGCCAAGGGAACTCCCGAATTCGAGCCTTATCTTTTGCTAGTGCAGTTGCATCTTGTGCAAATTGATCTAGTTGCGGCCAACAAAACATTCAATGAGCTCAAAAAGTTCAACATGAGTGACGACATTGTCTACTCCGTTATTGAATCGTGGATCAACGCGTTACGAGGAGAGTCCGAGAACATCAATAATTCGTTTTACTTTTACGATGAATTGTTATCGACGGATTTTGAGGATGACAATCAACTGAAGTTCAGAATTCTCAATGTGTTATTTGTTCTTACTTTGCAGTTGCAACACTATCCAGAAGCTACGGAGTTGTTGTCTCAAATTGAGTCCATTCACCCTGAGGTGACGGGCGATTTTGTCGCCAACCAAATTGCTTATGATTACCTAGTGAACTTTGGATCGAATGTACCTGATTTGTTGACTAAATTGCGTCAGGTCCAAGAAGGTCATCGTAGGTTGACGGACCTCGAGGAGAAGAGCAAATTGTTTGATGATATAGCAGTGAAATACGCTTAAATACAATGAATTGGCATAACATAAATTTCATATACTAGTTTGCTTCGACTACCTCGCCATCCTCGTTAAGTTTCAACCCTTCAGCTAGCAATCTCTTCTCGATTTCCTTCAATTCGTTCTCCTTCTCCAACAATTCACGACGCTTATTGATCAAATCTTGATGTACGCGTTCCTCGAATTTCCGCAAACGTTCTTCTTCTAACTTGATTTGCTCCTCTTTCACCAAATAGCTGGAGTCTTGCGGTTCTTCCAATGGCTGAGCAGCTGACCGATCGCGCTCACCTTCCCCAATATATTGAAACTGTTTACCTGACAAAGCTTCAGTACGGTAGTTCTCGTAGATCACATCGTGCGTCAACTCTTTGAACTCATTCAAATGGGTGATCAACAAGACATTTTTCAAGATAGTGAAGTCATTAATGTCACTGTTTTCAACATTGATTGGCTTAGCCCAATTCGAGTTGAGTACTCTCAACTTAAGTGTGTCGTCATCAGCTTCGGTCAGCTCTCGGTACTCGTTAGCACCAATGACGGCAAATGGAATTAACAGATTCAAGTATTTGTTGTACTCAATAATCTCGTCATCGATGTAATCTTGCTCGTGCTCGTACTCATTGAATCTGTAATAATTGATTCCGTAATTATTCAAATCTTCGAGAATGAATTGCTTATTCAACGCAAGTTCCCGTGGTGTAAGGGAGTCAGCCTTGGAAATAATCGGAATGATATTGACCAAGTTGTTGATGTGCAACATGAATTTGACATCCACCTCCAGTAAGCCATGACCAGTCGGGTTAATCATGTAAATCAAAGCATGAATGCGGCCGTCTTTGAATCTGGGATTTCTCTTTACTCTCAGTTCTTCTAATAAAACTTCATCGTATTGGTGACGAATGAAGTCGACAATGATCTTAAAGTCTTCGTCGCAATTGATTGAACTGGCAAAATTGGGGGTGTCAATAATATTGAGTGAAATTTTGTGGCCCTCGTTATCCTCAAGTTCGACGTTTTCGTGACGGAGTGTCAACTTTTTCGTGAAGGGATCCTGAGTGACAGTAGAAGATGTTGGTACGATCTGATTACCACCACAAAGAGTGTTGATAAGTGTCAGCCGCCCCAGACCAGATTGGCCAATGATCATGACGGAAAAGTTGATCGACTTCTTGAGTATCTTGCGCTTCCGTAAAGCACTGGATGCTAACATCGGTGATTCGACCATGAGTATAGATATGGTGTTTGTTTTGTAGAAAAGAATGCGGATCGCGTGAAATCCATTAGACGAGACTTAAGGGCTACTTCAAATACGACCAAAGAACTAAAATAAAGCAAATGCTGGAGCGGTGAAGAAGACGCAGTATGTTGGTTGAGCAGAAATGATTGTGACCAATATATCATGGCTACTTCTCTGGATCAAGTCGCAGTTCGACACGTACACTTAAGAATGCAATTTCTATATACAGGATCTGTATTTTCCCTAGACGAGGCTGCGACGCGACTGAAATCGGAATGAGGCGGTTGGTCCCACGTAGAATACACAACCAGCAAATACTGTGTCTCCAACGTTACGAATCCCACGAAAGCAATGCTGGGGGCGATTGTTATCTGGTACTAAGGTGATATGTAATCAAAGACGAAATGCTGACTCCTTTTATACGATTTCATCGGGGAATGTGGGGTTAGACTCAAATTGCAGCAGCGTAAATCAGGATATTTGGGGGTAGTTACTTGAAGTATGAATTTTTCACCTCGAAGTGTTGATGATGCTTTTTTAAATTCTCTTCTTTATTTGTTTTTGAAGTAAACAATAGGTCTAAATCCGTACCTATAGTCGAAGAAAGTGTGGTGGCCAATGGAACATGATTGATGTATCTAACGGCATGTAGGTGAAGATGACTGTAGACCAGAGGTCACTAACTACCCAAACCCTTTTGTAAACATCTAAATGTCCTCTAGAAGATACCGAAGAATGTTGACGGGAAGTCTAGAAGAAAGCCTTCACAAAGATAGATGCTAACACTGCCTTGGTTTTCTTTGATTTCACGTAATATCACCACCTAGTGATGGGTGCTTTGTACTGGACTATACAAAATCTTGATGTGTTCGTCTCTCAGAACTAGATTGAGGAGTATTTGAGCGAAACGTGTTGCTGTTTTTTTTGAGTGCATTAACTTATATTGTATCAAAGGTGGTGTAGTAGCTGCCAAATTTACTTATCATCCCCAACTTTACCACGTTGCTACTCGTATCGAAATGAGGGGAATGAAAGCGCGAGATGGTGCGCCGGAATCTTTGGAGGGGAGAGGTTCCGAGTATCTATATATTAACCAGTTTCGACGTAGAAAAACTCTTAAGCATCAATGACGTATGTTTCACTGAAGCTTTGTTTTGCAAATGTGTCATCCAGAGTACAAGAAAATAGGAATATTTTTTAAGTTTCACACCCCTCCCTATTTAAATCTCTCAGAATGCCTTTGTCATGAAAAATGGAGTCCGACAACACATCCCAATTACTAGAGCGCTCCATTCGAGTATACAAACTTGCAAAGCTAGTACTACATTGCAACATCTTGTTGTTTGCTTTAATTTTGGTTGTTCAATATACGTATATGGAATGATATGTGTGAGAAGAAGGCAGAATTTTTGGCCGCCAAACGAGAACTTCGGATTGCCTTTACCGTGTTGTATTTGAGTGTTATGATATTACTTTTTTTGTGTCGCTTGTTGTACAAAGCTTTCTTCGCAAGTTTCGCCATCGATGACAACAATGTGAGTAATAACATCTTGCCATGAACCTCCTCATTAATCAGAATTATTACAAGTTTCGAATATGACTCGATGGAATGCAATTTCAAGTGGCTGACTGTAAGTTCTGTCCACACTTGCAATCCGGTAATATAACATAGTCCGTAGTGCTTAGCGAGACATATCAAACTAACGACAAAACTTCCGTTACAACCAAATATAAAATGGCTACAGATATGCCCCTATTGTTATTTTCTGTTGCCATCATATACTGACAACACGCCAAGAGTATTTTAGACAAATTTATTCGCACGGAAGATACTTTTCACACCGCCTAAGATGTCGAAGCCATCAATTGCAGCTGATGCCGTGTTAGTCAAGTCCGAGCCCGTGCCAGATGATTTTGTCGAAGTTAGTGGAATTGATTACACTAAAGATTCGGCTTACAATATGCTGGCGCTGGATCTCATTTCCCTGATGCGCAATATGGGATTTCAGGCCCTGGCGTTATCTCAGGCATGCTCGATCATCGATGAGATGACTAGTTGGAAGGGGGTCCACCGTGACACGCTCGAGGAGCACAAACAGAAAGGAACCTTCGATGATGAGGGATATCAACGCACTACAATTTTCATGGGCTTCACCTCTAATCTCATTTCGCTGGGCTTGAGAGACACTTTGCGTTACCTTGTCCAGCACAAAAAGGTTCTGGCTATCGTAGCTTCCGCTGGGGGTGTTGAAGAAGACTTGATCAAATGTTTAGCGCCTACGTACATGGGCGATTTCACTCTCCCCGGCAAAGGTCTTAGAGACAAAGGGATGAATAGAATCGGGAATTTGTTGGTTCCAAATGACAACTACTGCAAATTTGAAGAGTGGATTGTCCCCATCTTAGATAAGTGCCTAGAAGAGCAACAAGAAGCTCTTCAGAAGTTGGGCAACGATGCTCTTGACTACAACTCTGACGCTTGCTGGACCCCTTCAAAATTAATTGCTCGTCTCGGTAAGGAAATTAACGATGAGTCGTCGGTCTTGTATTGGGCTTACAAAAATGATATCCCCATCTTTTGCCCTGCTTTGACAGATGGGTCGATCGGTGACATGTTATTCTTCCACACCTTCAAGGCGCTGCCCCACCAGTTGAGATTGGACATTGTTGCTGATATTCGTCGGATTAATTCTATGAGTATGGATGCTTCGCAGGCGGGTATGCTCATTCTTGGTGGTGGTCTCATCAAACACCACATTTGCAACGCTTGCTTGATGCGTAATGGTGCCGACTATGCCGTATACATCAACACGGGCCAAGAATATGACGGTTCGGATGCCGGGGCTCGTCCTGATGAAGCTGTTAGTTGGGGTAAAATCAAGGCAGATGCTAAACTGATTAAGGTTTATGCCGAAGCACTGCTTGTTTTACCGTTAATCGTGGCTGCTACATTTGCAAAAGAACGTCCCCTGAACTAAAGTGAGAAAACAGTTGAAAAAAGCAAGGGAAAAGCAGTTTTCTCTCGTACTATACTCTCTTTGAGGCCTGTATATACAATTTTGAAAAACAATATGAAGATTTATGGCAATCATTGTAACCTTTTATCAACAGACTTAGTACCAGTGAGATCGCGGAGAAACTGGTAGTGCGAAATGCAGCTCGTTTGCGATTGTAAACTTGCGAACGATTGTAGATCGACACAACAGTATGCGTGACAGTTTTTCACTCATCGATTACACCTAAGCTATCGATTATTCAGGACATCAAGCACTCACAATTGCGCCATATAACTTCGTCAAGTCATACGCCTAGTAAATTTCTAACATGTTGCATGATCGCGGTCCCTGTATGCACTCCCTTGTCATACCTTCACAATTCTTGTGAGGAGAGCGTGGCCGCAGACCAACAAATGTGTATGTCAAACCATTACCCCAAAGAATCCAATTATTGAATTTTACTAACATGTACAGCACTGAAGAAGAAATTGAGTTTGCAAGAATTCATCCAAGACGACTGTAAGTGATAATGAGTGATCAATTGCTCTCAATGAGCTATGCAAGAAAATACTAACAATTAGCTTATGGTGGCAGCTGGGCTGACTCTGATTTCGATATGGCGCTGATCGCTGTGAGAATCGGAGGTTCCGGAGGTGGTTATGGTGGACATAGAGGTGGTTTCCAAGGGTATCTGGGTGGGTCAGTACCTTCAAGCATTCAAGGACCTCCATTCATTGTGAAGCTTTTACAATTACCATCGGATGCGAACGACACATTCATCGAAGACTTGTTCAAACTGCGTTACACCCCTGTTGTTAAAGTCAAAGTTGTTTATGACCCCCTGCTGTCCCCCTTGACTTCTAATGTTATACGAAAAGTCGCCTTTGTGGAATTGCGCTCAGCAGCAGACTATCAAAAGGTCCTCAAGTGGCATGATTGTTACTATCAACCGGGTAAACGTGTGATGATTGACCCCGCTAATTTCAACGATTTTCAAGATACGATGCGCTTCAACTCCGATCATGCTGATGAATTGTCATCATTGTCTCAGAAGGTTGCATCTAACTCCAATCGATGGGAACGCGCGGGGTCGTTGGGCCATCAGGCGCCGGTTCAGAACAGACGTTTGTCGACAGCAACGGCACCGCCGCCCCAACCAGTGAAACCGAAACCGAAACCTAATCCTTTCGGCGAGGCGAAACCAGTTGACACCCTTACTAAGGAAAAAGAGATTCAAAAGCGATTGATTAAAGTGAATGAAACAACTACCTTAACGGTTGGTGAAGGGGAAGATCCCAAAGAGATTTTACGCAATTATCAAGAGCGCTGGCGTGGTCGGCGAGGACTGGAACGACGTGGACTGATTGCAATCCTAAAAAGAGATGGGCAGAGATCTCTTTCAAAACATCCGTCACATACCGGCAATAATAAAAGCCAACAGTCACTGTCTGAGCAAGGACCAGATTCATTACCATCGATTCAAAAGGAATCAATTACACTTTCTGAAGACCATAATCCAGTTGTTGATTCTGAGAATAGTGTTCATGGAAAATCACTTGAATGCGGAGAATATGACAACCTTACAAAATCACATTCTCGTGAATCAGACAAGGAAGCTCAAGAAAAGCGCTCATCTATACCTAAGGTTGATAACTCGGTTGAATCCACATCAATAAGTGAAGCTCTCACATCACCCAAGAATGATCCACCTGACCAACTCACAGGTAATGACGCAAAGGCCCCACACTCTTCGAAAGGTAGTTTGGCAGGTACAAATACTGAGATAAGTGCGGATAAAAATCGACGTAGAGGCGATCGTCGAGGTGGTCTGAGACGCTCGCGAGGTAACCGTGATCGTGTGAATGAAAAACTGCAGGATCTGGTAAAAGAAAGGACATCTACAGAGCGCACGACAAGCGATGATCAACCCAAAAAGGAGCAATCTCTGTCGAGTTCTCATTCTCGAGATCACCGATCTCGACGTCGCCGTGATGAGCGGAAACGCCTGGATAAAAGCGGGGTCAAACTGAGTGCTGATCAAACGACCAAACCGGCTGCGAAGTCTGTGCTGGATTCGGACATCGTGAGAGATACGAATGCGAGAACTACTGAGGGACTGCGCCGGGGGTCACTAGATAAGAAAGAAGGTGAGGGGCTGGGAAGACGCAGTCGGCGAGGTGGCAAACGGCGTACTCAAGGTTCTAATGCCGAAGAACGGAAAGACGGACGGGACAAAGAAGAGTCACACAAAGCTACCCTGAATGCAACAACTAATCCCCAAGTTGGTCCTCTCATCGAATAATGATGTGATGTCAATATAGCATCTTCTTATACATTTAAGCGTATGTAGCTCGCGCCTATTACAGGTCAACTTGCGTGCAAGGGAGCCCATACAATACATAAATTAACTAAAAGTGACGCATCCATCGTCGGGAAGTGAATAAATATGCTAAGTCTTTAAAGTAATCCACTATCTTTAAGCAGATTCTCCAAGATTGTTTCTTTGACTGCAGCAAACACAAGTTGAATATTCAGGGTATCTGTAGCTTGTGTGACATGAGGAAAAATGTTGAGCAGTGAACGATTCTTCTGAGTGAAACGCCAAAGGATATATTTGGCGGCCTTATTGATATTATCGCCACCAGTGTAGTCAGGGAAATGATTTTCTAGTGGTGAATACTTCAACTTCTCGGCAAACACGTCAATTTTGTTAAGGAACAAAACAATCAGAGTTCTAGCAAACCAACGCAGGTTAACGACGGAATCGAAAAGAGTTAACAGCTCCTCCAATCGATTCTGAGAGTTTTCTTCGAGAAGAACTTGATCATATTCGGAGAGTGCAACACAAAAAATGATAAGCGTAACATTGTCAAAACAGTGAATCCACTTTTTTCTTTCACTTCGTTGACCACCCACGTCGTACATATGGATCTTGAGCCCCAGACCCATTTGAAAGTGAAAGTCGTAAATACCTGATGTCTTCTTACGGGTTCTTAAGATGTCATCAGTCAGAGGAACATAGCCTTGAGCAGCAATCCGGTCAATGTTCGCCATAAAATATTGCGTCAGATCAATAAGATAGAATCGGCCTTGGTTTAGTTTCATAAACAGAATCACTTCTGGAGTAGAGTATAATTTTTTTATCTTGGCTGCAATTGCAGGTGAGAATGACTCTTGAGAATCAATGGCAATTTCGTACCCTAGGATAGAGTTTAAATCATCATAGTTCAAAACGTGTGTACGCATGATCAGTCCATCAAGTTGTGGGGTACCCGGGCCAGTTGGTTGATCCAGATCCTTCGCAATCAAATCTGGTTCCAAGTCAATAATTGCATTAATGACCAGTTTGATGCAATCTAACACGTTTTTGTAGACAAAGGGGGTGTATTCCACTAGCTCTTCTCGAGTATAGCCACCTTGATGCAAAATCTTCATTTGTTTGACAATGGTCAGCTTACCCAGCTCGCCCAGGCCCAAAAGTAAAACTTTAATTTCCTTGCTGCTGTCACTTGAGCGTTCAGCAGCACCGGTCGACTCAGGAACTTTGGGTTGCGTCACTTCGGTAGTCTGCGCCGGCTTGGACACCTCCTGTTGAGCCGTCTGCCTTTTGGGAGCCCCATTCACCGCAGGAGTACTGGGTTTGGGCTCCTTTGAACTGCACAACCCCATAGTGTCGAGGATTTGTTGTTGTGAGGTGGTTGCCTGTATAAAGTGAAATCGACAACGCGAGTACACGAGAATGGATCTAAGATGCGTCGGGAACGTTAAACAGGCAAACTCGTGAAAGGCTCTTACGATTCTGACCTATGTGTTGAATAAACAATCCAAAGTCGAAGGTTGCGATGTGCAATGCCTTATTCGAAAATTATCACTAGAAGCGTGTCGTATAACTCAAAATAAGAAGTTTATCTGTGACTATTCGAAGATGCTGGCGTAATCAAGCAACGAGCTTCAGATAGCTGTACTCTCTCAATACACCGCTTCACCTGTTGTTTCCGGATTACGAGAACTTCACTAAGTGATAGCATTTCATGTCTCAATGCATCTGTAGTGCGAGCTCAAGTTGCAGTACACAGGTATGAGCGAAGCTCAAGTGAAGCTCACCCATGAAGCGAATGAAATCCATCAGAGTATAATTACTCAGCTCAAAAATATCGAAAAAGACCCATTGAGGTCTGCCAATTTGCTCCGAGGCTTCATTACAGCATTCGAACCTCAACCTCTGCTTTTGGATCCGCATCTTGCGAGTTATGTTCATCTGCTATGTGCCACATTTGAACGAGCGCATACACTCTTGTCATCTACAAATGAAGTCATCGAAGCTACTGGTGCCATATTGGTGTCGTTCGCAAATGTGCGGGGATATCAGGCAATGATCCCTTACTTTAATGCTGATGTGTATAAGTTGGAAGAACTTGTGGGTTACGTGATAAGCATGCCGTCCCCCAACAACCTTGTGCTTCCTCTTATGTGGATATGCAACTTGGTAATGGTGCCATTCAGCTTGTCCACTTCAAAAGAGAACACTTTGATCAAACTCTATCATGCCTCAATTACAATTATTAACAACGCCCCACCGGGGCTGGCTATTCAAAAGATCATACTGATAATGATGGCTCGACTTCTTAGGCGGTCCGATGCAATGGCAAGTTTACTCCCTATATACCTTTCGTATCTAGTGGAAGAATGGCAGTCGTTCCGACCGAATACAGTCGTTGGCCATTACATGGTTATGAATCAAGTGTTAAAGGAGTTTGTTTCGGCAGATTTATGTTTAATTGTCTCCAGCATTATTAAGCTAGACCTTGAAAAAGCACATTCAAACTTATTCCAACTTTACCGGACAAGAATCCTCGCACAATTGGCCGTGATTTATACTCGACAACAAAACTTCGAGGCAGTATCTGAAATTACTAATGACTTAACACATATCCTTCATGAAGTGGATTCTTTTGATGAAAACTCACGGTATGCGTGGGCGAAAGGGCTTGCTTCGTACACACAAGAACTTGGCAAGGTAGCCATAAACTACCAAAATCAGTTGATTCAGCATATTTACTCTCAAATTCCCTCGGGTTCATTGCAGGATACTATCCCAGTGCAAAAATTACATGCATCATTATTGTACTTTGGGTTTTTAACACTTGCAAATCTGCTACCAAGTACATGGACCGAAAGAGTAATTGAAGTTGCTCGTAAATACTTGTATTTCGAACGATGGTTCTTTCGTTCCAACGTTGGAACAGTAGTACGGGATGCACTGAATTTTATTTTATGGTCCATCTCCAGATCCGCAAAGCAATCAAAAATACTGAGCAAACTGTTGAAGAACGCTTTCAAGGATTTACTTCAGGTGGCCGTGACAGACTCTGATTTGATGGTTCGTCGGGGTGCCGTTGCAGTGATACAGGAGATGTTGGGACGAGCTGGGCCACGCATATTTGATCATGTTTCCTCAAGCAAATCGGGCGAGATTGTCATTGAGATTATCGAAGAGCTCAATACCCTGGCAGTCCTGACGTTAACTAGTCTGTATCTGTTGATTCCACTCCTCGAGTCTAAAGGCTATTCATTTCAGGATGTGTTAATTGAAAAAATGCAGCCGGAAGTTGATTGGCATCAGCAACGCATAGCTACAGGTTACGTCATTTGGGATGATCTGGTGTTGAAGCGTATTCGTTTTGATCACGATAACCTTTACTGTTTGTGTCAAGGACTTCTAGTAATGGGAAAGTCTGAACCTAATGAGTCAATAGATATATTTGGGGAGCTGTTCAAATTTGATGGAGAATCGATCTCGCAAGCAGCAGGATATGTGAGTTGGTGTACGCTTAGAGGAACATATGACCGTGAGGTAATTACGTCGATAGTGACCTCAGTAATTGCACGTGAGATCAGGACGCTAATGAAGGATATGTGTTGCAGAATGCCTAAACATTTGTTAGTTGACCTTGTCCCTTTGATACCTCTCCTGCCTGCTTTTGCTGAAGCTTTCTTTGCAGCTGAATTACCTGAAACAATTATCGAAAACGTGATGGAAATGCCATTCGATACTAAGGTAAATATAGATGTGCGAGTGGCGATATGTTCGGTTTCACCCTGGAAACCTAATTTCATCAATTTGCTTGATGATTACACTACGACTCTTCAAGGAGAAGTTGGCCAAAAGCTACGCGTGGCGATCTTAACGAGACTCGAGAACGACAATATTCCTATTTCGGATTCAATCCGAGGTCGCTTGCTTCGGTTGGCTGGTGAACCGATAGACAGTGTAGCAAAATGTGCAAAACGTTTACTCCAAACAAATGATATATGGGAGGTATATCCCAAAATGGATGCCGGAAGTAAGCCTGAGTTTTGGAGAGGCATGGTTATGAGTATAGGAGGACAGTCGGTGGCATCCGAGACTGTGAATGATAACCTTAAGAGATTCTTTGACTTGTACATGTCTGAATTTCAATTGGATATTCTTCATTATCTAATGAAACTCGAAACATTCTGCTTTGAGCCTCCCAACCGAGTTGTTTCTGCGCTCACGACTTGGAGACGATTGTTAGAGGCACAATTACCCATCCCCGAGACCTTTGATTGGCGAAATCTTTTGAAGCAAGTCTACAACTTACATATAAATACTCGCGAGTGGATGAGAGTGGAAGCTGCTATTCGCCTCTTTGGCAGATTATACTTCGTGAAGGATGAGGGCATAAGGTCCACAGTGGTGGAAAGGCTAGTTTTCCTACTTCATCATCGACAGCCTCGCATTCGTGCTTGTGCTAATGACACGATTGCAGATATACTAACTATCATCGGAGGCGCGGTCTCGATCCTAGATGAAATCGATCAATCAACTCCTCTGGCAAAACAAGCTGAAGACATACGGCACGCTTTGGATTTATGCAATTCATAATATTCATTTGCCTATAAACTCACATGTAAGTTATCGCTCAGTTGGTGATAACGCTGTTGCTCAACAAGCAGCGAAATAGGATTATGCTTGGGTATCTTCAGTGTGTCGACTTTGGAAGTTGCCAGCAACTCCGTCGTGGTCGAGTTTAATGGCTCCTTCCGACCCAGTGTACCAGAATCGGACAAGCGACGAATAAAATCGAACGACATAAGTGAATGGCGGAGGCTCGGACTCACACTATATATCCCACTTGTCACGTGATCTGAAGTGCGGGGTAGGAAATCTCATAACCCAAAAAATTACTCTGCGACCTGTCATTCACGTGTAATCTGTTGTGTGCACAACTTATCGTTGTTAAATGAAATCGTCACCATTATTCCAATTTAAACGCTGAAACAAAGGCAAAAAGCAAATAGCTTCTGACATTATTGAGGTTACTAGTATTAATGGATCAACTTTAGACGCCACCGTCTCATCATTTTGGGGGTCAGGATAGCTGTCAGACTGTGGATCCACTTATGATTTGGCTGAAAAATGGAGATAGTGTTTCACTCATGATTTTTGTAAACCAGATTAACACGTTTTCTTCATGATGATTTCCATACATATCGTATCTATTGGTGCCAATCGCCACGACTCATACTCAAAAGGTCATTAATAACTAGCTTTTCCTTCTTCGCGATCTCGTCGCCATCATCAAGTAGAAAACTCAGTATACTTGGTATCTTCAGTAAGGAGTATGTTTTTGGGAGTGGTAATTGACGCTTTGCTTGAGTCTTCTCGAGGATGCGCTCGCTTTTGTATTGTATAGTTTTGAGAATCCGCAAGATCTTGATGTCCTCATCTAACTCCTCATGATCCCAGTCAATCAGACTGTAATAATCGTCCTCGTCTTCCTCTTCGTCATCTTTCAATATATCTTCTTTCAACAGATCATTCAATAATTTGACGAATATCTGAGCGTCTTTCGGTCTCCTCGAGAGCTCAGGTTTGTAATTGATGAAAACCCGGAAAAAAAGCTGGACACTATTTCTTAATAGATCGACAAAATTCGGTATGTTACCATATTCTCCTCTTTTGTAAAACTTTAGTATGCAAATAAGCAAATACAACATCTGTAAAATGATCAGCTTCTTCAAATTGATAATAGTCATCAGAAGACTGTTGAATAAGGCATTAAATGGCAGAGCAGGGATTTCCTTTAAAAGGGTAGCCTTTTTCGGTTGTTGAACGCGCCTTCTCTTGACACTAAAGTCATTTATAACAAATCCATCTTCATCCACATCCAATCCAAGCAGTTCCATAACAGGGTTACTCCGTTTGTGCAGTACAACCTCCAGTTCTGCCACATGTCTGAAGAAGAGAACGAAGTAATTCAAAACTTCACTCAGAATCTCACTTATAGTGCTGTAATGTTCAGGAGTGAGTTCCTTATCGACGATAAAATTAAGATAATTCATGCTTCTGATCAATGAGTAGTGGAAGTTGAGTTGGATTTTGATTAATTGCAGCGCCATGTGTGCATCGGGTAGCCCACTTTTGTAAAATTCAACCAATCCTTCCTGTGGTATACCAACGGTGCTGTAGTTCACCTCCTTGTCGATCAAATCATGATACAAGTCGTTCAGTGCCGCCGTAGAAATGGGGAGCTTCATTCCATTGCTCAATGGCCTTAACGAAATTCTTTCATCCTTTAATCCTTGTCGCCACTCACGTAAGTTTTTGTCAATGACCAAAAACTGATTAAAATTATAGTTCAAATTCCCATCGTTCCCATCCCCATCATCGTCATTCAAAATCCAGTCCAAATGCTTCGGGTGGTCTCGCTTTTTATTAGGGTCTTTCTTCTTCAAATATTGATAGTAGTTTGGGGAGAATGACAGCGGAATGACAATATTCATCAAGTTCAAAAACTCAACCAGTGGTTTCAAGAGAGTGTCAAACAACAGATCATCACCATTAAGTAAACTCAGAAGTTTTTCAGGTGTCAATTGAAAGTAACGATCAATTGTAACAGGGTTGATGACCGTTGTGTTTAAACTGGGCTTGAAACCAAACTTGAGGTTAAAACATTTGAGTAAAATCTTGAAGGCCCAAAAATTTTTGACTCTATTAGTTCGCTCGGCCATCGGCAAGCTAAGATCATTGAAAAACAAATTCTTGGAGTTTAAGTTGACACCCAAGATACCGATAAACAGATTTACCATCCCAGCTAATACCAGCAGCTTCTCCTTGTTATTTGTCAATAACGAGTAATACAAAAAAATTAAGTAGACTTGAAGTTGATCTCTCAGAACATTGAAAACGTTGAAATATGGCAAGAAATCGTACAACAGCTTTACAACCAGCTCGCCGGGGCCTTTTTTAAGACTGTACCTTGGTTCGGCATGATTCAAAAGTAAGTTGAGGTTGATCGTTGGATCATTAATCATCAACATGGCATAGATTTGAACGACGATCACGAAATATTGGTTCACCACCGTATAGTCATTGCGCCCCAAATTAAATCCATTTAAAGTAGAATCGTCATAGGTGAACATAAACGGATACATTGTGTGAAATTGCTCATAGGCATTCCAAAATTGCTGAAAATCAAAGATCGGGATGAAAACATTGTAATGCAAAAAGAACATTTTGATCTGATTATCTAGCTCACGCTTATTGGCGAATAAAGTTTTGAAGTTGTTGACCAACTGGATGAAAAGTTGGTAGACGTCACGAGGCATGGTTTGATCACCACCAGCAATCGGGTTATAAATCATTGCCAAGTCACGGTTCTGGAATTCATTGTAATCTGAAAACAGTGGATGATACAAGAACAGATTTGGATCATTAACAAGGTAGTTGTGACTGTTGGTAATTTTCAAAAATGGTAGATTTAAATTTATGAGCAAGTGGTTGAACTGCAGCTCAAAGTTCAAGTTGTCATTGCCAATGATGACCCCCTTGTTGTCCAAGTTGAATATTTGATCAATAGGGTTTGCCGGGACGTTAGGGACGCGTTCTTGAGGGTGGGTATTGGGAACATCTTTCGACTCATGGTTGCTTCCTTCTCTGGCGATGCGTAACTCGTTTTCCAACTCACGAACACGTTTTTCAAGATTTTCCGTGTATCCTTTGGGAAAGGCCCGCCGGCTGAGCTTATCCAGAATTTTACATTCCAAGCCGGCTTTAGTGCAATTCCCACACAGAGGCTGGACCCCATCGCACTTGACCTTTCTGGAACGGCATCGATCGCAAGCCTGCGACACACGCGGGCCCAGCAGGGTGTTGATGAGCTTCAAATTCAGAGCACCTTTCTCATTGGTGCCTGGTGGCAGCATTCGTGTGTGTGATTTTAGATTGATTTCCCGAGGACATAACCAAGTGTTGGTCCGGCATATAACCCTACTTGTCACATGTGTGTCTACTTGGCTATAACAGGGGGAAGTCACAATATTTGGCGTCCCATAGACAATAGATTTTGTAATAAATGTAAAGAAAATAGACACTGTTGCCGTGGCTAGGCCGCTACGGTGGTCGTGACTGACTAATTAGTCATCGACCGATTTGTGGGGGAAGTCACGGCTGGTGCATGAAAAACGGCGCTTTCCGGGTGAAAGGAAGTCGTGAATGACCGCAGTCGGTAAAATGGATAATTTCGGCGAGCACCCGCGTTAGCAAAACGCGAAATGTCGTGTGGAAGTCTCGAAATTGCGGGCAACTCTGACCACTGTAACGTACCATTGTTTCATGATATTGCGGAGTTCGTCGTATTAGCCCATGTTGTAGTCAAGATCGGATGGCCCCTGTGGTTGGCAAACTGCGAGACCAATGACATGGAAAATGCCCTCTCAAGTGGAAAGTGCCCTCTCGAGTGTCAAAATCGGTCATGTATCAAATCACTGCCTCAATACTAATGTTACCCATTCGACTTTTTGTCAGTTTCTACTTAATAATCGAGATAGATATCGTCATGCAGCCCAACCCCCGTACGGCTCAAGGATTGCTTTGTGTCATGCAGTCACCCCGTAGATAGCAGAAAGTATAAAGCCACCTCATTATCAAGACCGATACCAACAAAACATGAGCTCCTCGAACCACCCTGCTCTGTCCGGCAACGCGGACGCCACCAAGAAGCCTCACTCATCCTTGGGAGACAAGGTCTTTGGGCGGGACCAAAACCCTGACGACGTAAACTGGGAAGCCGAAGGTGCCTCGTTCGGTAATGGTGTTCACGGAGGTGGTATGGTGGGCGGCACTGTGGCTGAGATCCATAGCCATCAGGACCAAGCGCACCACCGCGTTGAAGAACACCACCACCACCATACCAAGATTGGCGAGAAAATCGACAAGATTCTCCATCATCACGACCACGGCGACCACAAACACAAGAGCGAAGTGAAGGAACCCGAGCCCACCATTCCCCAGATGGGGCCGGTGTACCAAGCGCAAATGAACAATCTTAGATGAACGGTTACGTCTCAACATGATATTTTGAATAAATAAATGACTATAAAGGAATTAAAACTTGCCACCAGTTCTCTTCTTTCTCAACTCGTTTTGTTCTTTTTCAACTTCGGGATCCCACACGATGAAGTCGTCCAAAGCGTTACCACCAGGGACCATGGGAAGAACCGGCACCTTCTTGTCGACGATCACCTCCAACAACACCGGTTCCTTGCATTCGAGGAACTCCTTAACGCCTTCTTTCATTTGTTCTTGAGTGCTAATGCGAATACCTTTGACGCCCATGGCTTCAGCCAACTTCATGAAGTCGGGATTGGTCTGATGCGTGTGGGCATAACGATGCTCGTAGAATAATGATTGCCATTGCGTCACCATCCCCTGTTCCTCGTTGTTGAGGACACAGATCTTGACGGGGGCGCCCGCCTGGACGGCTGACAGCAATTCAGTCAAAGTCATGTTGAATGAAGCATCACCGTCAATGTCAATGACGATGGTGTCGGGCTTGGCTACTTGAGCGCCAATGGCGGCGGGTAAACCATAGCCCATGGTACCTAAACCACCGGAAGTGATCATGGTTCTCGGCTTGGTCCAGGTAAAGTGTTGGGCAGCCCACATTTGATGCTGACCGACACCGGTAGTGATGATAAAGTCCTTACCCGACTCTTGTAATTGTGCGTCCATTTCTCTGATCAACGTTTGCGGCTTGACAAGCGAACCCGGTGTTTCCGTTTGGTAGGCGTAAGGGTATTTCTTTTTCCAGCCATCCAATTCAGTAAACCACTCTTTGCGTTCGCTAACGGGCTTCACCAAGGGGATGAATTCTCTCAAATTGTCAGTGACGTCACCCTCGACGGCCTCGGTGGCCTCAACCACCTTATTAATGTTCTTGGGAGAGATCTCGAAATGAATGATACCACCACGACCTTCGGCAGCGGCAATTTTCGCGGCGGGGGCGAATTTGGTGACGTTACCAGTGACTCTGTCGTCGAAACGGGCACCAAGTGCAATGATCAAGTCGGCGTTTTGCATGGCGGTGTTGGCAGCCGCCAGACCGTGCATCCCGAGGAAATCCATCGACTTGGAGTCTCTTTGGTCAAACGCACCCAACCCTTGAATGGTGGTGGTGACGGGGATTTGGGCCTTGTCGGCCAACTCTTTCAACAATTTGGGGCCGTCGGGGTTGTTCAAGATACCGGCACCAACGTAGAGGATGGGTCTCTTGGCTTTGTTGACGAGCTCGGCCAGTCTCCGGATGGCTTCCTTGGTGAATTCGGTGGTGGCTTGACGGGTGATTTGCGAGAGCGTCAGCGAGGGGAGGGTGGAGTTGATGGGGATAGCGTGTCTCAAAATGGAGGCGGTGACATCCTTGGGAAGGTCGACCAACACGGGACCGGGGCGGCCCAGAGTGGCAATTTCGAACGCCTCGTTGATGCGTCGTGGCAACTCGGCGACGTTTTTCACCATCACGTTCCACTTAGTACACGAACGCGAGATCCCGACGACGTCGGCTTCTTGGAAGGCGTCGGAGCCGATGGCGGTGGTGGGCACTTGACCAGTGAACACCACGAGGGGGACCCCGTCCATCAACGCGTCGGCCATCGGGGTGATGACGTTGGTCGCCCCGGGACCCGAGGTGACCAACACCACCCCGGGCTTACCCAGGGCTCGGGCGTAGCCTTCCGCCATGTGACCAGCACCTTGTTCGTGGCGGGGCAACACAAACTTGAACTTGTCGGAGTTGTAGATGGCGTCGAACACGGGCAAAATCGCGCCCCCGGCGTAGCCGAAGATGGTGTCGACGTTGTGGCGCAACATCATTTCGTGGAAAATCTCCCCCCCAGTAAGGCCGATGAACGAGTCGTCCATGTCGACCTTTTTGCTTTGGCGGGGCAAGGGGGTGTCGGGCTGAGTCTGGAACAGAGGTGCCGGCGACGGTCTCGTCGCGGTGGTGGGGTTAGCAGCAGCGGTGGCAAGGCGAGCGGTGGCAACCACTCTAAGCCCTTTGGCAAGCGCCGGAGTACGGCGGACAGCTCTAAGCATGTTGTAACAAGACTCTTAAATTTTTCGCAGCAGTAAGAAAGATATATATGGTGACTCAGAGGCCCGGTTCCGGCCAAACTCCCCGTCTGCATATAATCATCCATTGAAGAAAAAAAAAAGCCCCAGATTTTTCGGGCGACCGGAACGTCGAGAGTTTTTATCAGGGTGTCGAAGGGTTGACGTCGTCTAATTTTTGATTCTGTCGGGGGTCAAACCGTCGTCTACGTGGTAAGGTTTTTTATCGGGGTCGATGGTTATTGCCCTGGACGGGATCCCGCGGCTGACCCCCCGATGCTTGATTCGATGACTCAAAAATGCACGTGATCCTTCGATCGCGGAGACTAAGATCCGTACCGATCAGAAATTCCCCAGAGTGGATCTAGGGGGGTTGAAACTACGGGGTAGCTGCTTGCGTACGTAATCTATTACCGTTTATTATAACTCCTATGAAATCAATCATGAATAATTTGTCTAACCTTGTTTCTCCCCAGTAACCCCCAGGTGGTTCCGAACCACAAGGTCTTCCGGCGGTGGTGCCGCCGACAGCGCCAGCGAGTCGAGGCGGTGTTCGTATATCAGACTCAGGTGGGGCTTGCTCTCGTCGGTGGTACCGTCGTTAAGGGGAATCTCCACCATGTGGGACGCTTGGGGATGGCTGTGATGCAGGGTGGTGTAGTGGAGCTCCAGGTGGTGTTCCGAGTGGGTCCCAGTAGTCTGGCCGGGGTTGCCCCACGCCAAAAAGTCTCGGCGCACTTCGATGTAATCGTAGGCAAACTCGCCGATCTGGTCTTCGTCCAAACCCGCCTCTTCGGCGTCGTAGTCGACGCGGAGATGGAGCCCGGGGATGTTATTGATGACAAAGCAAAGGATGGCGGTGACCACTGCCAGGTAACCAGTACAGGCTAAGATGTAAGCAATCTGAATGTACAATTGCTTGTAGTTGTGGTCTAACCATCCTCCTTCGTGGACGGTGACGTTGTCGTACCCGATAACGTCGGCACTGCCGAAAAGGGCATTGAAAATCAACCCGACAACGCCAGCGATGCCGTGTTCTGCTAACACATCAAGAGAGTCGTCCACGTGCAAGAGGTACTTGATTTTGGTGGAAAAGTTACACACGGTACCCGCGACCACCCCCAAAATCACCAGCGCCCACAACGGGATCACCCCGGAAGACGGCGTGGCGGCGACCAACCCCGAAATACACCCGGAACACGCCGCAACCATCAGCCACTTTTGTTCGAGCCGGAAATCCAACAACAACCAGGTGGCGGCACCAAACGCGGCACACAAGTGCGTGTTCATCGTAGAGTAGATCGCTTTAAGCGAGGCGTTGGCACACGACAAACCGTTGAAAAATAACCAACCGAAGTAAAGCAACACCGTGCCCAAAAACACGTTGGTGATGTTATGGGCACGATACAGCACCATCAATGTCTTGTTGCGCCGCCCGAGGAACGCTGAGTAAACGAACGCCGACACCCCAGAGAGAATCTCCACCGGCCCGCCGCCGGCGTAATCTAAAACCCCCAGCTTCCACGTGGCCGCCCAACCACCGCCCCAGATCCAGTACACGACGGGGCAATAGACGATGGTGGCCCAGCAAAAAAGAAATACCATTGCTGGTAAAAACCGCCCGCGCTCAGCAACACAGCCACCGGCAAGAATGGCTAGGGTAATCAACATGAATTGCATTTGAAACAAGGCATACGCCATCTTCGGGTAATCGGCGCCTTCAAGGAGGTTCTGGAAGCCAAAGTTGTGAAGGTTGCCGATAAAACCGTTGTGTGCCGTTTCCGAAAAACCGAGGGAGTAGCCCCAGAAATACCATTGGAAAATACCAATGAACGACAGGACTATGACGATCCAGATCAAGGATAACGCCAGCTTCCGTCGACTCAAACCCAGGTACAAAAAGGCGAGCCCGGAGATCATGATCCATATGGCATTCAGCCCCACCAACAATATGATCAACGTCAGCGGGTTGTAGTTCTCATCTTGGGGATAGAGATCTCGGGTTAGACGGCCGTACATGGTGGGTCGTCTGGCTCGATGTACGTGATCACGTATGGAACAGCTCTGGGGTGTTCGTCATATTTATTGCTGCATACATGCCTGATGAGCACCGCGAAGGCTTATCAGTGGCAACTCTTATCAGTGCGCAATGGAAAACTGCGGTCGGATTGTGGACCCAATGAGCATCTCGGATAACTGATAAGCATCGTATTTTTAGTTACCCCAGATAACGATGAGAGGACTATATATTGATTGACAATCACGATGAAGAGACGATTTCGAATGAATTTTGTCAGTATATGGTGGATATGCCATCGGAAGAATTAGCACGGCGTCAGGTGTCGAGCCCGCCTGCATATGGACGGGAAAATACGGAACAGGTACCACCGTTTCAAGACACATGTCAAAATGATGACAGCCATCGACCAATAAAATAGCCGTGATAACAACGCAACATTCATCCGACACTGGGAAGGAGTAGACACGTCAGGGAAATTTTGGAAAGGTATATTTGTCCTTTAAACTGATCATTAATCCTCGACCACCCGAGTTCTACGTTCCGAGATGCTTGACCCTGATTGGAGAGCTCACGCTTATCACGCATGGTTTTTTTTCCGGGACTCACCGGGAAATGCGGCTAAACGCGATTTGATGGCATCACCAGTCTCCTCCACGTCGGATAAACAACAAGAATCAGTGTCTTTCAACACTCAGTGCTGACACTTTCTCTGAATTTGATCGCCTCATGAATTTTGCTCTCTAGTTGTGTGAATACGCTCATCGCGCGCCTTCTTTCCTCTTCCTCATCCCCCACTCACCCCCCAAATTTTTTCATGCACGCGTAGATTGCCCCCACCTATGTTCGCTTGACTCAACCCTAAGTGTCACACCTCAGATCTAGACTATTTACAAGTTGTGAAATGGAACAAGGTCCCTTAATTCGCCGAAGTCTCAGCATGTGTCGAGTGTTGGTATTCTAACCAAAACTGCCGTAACTCAAATACGACCTCGACTGTAATCAATAATATAATGATCCATTCAAGACGTGTGCTCTTTTTTTCGTTAAGAACCAGCAAAAACGCCCTCAGCTCATCAGTAGCATAATCAAGCTTCCGATTCAATATCGAGATACGTGGATTGATGTCAAGAGCTCGTGACACTGATGTATAAATCCGTTCCAACAGAGGCTCTTCCCAGTACAAATCTGGGGTCTCGATGAGCTCCAGATACAAATTCAACTTTGCTCGTAATTGAAATAATTTTCCCGTCAATTGCAATAGCTGATGTTCTGTTGTCTTTATCTTACCGGTGGCCAAATATCGAGATTGGTCCTTAGCGCGTAGTAAATATTGATCCAATGCATTTTCCAAAATGGAGAGACGAGTGCTTCTCAGAAATCCAATTGCAAATGCTGCCTTCTCCAAGAGGGCTTGATCGGCATTGTCTTCGGCGACCACTAGAACTTCGCCCTTAAGGTACAGTCCATCGCTTTCGCCTGTGATTCCAATCCAATCCATCACATCAGCCTCGGGGACGTAAGATTCATCAATGGCGGAGCCGAGTTTCTTTGCATAATTTTGGACAATAATCTCTTCATTTAAGTTCCATCCAACTAAAGTACCATTCGACAACACCATCAAATCGGTCAGTTGGTTGATATTGATATTGATGACTTCGTCGGGTATAACTTCTTCGTAGTTGTAACACTTGAATTCTTGCGCAGCTCGTCTCAAATCTATCAGTTCACCGATGGTCACCGCGGTGACGGGCATCAATAACTTTTCCACTTGCTTAGGAATAGTCACATCGTTATCTTTGGGCAATAGTTTGAGCAACAGAATAGTGCTTCTGGGATCTGGTCGCCGACGAAGGTGATGTTGGGCCAGTTTTTTGGAGGCACATCTTACAAAAAATCGCACTAGTGGCTGTCGCCATTGTAGCATGATCAAATGTTGTTTCACCAAAACCCGCACTACCGTTGTCATACACTACACACTGCGACAAGAATTACCAAAACCACTTCGAGAGGGAGTGCATTCACCTACATTTTATCAGTATTAGGCCCATCGACGTAAATGATATGAAGCAGGCCGTAGGAGACTATTGAAATTAAGGCTCTACATTCACACTAGATCTACAATTGCAACTTATCAAATCTACGCCTGGCCCCCTCTTCACTTGGCCTTAATATTTGCATGACTCATTTCGATCCGTCCAAGTTGAATTTTAAAAACCCTCAACAACCACGTATATCGTTAAGCCATGTGGCCTTGACATTCGAAAGGTGATCTTTCATTGTTTTTGTTTTTAACTTTTACGATACTCGGTTATTGCGTGTCCACGTAGACACAGTGTTCATAAAGGATTTCAACAGCACCGCCTTCAATTCGATGCATCATCTGCGCCTTCTATATTTAGGACTGCATCATTTTCTTTAAGAATTACTCTGGAAATTGAATATGGGAGGGAAATTCCAATAGAAGAAACGATCGAAAACGACGACATTCTATGGTGATGGTCATTTATCGTTGATCTTGCTTCTATCGGTCGCACTTTGATTCCGCACTGTTTATGTTTTGCCGAATCAGGGACGGTAATGAAAGGAGCGCCTGCGCAAGGGAAAATATATTAAAGGCGTGTCCATAAGTTTTTTTTCCGCTAATAAACATGTGGTACGTGAAATAGAACTGGATGTCGGAGTGGATTTCAACAAGAGTCTTGGATTTGACGAAGACTTAGAAGTCGCCATTCTTGTTGAAGTCCCTGGCAAATATCAGAGTTTTTGGACTACGAACTATGAACTAACAAATTAGTGGCATCTTTGGATACGTGAACTACCTTGTTGATAAGTCACGCGGCGAAGTGATCGATTACCTTATTGAAGGGTTGCAAAGACTTGAGTACCGGGGGTACGACTCGGCCGGGCTTGCCGTCGACGGCGATGTCAAGGGCGAGAACATCATCATCAAGACGCCCGGTAAGGTCAAAGTCTTGAAGCAAAAAATCATCGACGAAAAAATTAATCGTGACACGGTGTTCAATGATCATGTTGGGATTGCCCACACTCGTTGGGCCACCCATGGTCAGCCTTTGGAACAAAACTGCCATCCTCATCGACTGGACCCCAGCGGTGAATTCGTGGTCGTCCACAATGGTATCATCACTAACTTTAATGCTCTCAAGACCTTGTTGTTAGCAAAAGGATTCAAGTTCGAGCTGGATACCGATACTGAATGTATTGCCAAGTTGTTCAAGCACATCTATGATACCAATGAAGCTGCGGGTGTTTCCCTTGATTTCAACGACTTGACTAAGCAGGTTCTTCGTGAATTGGAAGGGCTGTATGGTTTGTTGGTGAAGTCTAATCACTATCCAGGCGAAGTGTGTGGTACTAGAAAGGGTTCGCCTTTGCTTGTCGGTGTTCGCACTGAAAAGAAGCTCAAAGTGGACTTTGTTGATGTGGAATTCCCCGAAGGTCCCACTGAGATCGCTCCAGCCTCCCTTGTTGTTCCCACTCAGGAAGCGTTGCGTACTTCACAACTGCGTGCTTTCTTGGCCGACGACGGTGTTCCCATGCCCGTTGAATTTTTCTTTTCTTCAGACCCCGCCTCTGTCGTACAACACACCAAAAAGGTGTTGTTCCTCGAAGACGACGACATTGCCCACATCTATGATGGCGAATTGCACATTCATCGCGCCACCAAGAAGCTGGCGGGTGAGCTGGCCCTGCGTCAAATTCAAACTCTTGAAATGGAATTGGATCAAATCATGAAAGGGCCCTACAAGCATTTCATGCAAAAGGAAATTTTTGAACAACCTGACTCTACTTTCAATACTATGAGAGGTCGAATTGACTTCGAGAACTCCGTGGTAACTCTTGGTGGGCTCAAGCAATTCCTTCCCACAATTCGTCGTTGCAGACGGATTATCATGATTGCTTGTGGTACATCTTATCACTCGTGTCTTGCTACTAGATCAATCTTTGAGGAGCTCACTGAGATCCCCGTTCTGGTTGAATTGGCCTCCGACTTTTTGGACCGCAAATCGCCGGTTTTTAGAGATGATGTTGGTGTTTTCGTGTCTCAATCGGGTGAAACCGCTGATTCTATTTTAGCTTTGCAATACTGTCTTGAGCGGGGTGCTCTCACCGTCGGTATCGTCAACTCTGTAGGATCGCTGATGTCAAGACAAACCCACTGCGGTGTGCACATCAATGCGGGTCCTGAAATTGGTGTTGCGTCGACAAAAGCTTACACATCCCAATTCATTGCGCTTGTAATGTTTGCTCTTTCGCTTTCCAACGATTCTATTTCTCGGATTGATCGTCATAAGGAAATTATTGCTGGCTTACAAAAAATTCCTGATCAGATCAAGGAGGTGTTGAAACTCGAAGACAAGATTAAGCAGTTGTGCGATTCCACTCTTAACGATCAGAAGTCTTTGTTGATTCTCGGTCGTGGCTACCAACATGCTACGGCACTTGAAGGTGCTCTTAAGATCAAGGAAATTTCGTACATTCACTCGGAAGGTGTTCTTGCGGGTGAGTTGAAGCACGGTGTTTTGGCTTTGGTTGATGATCAATTGCCTATCATTGCCTTTGCAACTAGAGATTCATTATTCCCCAAGGTTGTTTCTGCGATCGAGCAGGTCACGGCTAGAAACGGTAGACCCATTGTCGTTTGCAATAAGGGTGATCTGATTACTCAAAACTCAAAAATCTTTGCTACCCTTGAGGTACCTGAGACTGTCGATTGTTTGCAGGGTTTGCTCAATGTGATTCCCATGCAATTGATGAGTTACTGGTTAGCTGTTAATAGGGGTGAAGATGTTGATTTCCCTAGAAACTTAGCGAAATCAGTGACTGTTGAGTGAGAATGAATTTAATGCTAATAATAAACGTAAACATACCTGGTACATATGCTTTGAATTCCATAGCAGCGCATGCTTTCATCAAGTAATCCGTTGTGGATATGAACATGTAAGATGTCAAAATCTCTTCTCGAATCGTTGGGATGCCGTTATTGTGTATAGCAAAGTACCGTTACGCCTGGAACTTTTGATCCGAACTCGATAATTAGTGTTTTGCCCAAATGATTGGCATGACGATTCTGTGAAACTCTCAACAATGAGTCGTTTGCACCGACTGTTCCCATTTTCGAAGAATTCAGCTTCATTCGTCGGTCTCCTGTTAAGGTTCTATTTACAATATTCAAAATCATGGGGCGGCTGATAATTTTGTTACCGTGTCAGGCTCAAGATCCACATGAGCGTCACCCAGTTTGGGAGCGATCGAAGATACCAGTGGAGGTTCCAGTTTCTCTGTCAACGGAGCGAGGTCTGCATTAACCGATTTTTGGCGTGCCTCCTCTTCGGCGCGCTTCTTTTCTCTCCGACGAAACTTTTTCAGCTCATATTCATGCCATTCCCCATCAATACCTTGCAAGAAATCTAGCGGCTCTGGTAGTGGCTCCAGGGTAAACCAAGAGTGGGTTAACGCTTCATCGGCGGTAACACGCTTGCGAGGGTTCATTTGCAATAATTGACTAGCCAAATCGAACCCCAATTCACTCATTTTTGGTGCGTAAAGTTCTGAAAAGCGACTCGGCTTGACAACACGTGGCGTCAACATGTCAAACCAAGGGAGTTGCGTGATTTCCGGCCAATCTTCAGGGTTGGGCGTGCCCATTATGTTGTATATCTTGCACAATTGTTGAACTTCATCAATGCCTTGAAATGCTGCCAGCTTGACGTAGAGTTCAAGAAGTAGACAGCCAACACCCCAAACATCAACTTCGCGCCCATAATTCGTGGCTCCGAGTAACAATTCGGGGGGCCGATACCAGATCGTAATGACTCTATTAGTATAGTCGGGAGATTCACCATCTTGAACAACTTTCATTGTACGAGCTAATCCAAAGTCGGCAATTTTAAGCTTCCCCTTAGAGTCAACCAAGATATTCAGACCCTTGATATCTCGGTGTATCACTTGCTTCAGATGAAGATACAGAAGTCCCAGCATCAACTGATGGAATAAAAATTTTCGATGCCCTTCGGAGAGCTCAACATTTGGAATACGAAGTAATCCCAAAAGATCATGCTCGGTATAGTCAAATATCATGTAAACTTGATGATGCTCAACCATGATTTCGTATAAGGACACAATGTTCTCATGGTCAAACAGTTGTAAAAGTTTAATCTCACGTATAGCCGTAATTGGAAAGCCTTCCCTTTCACTTTCAAGGCGTAATCTTTTCAAGGCAACTGGTTCCTGAGTTATTTCATTGACTGCTTTGTATACCTTGCCATACGTTCCTTCACCAACAAGCTTGATGCGTTTGTACGCATCAGTAGCTCTATACCGTACCAGATAAAGTTGATGTGGCATCAATTTGCGTGGGGGGCGACGACGATGAAGTGGCAGGCCCGAAGGCTTGCTCGAACCTTGAACGTTTCCTCTGGGGCCACTAGGCTTTTGAGTGTTGCGATATGAATTCACTCGTGGGCGCAGAGGAGGTTGCATTTGCTTTTGAGCAGCAGGTCCCTGCGGCGGTGGTCGCTTCGGTGGGGGGGCCTCCTCGCTGTCCGTCACGCTACGGTGGTGACGTTTATAGCTTTCGTACAGCTCTCTTGGATGATATGGCTCACGGTATGATCCACTTCTATAGCTGCTGCCCCCTCCCTGGCGAAAGTTGTCTCGAGAATGATAACTGCGATGATCAGGCTGATTCGAAAAATCACGTTGCGGAGTATAGCTGTCCCGTTGAGACAGATATGAACTCTTGTAATACCTCAGTGGAGCCAGACTGTCTTGGTCTGGTCGTTGTGAACCACGAGGACCCGAAGGACGGTAGCGGTCTGACATGGGGTAAGTGGCGGTAGAGAAATTTGCGCGCGAAAAGATGCCCTAGGAAGGTGTCGACGTCTCTGAATGAACTTGCGAGATCGAATATTAACCATTCAAGCGATTCCTTGACATTGAGCCCTTCCAAAACCAACGGAAACATAGTTTCGTCCTGAAAATGGCACACCAATGGTTTTGACAGACGCAAAATCGAGTTGGACCAGATAAACTACAACTGGCGTAACTCCATAGTACTAGTCTGTCAAATAATTAAGTCTTTTGAATCCTTCAAGGACTCATCCGCTGAATCATACACAATGAAAACATCCTCTCGTTCATAGCAACTCTAACTCAGGTACTCACAAAGGTGAAGTTGGCACGATTCACGACATTAGGGACAAAATGCAACTTGTCAAATCTCCAGTTGGCTTGGTCTACAATCCAACATAGAGATCAAAGGCTCTTCAAAGCGTAATCAAGCTCAGTGTCATGTGGGAAAATTGTTGGTGAAGGGATAAGTATGAAAAAAAAATCTCGCACTCTCATCAGAGTCGAGGGTGTAAAATGATCACCAGCATCCCTTGGGCCCCATCAAGTGATGTAACATGTGATTGTGAACAATCATATCAAAAATTAAAACTTCTAGGTTTTTTCTGACTATGTGCTATCACATTCCCAACTGCCATCTACTTGGGAAAAGCATTCAAGTTCACAATCCGCGCAACACTTTTTGACAGTGAGATCAGAAAATTGAACTCTGCACATCTTGGAGGATAATGGGTACAGTAAGTTATATCTTTTTGGGGAACTTCAAATGAGTCTCATACCGTTCGTTTTGTGATAGTACTAACTGAAGCTTTCGAAAGCTGCTCATATTGGACTCGATCTTGCACTCCTTCTGGGTTTCCTTGCTGGAGTCAAGAGAAATACTGGTCTTATGCCTAACACCGACAAAATTCAAAACGATACTGTTAGGGATTATACTGAGAAGTATCTTAAGTTTGGTGACACGATTTATGATTGGTCTGTGGCCTACTTGTCTTCGTCGGATTACTTTGTTAGAAAGTAGCTAAATTGCAGGGAAGTCAAAAATGCCCACGTAAATAGTTGAAGAATATTGTCGTCATTCATGACACTCCAATCTCACATGGGTAGCTATTGCAAAACTTATAACTTATTTGTTTGAAATCAGTTTGATATTCTCTATATTTTTCTTTTATGAAGAGTTTTAGTGACTTACGGAGAACAACCTGATAAGAACGTCAGAATTACGAGATCGGACTTTTGAAATCTGTGGTAAATGATGACCAAGGGTTCTCGAGAGAGCCGCACTCATGGGACTCCGCTCATTGTGGAAGCACAACGGTGAACGGCGTACTTTGTGTGGGTGGTGTTGATTTGATGGACTGAATCCGCCATAGGGCCTTCGACGGGTTTCTCTCTATCTGTTCTTTTTTGATGCATTCAGGCACCATTCACGACACGAGTCTTTCTTCAATATGTGGTTAAAAATGTATGGTCCCTAGCGGGATCGAACCGCTGATCTTGGCGTTATTAGCACCACGCCTTAACCAACTGGGCCAAGGGACCTCCACGGGTTTGTGTCGTGTAAAATGATAGCTTGCAGATCGGAGTTATTGAGGAATGACTCCGATGCTGGTCGAAGGGTCTGGAAGGTTCGAGAAGCCAGACGAAGTCACATGTGAAGGCTCGATACACATGTGACAGTTGCAGAAGAAGGTACCTGGAGCTTCCATGGTGGCAAAGTGGGAAGCCGCAGGTTGGTGTACAAATATGATTGATTTGATTAGAAAAGAATACAAGTGTTTTATTAGTGAGCTTCGCATATTATACAACAGTTTGTGGTATAAAATTATGACAGTCACTGGATCACGACTGGTAGTGAAGATCAAATATCAATTGTCTTGATTAAAAGTCACTTGTCTAAAACTCTCTGTAAACTCAGCGTTATTTATACCTCAGCAATACCGCCAGTATTGCGATCATAACGCCACTGTGGAACCTTCCACGCATGCTCCAGTCACGCTTACGACTCCTTGCATGCTTGATCTCAAACACACCTTGACTCTCGTCAACCTTCTCTCAGGTTCCATCAATTTCCGGAGTTAGCTCTTCACAAGTCCGACGCTCAAGGTCAGCATTTTACACGACAACGACGTAATCATATTGTGAAGGTATGAAGAATGTTGTACAAATCTTACAGCGATTTTTACAGCTTAGATCCAAATGCAAATGATTAGATAAAAAAAAATTGATTGAAGTTGCGTCCGTACCTAGTAGAATTCATCTCTCCCAGTCACACCAGTTGTATTTAAGCTACCAGAAGTTGATTTAAAAGACTTACAGATTATAGACATGGATGCAAGTGGTTTTTCTCCATAAAAAAAGCCATCAGTAAGCGCAGAGACTTTGAAAGTTATTGGTAAAAAAAACAAATTCAGGTATTAACATGGCGAATGTTAAGTGACGAAAGTAGCTCTCTCGTCTCATTGATTTACTGTGCAGATGCTTGAATGATTTGAGAGTTGACGCCTAGTAGCAATGCTTCCTTGACAAGTAAATGTACATTCCGATAATCTGGAAACTGTAAGTTGTCACCCAAATGCTTTAGTGCATCAAGTCCGTTAGTTAAATAGGATACCTAATGACCCCATTGCCTTGAGAATCATGAAGAGAAAACAATGATGTATCTCTTAAGTAAAGTGTTGACTGATTAGACATTTATTAATCTTCACAAATGATACTCAATCATACGTTCACCAGCTTTGACAACTTCGTCATCCGGCCACACCAATTTCATTATATCCAAAAACTCTTTGGCATAGTGCATCTGTATACCATACTTGTTGCAATAAAACTCTTCAACCTCAGTCATGGTAAAATGAGGCTCTTCGTTGTCCTTTAGTAAGGCATTCATTTCAGCCAGCGATTGACTTTTGCCTTCTTCCTCCATGTCTCTCAAATATTCCTCAATTAAATCCTTGCGGTTTTCCCGGGGAATAATCATGCGACGAATTTGACCAGTAAGATGAGCTCCCAATAACTTTTCTTTGACTCCTCCAATGGGAAGAACGAGGCCTCTTAATGTAATCTCGCCCGTCATTGCAATATCTGCAGGTACTGGTTTGTCCATAATGAGTGACAAGAACAGTAACGCCATCGTGACCCCTGCCAGAGGGCCGTCCTTCTGGATCAGACCCATGGGAACATGAAGGTTTATTTCCAAATTGTTGATTTTCTCGATCAAATCACGTTGACTCCCGATGTCACTCAGAAGTAGACCTTTGTAGATTAACAGCTTGATGAATATCAATCCAATCTTTCCACTTTCCATCAAAACTTCTCCGAGTCGACCCGTCATGGAAAGAGAACAGCCTGTGTTTTTGACATCAGGATTGCTGATGCGCTTATCAATCCCAATCAGCTCGAATACAAGCACCAGGCCCAGCCCTTCTGAGTTGTATGATAAACCATTGACAATACCCACGCGCGTCGCCGTGCTTGTTGTGACCTCGGCAGATAAATTCCCTGATGAGTAGGGAACCCCCAAATACTTCGGAAGATCAGTTACGGTAACTGTCGGCTCGTACCCAGAGATGATCCCGTCCAAGCCAAGAGCCTCACAATATTCCACAGCTTTGTACCTGCAAATAGTGCCAAGTCTCCGTTCGAAGTTGCGCACACCTGCCTCACGAGTATAATCAATAATGACCTGCTTCATAGCGTCATCAGAAATGCTAACAAATTTTTCAACATCGTCGTCATTGTCAAGCGGAAACCCATTCCGACGTAATTGGCGAGGCAAAAGATACTTTCTACCTATGACCAATTTCTCCAGATAATCATACGCACCAATATCAATCATTTCGAGACGATCGAGAAGTGGACGACTCATTTGGTATGGCTCATTTGCAGTGCAAACAAAGATAACTTGCGATAAATCGACGGGAAAACCAAGGTAGTGGTCAATAAACAGTGTATTTTGTTCCGGATCCAAGACTTCCAAAAGTGCTGCCAGAGGATCACCGTTGTATTTCGAAGCTGGTGAGTTGTTGCCTCCAACAACTTTGTCAATTTCATCAAGCAAAATAACTGGGTTCATCAGACGGGCTTTGCGAAGAGCTTGGATGATAAGACCAGGCATGGCCCCAACATATGTCCGGCGATGGCCTCTTATTTCGCTTTCGTCCTTTACACCACCGAGCGAAATTCGTTGAAAATTCCTTCCCAAAGTTTGGGCAATCAGCTTTGCCAATGAAGTCTTCCCCGTACCTGGAGGTCCGGCCAACATGATTATTGGCGATTTATTCAACTTTGAGACCTCAATTGATTCCTTATCATCTCCAACTTGCTTGGAACTGTTTTCAATGACGCTCTGAGCTTGCTTACGAACGCCTATACTTTCATCCAGATTGGCAATTACAAATGCATCGTTCTCCTCTTCTCTGGAAGCGCTAGATACTGGTTTAGTAGATGGCGCTTTTTCGGCGTTGATTGCCAAGAGTTTGAGAACAACGAGATACTGAATAAGGCGCTTCTTGACATGCTCTAGTCCATAGTGGTCGTCATCCAATTGCTGCTTGGCGACAAGTAGGTCGATATCCTTATTCAGTTTGAATTTCGTAACGTAACGATCCCACGGCAAATCAGCAACAATCTCAAGATAATTTCTGATGACATGGAAATCCAGATTACCACCTCCAGGCTGGTTTCCGTTCAGTTTAATGCGTTTGTAGTCTTTAACAATCAATCTCTTCAGTTCAGGTGAGAGCAGCTGGATTTTTGGTAATTGCGTCTTCACGAATTGAGTTATTTGCTTTAACTCATCGTCATCCTCATCCAGATCATCTTCGTCCACAAGAGACCCTGCGCTTCCCCCACCAGAACCAAGCGACTTTCCTTGGTTACGGGTGGCCAGTGTAGTTTGAGAATTTTTGTTGTTCGTCATGCCCTCAAGAACTAATCTGATCAGCTTCAATTGATTGGCAACAACAGTAGCTTTCTGAATATTCAGTGCCTCATGATTAAACCACTGATTAAGATAAGAATTATTTGAATCGATCGACAGGAAAACCTTCTCCAAACGCTTGACCATCAATACTAACTCATCCACTCTCTTCTTAGGCTTTTCAATATTGAGAAAACTCAATTTTTCATAGTTTGGGAAGGGACACACTCCTGCCGTTAAGTCAATCAAGCGAAGTAGCGACTTAGAATCCACAACGTAATTTTGGTTGTCCAGGCTATATTGCCCATAAAGCTTTTGTAACAGTGTGAAAGCTTTGGCGAAATCCTTATTACCCACCAATTGGATGTAAAGTGCATTGGCCACTGGGTTCAAGGTTATAAGATCCCCAAGAGGCTTTTCGGAAGGTTGCTCGTTTTGAGGTGTCTTCTTTATGACCAACGTTCCCTTCGGCGAACTTGAACCCGTGACCTTTCGATAGTTTATCACAAACATGTCTATCACCTTGAATAAGTTGTAGACTGATTTGCGAATGATATTGAATTGTCCAGTAGGGTCCGCGATTTCGGTATCAAATTGAACATCCACCATTATTTCATTGTGTTTCACAGTAGGTGTGTTGTTGACAATGAACCCCCGCGTGATAGCCTGAAAAGTAAGTCTGATATTTGTCGTGTCATCAGCTATTCCAATAACCCGCACAATAACTGCCACATTGATATCACGGATTGGCGCTTCCTTAGGGTAAACGATCTTGGACTCGTTAGGGCGAATAGCAAAAGTAAGCCAATCAAAATCATTCAGGTTGATTTTACCAGATTTCATATTATGTTCCCGGCGGTAAATGCTAAGGATACCATTAGAGGCTTCAGAGGAAATTTTGGGGTCCTCTTGATTGTCATGGGCTTGACTGAAATCGAATTCTTGGAGTAAACTTGACACCAAAGCAACGTCTGGTAACTGGGAGCGAAAACGATTCAACAACGCTGCCGCTTTAAACCGCAGAAAGGTGACATTGTAAATAATACCTGGGATAAATACAAGGTTTGAATCAAGTGTGTATTGTGGAAGAACCACCCGTTCAAATTTCAGCATGTCGGTGTGGGGATTGTGGGGTAGACGAATTTATATATTGTGCGCGCATACTAATACGTACAGCAAGCGACAAAAAGAAATACCTTTAAATCATTAACAACTAACTAGACTTGCATGCTATAGTGTCTTGGAAAATTCTCTGGTCACATATATTTTGTTCTTTATTAATCTTTGTCATGATTGATGATCTCTCATGAAGAGTCTATCGGTTCCATGTGATTCGATCATTAACGTCAATGTTCGTGCTCGTAACCAGAAGATTCTAAAGATTTTGCCACCCAAGGGTAGCGCGTGTTCATAAGTTAGAGAGACAATACAATGATAGTTAACTAATCCGCTCCGTTAGCTTATTCGCTTTATTCGTTGCTGCTTCGACTTTCAAATTGCTTTCGTGACTAGAACTTCTTGTCTCCTTTTCAGTAGAACCTTCCGGAAAAATCATATGGTCCATTTCTATTTCGCACAATTAAGCATTGCGGAACATAGACTGTTTGATCAATCAAACAAGGCAGCGTCTTGCTTCAAGCAAATTAAACTATTCAGGTTTTAAAGCATCTTTCAATTTGATTTGACCCGAACCCCGAGCTAGCGGCTTTGGTTGTTGGTCACTCTTTTTCCAACCGATCATAAAAATGATGTCGACGGTGACTGGAAGAGTTTTCGTGCCATCGGGACCAACCTCTCCATGTAACAGCTTATATATTTCATTGGCAGCAAGGAGAACATCTTTCGGCAAATACAGTTCCCTTGTGTTGACGGCATTTTGCTCTCCCATCCACTGCAAATCGTCCATGATCAGAACAATGTCAGGGAATCCGCCAATGACAATTTCCTCTTGATCAATTGTCAACATACTGAACCCGGCACGATTGAGAAGAGAAGAAATGTCATTCAAATGAACTAGCGGACTAACGCGCATGGCCATACCTCCACGGCGCTCTAGCTCGGCTAATTGTAACAGTGTTCGAAGTTCATACAATGTGTCGCCTCCAATCAAAGTGGCCATGAACAATCCATCAGGTTTGAGGACTTTGTTGATTTTCTCCAATGTTGTAGGTAAATCGTTGATCCAATGCAACAGTAGATTTGAAATTACGGCATCAAACAGGTTCTCAACCAAAATATCGTCTTTGAACTTTTCCTCGTCCGTGCAAACACGAACAACGCTACCAGGGAACGGATAATCCACAGCTCGAGACTCATCGCGTTCTAGCCGAGCTTTGCTACCTTCAACTAGTACCAACTCTTTGATTTTCAGCCTGATAGTTTCTTTATCGGCGTTGAGTTGTGCAGTGATTTTGACGTCAGCTTCATCACCCCCAGCAGGAACTTCAGACGTAGTGCAAAGTTGTTGCAAAAAGTTACCAGAACCACTTCCAAAATCAAGGACACGATCAAGTCCTCTTGTGATGAATGCCAATCGTTCAATTGTACGATTAGCCACCTCATCTCGAAGATAATCTTTGGTGCGCAGTTTGTCGGGATTAATCAATGAAGACCTTTGCTTTTGAAGTAATTTGGCATTCCGGTCGAATACGTTGAACTGAGATTTTCCCTCAGCGGCTGTGGCTAGCCGACGAATGAGTCGAAGCAGCATGGGTTGCAATGAAGTCTTACAGTGCGAAAGACACGGCCGCACTCGAGGAAATTTATGTAAGGCACTTTTCACAAAACTCAACAAAAGCTATACACAATTCCTATTATTCTACTGATTTGCCAGTTGTACAGGTGACAAGGACCCACTGCAAGAGTGAAACTACTATCGTACCAATCCAATGAAGGCTTCTCGACGACTATATCTGTGGCAAATGCGTATACCATCATTATTGTCTGAAAGAGACGTTAAAGGCGCCTTTCGGGTCGCTCAAAGGGTCAAAGCAACGGGTGAAAAACCTTTATATTCGACATATCTCTCCCTTCTACAGGGTATTGATCAGCCATACCAAGGCAGCACTGCTGCAAAGTTGTTTTGCGAAGTCGAAGACGAACCGTCAATGTGTTCGAATTCGAAGAGTTCCAAAGGAAAAGCTATTTGGATGGCATTTTTGAACGCCATAAAATCTCTGGGCGATCTTTCACATGTGATGGTCGTTGGACCTTCCATGCTGGTCTCACATTGTCTAGCCAAACTTCATATCCTTCTAAACAACGATTGTCTCAATCAGGCTTTAGATATGTGGTGGAGTTCTCCTACTTATGACTCAGCGATCATTCTGAAATTTATCGCCCGATTATTAACAGTTGAAAACACATCAGAACTCCATTGCTTGCTCAATCATTTGAAAGACAAGAATCACAGACTACAAGCTCATCAATGGACCTCGATATTAGAGCTCGGCTTGAGGAAATGTCATTATGGATTGGTAAAGTTGTGGTTTGATAATTATCTTGGTCCTGGAGAGGCCATCACCACATCTACAATGGTTTTGCAAGGTTTTAAAGCTCCTGATATGACTGATGGTATGTTGGAGAGAATTCTTCAGTGCTTCTCTCTTCATGGCGACGTTGAATCTGTGATACGAGTTGTGGAGACTTACTTCATACACAAACAGGCCAAGGGTGAACTTGGTTTGACAACTCATGTGAGGTCGTATATCATCGGTGCCTATTGTTATCACAAAGAGGAAAAGTCTTTCAAGTCCGTTATGAATGCAATAGTGACCCTCTCTGGGGGGAACACGCACTTGACCTATCGTGACGTATTTCAACATTTGAGTCATAAATTCCACCATTATCGCGAAGTCTCAGATAACGTTGCCTTGCTGAAAATACATGAAAGAATGGCCACTGATACAATTCGCTTTTCGTGTGAAGAACCCGTTTGGAAGAAGGGCAGTAATACAGTAAGGGGTAATGCCTTGAATAACATGGCTGTACTAGAAAGTGTTACGATGGAAATATTTACCTACATGAAGGATAAAGATATAAAGGCAATTCGCATTATTCTCAACTGCCTACTACTCCACCTAGCAGAATATCAAAACTTTTCGGCTATCGTTAAAGTCCTATCAGTACTTCACCAGATGAATTCAAATTTCATCGATTGGCTTGATATCGATTCGTGGGATATCATGTATATGCTGGCGGGCAATCTGGGAGCCAAATTGTGTTGTTTGGCATTATCAAAAGTCTCTCCTGGGCCGTTATCTTCCAAGCAATTAGAGAATTGTTTAATCTCGAGCCTTCGGGGTGAGATACTTCAAGGTCTTCAATTTTGGATATACCAGTATTTACTGGTATATCAAGTGAATGACAGATTACAAGATATCATTGCTAACATTGCTTCTGAAAGTAAGTTTGACGACGAAGGCACGAATGCTCTATTCCGTTGTATCAAAAAGGGAGATGTTCCTCACAATTTAGATGATTTTTGGACAGCTAACAATCTCAATAAGGACGAATGCCGTGTTGGATTGATCGATGATTCTAATAATCCTCGTAAATACTTTGCAGAGTATGACAAGAGAGATTACGAAAGTTTACATTTCATATTCAATAGACATTTGTAAACGAAACTGAGTATAGAGATATTTGGTCGAAACACTTATCCTTCGACCGCCGCGGTGATGTCTGCCATAGTTATCTCAACCTTGGAAGTGCCTTTTCGCAGAGTAGCCAATACACTATCTTCTCCTTGAACTCTGCCATGGAAGAAAGAAGACTCATTCAACAGGAACAGACCATCCAACATAGTCAGATCAACCGCCATTTTCAAAATACCCAGGACATGGCAAGCTAAATCATCATAGTTTATCAGTTCGTCGGCAACACCATTATCAAATCGTAACAGACGTTTCGATTTCAAAAGATTCAGGAACAGCTGGTGTTTTCTGAGTTGAGCTTCTTTTGATGAATTCTGCGGAGTAGAGGCAGCCTGATGGCGGACTCTTGGACCGAACACGACTGTCTTATTGGGTATCGGGGTGTCGTTGATCAGAAGCTCGTCATTTCCAATACGGATGCTCTTCCGCCGCTGCGGTACTGTAGAAGTTGACAGAGGTGTCAGCTGCAAGTTGTGGCTTTTGATAATTTGTCTTGACTTTGTAAGAACGTCGGCTAATGGCTCGTCATAGTTTCTCAACCTGTGTGCTTGTGGTGTGATTGGGGTATTGGAATAAGTCGGCTTTTTGGACTGAGGTTCACCAGAAATCTTGAGGTTTCGGCTAAGCTGAATTTCCCGAGGAAGCGTCAGGGGCTTATCAAGGTGGGGCGTCGGAAGCGTGTATTCTAAAGAGACTTGGTGGTGAGTCGAATGCATCGTTGATTCTAAATCATTAAAGTGTTTCAATTTCAACCGTTCAAAATCATGCACTACTGTTTACGTTCCGTCTGTTTTGGGTAAAACACAAATCATTTAGCGATATTTGTCTGCAAAATGGGTCAAACCATGAAAGACAGAACCGTTCAAGAACATGTGTGTCTTACATGAATCATTGATTGCTAGTCGTAATATCGATTCATTCAGCGAACCGACCTTATGCTTCCAGTTTTACTTCAAGAATCTGAAAGTCGATGAGACAACTTTCCATTGCAAACTTGGGTTGAACTGATCAGTACATCTTGTCGAGATTGTTAAGAATTGCCAAATGAAACTTTCATCGTTAGTGTTTCTACGGTTGTCTCGAGTTTTTTAACTTCTGTGCGAAAGATGAGCTGATGTACATATAATTATGAACTATGAGCAAGCTCAATTTGTATCTCCTCAAAAGACCCCTGGAAGCTATGTACACGAATGATCTTCGGTCTCAGGAAGGTATCTCAAAATTCAGGTCGGCCACCCTCGTAAATTATTGACATGGTAGCCACTTGGGAGTGGATAGTTCTGCTATTTTCAACCGCTGTATTAATCATGAGGGCTTAGTCTTCAAGCTCTTGGTGTTTTTCCTTTTGCTGCTTCAATTTTTGGTCCATCACCAGCTCATTACCATGGACATTATCAATTGGACAAGGTAAAACCGAGTTGGCTCCAACAAGTAAAAAACATATAGCAAATGTAGACAGAAACAAGGACAGGGTAAAGCGGTTTCTTTGCGTAGCTTTGATGTAGTTGAGCATGGGCAGATGAGGAGATGTGGTGAGGTTCAATATTTTTCAATCCTCGAGCCAATGAGGTGAGGCATGTTTCGCACAGCCATTACTGCCAATGCGCCCACTAAAACGTATGTCTCAAAATATCCGTTAATGTTAAAATCCTTTCTATAAACAGATCACTTCATGTTGATGATAATTTGTTTTGGTATGACTTGACGGTTGACCTGGAGAGACTTACAACACCTCTGAAGAACTTCACGCGACGCGACATACATGAACACATCAAATGACTGCTACCGCTACGACCTTCATATCAATATCTTGGGATTTCAAAACTATGAAGAATATTTTGAGATTAGCATCATAATACAATCATTCTTTGGTTGCGGGTACTGAGAGTCGTGAATATCGTATTATCTATGTACATGTATGAGATTCATGGGCTTTTAATAATTTCGAACCCCTTCTGGAATTTGGATTCGTTATTCAATTGTTGGGCCAGCTTCGTTTCATCAACAAGTTGTACCGTTACCAACTCCTTGCATTTCACCAATCGATTCGCTGTGGATGGGGAGACTCGTTGATAAACTGTTTGAAATCGACGCAGCAATCCAAGAGCACGCAAGTTCTTCTTTACTAATGGTGGCATCCCAATAATGGAACGGACTTGAGTGATCCTGTAATATAGTTGAGACATTTGTATAAGTTTGACCTTCCGTTGATGAAAAATTTCCGATGGTGCGAAGTTGACCACATCACGACGTATAGTGCGGGATAAGAATGCGCAAACAAGCGTCAACAACGATGATCGATCTTGTGGGATATAGCATCGCTAACCTAGTTGATTGTAGTCCGTCTTGCACCCATCAAACGCAAGAGGACCTGAAGTTGTCGTCTTAGCAGAAAATTGGTTGGACATTCTTATACTATATGGAGTAGACCAGGCGCCGACGTTTGGTGTAGGTGAGTCGATCATTGACAGCTAGTAATATGGGGTTACTACATTTTGTACACTTTGATGTATTCTAACATACCCGTCTAATTTAACGTTTTTGTCTCTTACCACCACCACCGTTTTTCTGCAGATTTTCACGTTTACCCGCTCTCTGGAAGTATTCTTTCTTGCGTTCCATTTCCTTTTCCTTGCGGAATTCGGCTTTCTTTGCCAACTCTTTCAATTTCTCTTTCAGCTTCTCCTGCAGCTTGGACTTTCTTTTCAGTTCCTTCTCTCTCTTGATTGATTCGATCTTTTCTAACAAATCCCGAGCCTTCTTTTCTTCCCCGCTCAAGACCACTGCTCGCTTGGCCATGTAAGTTTCTCTCTTCCGGGGTTTCTTCTCTACAATTTGAGCCTTAAATGGTAACTGAGCCTTAAGAGTTCTTGGAACTTTAAGAGGACCGAAATGGCGTTCTTTGCGCTCGATAGGCTTATAAGAAGAATCTTCGCGTAACGGTGTTTCAATATTCTGGTCACGTCGAATCTGACCAGTCAATCTCATACCTTGCCACTCACCTTTGTTGCTCATGAGAAGTGAGGTGACAGGATTATAGAAATGCTTGATCTTCACCGGGTACCATGTCTTCAAAAATATCGTGTCTGACATCAAAATCTTATCTTCAAAGGTGGCACGAAAGTGACCTTCAGGTTTGGAGAGTGCACGCTTTATCTCACCTCGAATACCTGAAACCGTTTTGATTTGAGCACCTTCGAACTTTGCAACCTCCAACGCGTTTGAGAACATATCCTTAATGAAAGCTGTATTGCGGAAAATCTTGTAGGGATACCCAACAAGCTTCAATTTCTTGACGATTTCAACCAGCGAGTTGAGATCTTGGATGATTCCTGTAGCAGCAACTCTGAACAGACCGGTCGTGTTCTTTTCGTCAAGAATGTTGAAGCCAATGAACGGAGTATTTGGAGCTACCAAAGGCCCATAGAACAGTGCAAAACAATAAGCGTGCTCCGGGGTATACTTCAACATACGGTTACGCGTCCGCGAGTCGGATGTAGTATATATGGGCAATGTCTGGAATCTCCGCCAACCAAGAGAAAGAATAAGGGGGTCCAGCGATTTGAGAATTTTTTTGTGCCAACGATGACGCCTGATTCGAGAGTTCATGACTCCAAATCTCATCTCCGTAGGAAGCAAACCCCCAACAACAATAGGATACTCCGGAGATAAGTTTTCAATGAACTCACAGGGCACATCTTTGAATACGAGTTTGACGTAAGAACCTGCACGATACCCTTCAATTTTTAATCTCGTGGTGGGGTCCATAGCTTCAAGTTCAGCCTTGTTGATTTCCAACTGTTTGGCCATTTTTGCTTTTTGAAACTCATACCAATTGTCAGCTTCGTTGCTGAAATCATCAGCGCCAAAGTCTTGTTCTTCCTCCTCTTCAAATTGCAATTTAAGTTTTGCCTTCTTCTCAGCGGCGAGTTGACGTTTCTGATCAGTCGTGAGAACAGGAGGCTCTTCCATTTCAGCCTTCCTCTCTTCCTCATCGAAATCAGCAAAATCATCGTTATTATTGGTTTGGTCTTCTTCAGCCTCACCACCTTTCAAGTCAGAATCTTCGTTTTCGTCGGCTTCTAGGTCTTCAAAGTCACCATCCACGTTTTCAGCTTCGGTATCATCTTCACCATCATTTTCGGCAAGTTTTGGCGCTATAAGAAACCTGTTTTTCAAAGACTGATATCCATTTTCAGGGAGATCATCATCATCACCAACTTGGCAGAACAACAGCCTCAAAATTTCTAGTTCGGGAAATTCAGACTTGGACAATTTGAAGTCTTCGTCGATTGCCTTCTTTTTGAAGAATACTTCGTCGTTTTCTTCAATGTCCTCCTCTACTTCCAAACCCTTCCAGCGTTGGAGCACTTCACCGGGTGATATCGAGGAGTAGAGTAATTTGTTGATGTTCCAAGTTTTCGTCTCCCGTCCTCTCAAACGTTGAGCGATGACCGTGTTATCATCTTCGATTTCCGAATCCTCAGCAAATTCGAGCTCATCTTCTTTATAGCGCTCACCTAAATCAACTGCCATCTGGTTCAGTTCAATTTCGATATCCTCGTCACCCAGCTCAACTTCGTCAAATTCAACGTCGTCTGTGATTTTCTTTCCAATCATTTTTGGCTTTCTTAACTTGGTTCGACCAGTATTGTGAAGTATCTCAGCTTGTTCAACCTCGTCCAAAAGCCCTTGTTTTTCCAGATTTTCTTGCACTTCTTCATGTTGCAAGGTGGTGCCGTCTGTGAAAAGTTGGAGTCCAGGGTCATCCTCAAATCTTTCGGCCATGGATTTGGTCGCATCTTGAAGATCAGTCACCATCTTTTCGCCTTCTCCTGCGTCGACATTATCTTTGGAGAATGCCTCTGTACCAACATCTATGTAGACAGCATCTTTATCCATGAGTAAACCACCAACGTCTGACATGGGTGCGTAAATTATTTTCTGCTTATCATCGAGCCTTTTACGTCGGCGTGTTGTTTTCGCAATCGGTTCACCCAGTTCTGCAGCAGCCTTGATTCTCTCACGTTCAATTTCTTCAAGCTTTTGCTCATAGTGAGGAGTTGGACAGGGATCGGGGAGCTTTTCCACTTGCGAAACAATGAAATCCCCAGCACCAGCGATGTGGACTGGTGCATCCTCAAATGCAAGTGGAGTTCCGTGAAGATACCCGTAGACTGCCACCGTGCGATCACATTTGCGATTTTGAGCAATCACTTGAGGGTGTGTCAAGTCTGTTACGCGGTCAGCAAGCAAATATGGGTGTTCATTTCTCCATTTGAGAGGTCTAAACTTCATCACTGAGATAAACCTCAGCAAGTTGAGTGTCTCGCGGTCTGGGTACCGGCCATTAAGCACCCCCGAAAGATAGAACAATTTCGCACCTTGGTACACCTCAGTCCAAAGTCTGTGTTTCAATCTTTTCTTTGCTGTCCTCAAAGACAGTGCCAGCTTGAACAAATCCAAGTGGGTTGCCACACCCAAAACTCGTGGCATACCATGATGTTGGGCAATATTGAGAAACTCCATCGTCTCCATTTCCAAACCGAAGTTTCCGTCGATCAATAACAATACTAAATCGGCAATTTTCGCAGCATCGATCATTGAGTTCAAGTCGTTGGCCACTTCCATGAAGGTTACCCTTCGACGCTTCCCAGAAACAACGGTGATGGGACCCTTCACTTCAGTAAGTGTAGTTTTCGTAAGATGACGGACCAATGATTTGATAAGCGTGGTTTTACCGGTCCCAGGTGGACCCACAACCGCAATTATCACGGGGGGTGGGTCATCCTCAGGGGTCCGATCAACCATGGGAACGTGAAGAGCTCTCTCTTTTATTTCACCCAGCCTCGCAGCTTGACGCTGAAGTTTGCCTGGAGCACTTACAGCGAAAGCTTTAGCATTATGACCATTCTGATGGAGTTTTGCTTTAGCAGGTTTGCGAGTCAGCCCCTGTCGGTGAGCTTTGTTTGCTTGAGCTCCTTCCATAGGTCCGGTCTCAGTTAATTAACGCGATGAGATGAGATGTTAGTAGTTTTCATTACGTAAGCCATCTCATAGGAATCGAGCGACTAAAATCAAATGAATGTTCCCTAACACCTATACATTATAGTGTCACGCTCACCCATTATTTACGATTGTGAATTAAAACTCCAATGCTACGCTGATGTGTTCCAATATCCCTCCATTTTGAATTTTCCTAATATACATAAATAATTTTAACCCGATTCGGCGAGCTACAAGAAACCCTGGCCTTGCGTTGGTGTGTTGTTCACTGAGATATTCAGCAGCATCATCAGATCATGGCGCAGGTGGTGTTTGTTCTTGGGGGCGCCCATTTCTGGCGCCAATCCGTCTCTCAGTTCATCAAGTAGAGTATCACTCATCCGGGTGGTTTTGTGCCTCGGATGTTTTCTGGAGAATTTTCGCCCAAGGCTTTTGATTTTCAGAGATAAATTTTCTTCCAGTGACAGCTGATAATCCTGTTTCAGGTCGAGCAAATTGTCATCTGAGAATTTCGAGTCTTGTGGTATCGTCGGTGTATAGATTTCCTGATGTTTTTGATCTTGCATATGATACATTTCCAGTTCCCAGTTAGCTTGATGATCTTGTGCCGCCATTCCTAACGCAGATAACTCCGTATTGTCCTCGGTATCATTAAGGTCCAGCAAATCCAGCAGCTTTTCCATGACTTGAGCTGTATTTTTACCACGTCGTTGAAATGAGAATCTGTCATCTTTGGCAGGGGCGAAACGAGCATCAGGGTTTTTCGAAACGACTGCCAAAACGGTGAAAACCAAGATCATCAATAACAATATAAGAGAAAACGCAGCATTGAGAATGAAAAATACCCATGCCATCACCAGCGACACCCGAGCTGGTTGGCCGTAAACACCTGAAAAAAACGTAAACAAAAACGAGTTGATTGTGCACACGATTGCAATGCAGTAGTTAATGATATTCGTGGGTTTGTTGAGGTACGGCTTTTGCCAGAAAAGGATTGCCATAAAAATCATGTCCATGATCCACAACACCAATGATGATGCTTTTCCACTGCTTTGACATAAGCCGATAAAAAGGGCACGCACAAAGTTGTAAACGATTACGATCATTCCGAACCAATACTTGTCAGCATGGAACATAGTGTAGCAAAAGCCAAATTTGTCGAGAACTCTCGAATCACCATAGAGAATCGCAGCTGGGTTATTGAATTCTCGGATTGACCTGCGAGCATATTGGAATACTCGAATATACAGGTAAAGGATAACCGCCAATGGCACGACAAGGAAAATTACTGCTAACACAATAACCGCAGCTGAATCGTGCACAGTGAACTCCCACAAGGATAAAATCATCAACTGCGAGAAACCAATGTAAATATATCTCAATATCAGGCCTTTCAAAATCTGTGCAAACTGAATTCGAATAGCATAAAAATGTTTGGTTGGCTTCTTATTTTTCTTCTTCAAAATGATTGAAAAAAGTTTGCACACTAGCAATATCCCCACGAGAACGTAAGCAATCAAAACGAACCAAGTGAAACCAGTTACAGCAATCAGTGTAGGCTCGATACCCAGTTTAAACCCCATTCGCTCTATACCACGAAGAACAACCAAGTTTCGGTTGGATTTAAGGGCGTAATCAAGATCACGATTAACGATTGCAGGCGTTAAATCCAGCTGGTGTAGATTTGTTTCTAGTCCCAACATTCTTTTCCCATACATCGCAAGATTACTCAAGTGGGTTTGGGCTCTCTCAACTAAGACTTGCTTAGTTGTATGAATCATGTATGTAGTGGGAGTTCCTCCAGTGGCTTGGACGTACCAGCGGAAGATATCTTGCATGAACTGAATTCGTATGAATCCCATCAGCCAAGCGAGGTTTTCCAGCCACGCGGCAGCGATTGGGGGCACCCGCTCAACCAGCTGCATTGCAACGATGACAACCAGCTGGAAGTAGAGGAACAAGGCGACAGCATTAGCGGCAACATGCGACGCGGCATTTGAGTTTCCGAAGGTCAGCATCAAAGCCGCAACAATAAGTCCCAACCCTGCCACAACTGCCGTGGCCCATTTTGCACCAGTTTGTGCAACGGTTTTGCCATTAGTGAAACTCAGTTGAATACATGACAATTTCTCATTGGTGTTCAGGTCGAACACTTCGATTTTCACAATCACGTCAATATCAGGGACAGTGTATGCAATGCCTGGGACTTTATCGGTCCACTTCTTGTCCAAGTAGACCACCAGATCGACTTGCAAGGAGCCAGGGAAAATAGGACAAAACTGCTTCCACCCGATCTTACAAAGGTCAACAGTAATCGGATCCATAATCAAAAAGCCATAGGCATATACATCAACCACGGCATACACGTAGGTGTTGAGTTCTGTGGTTAAATCGATCAGATAATGTACCAGTCTGTCGTTGGCATTGAAGGTGACATTGAAGAAAGTTGGCAGGATTTGTGAATTCTCCATACAAGTAGTAAGCGAACTTGCCAGAAGAAGTCTTTTTGCCACCACGCTTTGAATCCATAGCGCCCAGAAGAATGCTGGTTTAAACCATATCATTGTTGTGGCGAGGCGGTGTTGCAAGCTGATTCACCTTAGCAAAATTTCTTGCGCAGCGAGTGGTTTTCCTGTATATACGCAACTATCTATATATAGGATTTGTAAAGCAATTTGTATGATGAGAGGATAGCTCGAGAAATGTTAACACTTTCCGATTTGATTGTCTCTTGGTAGCTTGAGACGTAGTTCACGTTTTCGTTTCTTCCTTCGGGGCCCTCAGACGTAGGCTAGTATATTTCTGCAATAACATATATATGTGAAGCCAAACTTAGCATGACTTTTGAATCTTCTTCTCACTGATGTTGTTGGAGCTTGTAGTCGCCGAGGTGATTTGATCGATTCAACAAGGGGCTAGTCGCATATTTTCACTTTTGCGAAGCTGCCGAGTAGGCTCACGTGGGTCAGGAGTTCGAGAGGCGCAGCAACAATCTCTCGCAATAACGTTAAAATGCTTGAATGTTCCAACCTTGGCATTATACAGTACGCTACAATCTAAGTCTGACAGTTTTGACTTGGTCGTTTCCACGAGCGGTCTCCTGTTACCTTTAAGGTTAGTGTTTCCATGAGACGCATGTATGCACAATACGCGAGAAGAGGGGGCTTGATGCATATGGATACACGTAATCGAACATGAAAAACGACTAACATTCGTGCACAGTGATTATATCACGCTCCTACCATGACTTTCCCTTGATTTTTTCAGGAAGCCACTTCCTTTTACTCGTAAACTGCTTACACTGAGAGATTGTCGCGAAATGTGTCTGTTATGCGACGCGTCGCACATACACTTCGTGTCTCGTGATGTATACAAATAAAAAAAAAACCATTAGTCACTCACCGCGTATACGTTGATAGGCATGTTTTTATTTGAACTTTGGCCTCAACTCCAGCGTGTCTCTGTACTCAAGCTTCTGAGGGAAGTTTAACTTTTTGAGGAATTTGCAAATAATATCGAGAATTGTATATGTGGCACCCCAAAGCAAATGGCATTTCTTCAAGTAAAATGAAGTAGATTCTGCTCATTCCTTGCACGGCTCATCAATTTTCTCAATTCTTTTACAGTTGGGCACAATTCCCATGCTTTCGTTTATACGTGTCAGCTCATGTGTGGTAAGACCGCAGCACAGATACGGATTGAGAAGCAAACAGGATCAAGTTTGGAAACCGGAAAATTGAGACACTTCACTTGCCCAAATTCATGTTTGTTTTATGTTAAGATCATAATATTTCACTTCATCACAACATCTTTTCTGTAGATTGTTAATACCAGAAGAAATTTCGCAACAGCGGATTTAGCTCAGTTGGGAGAGCGCCAGACTGAAGTCAACTTCGGTCCTGAAATCTGGAGGTCTTGTGTTCGATCCACAAAATTCGCATTGTTTTTGGTTTTTTTTTTACTGTTGGTTAGGGACTAGCGGGTAATACCTCGGGTATCCCCGTCTGGTCCTCCCCTTTTCGCCAAGATAATCTTAGGCCTCGTCAACGATGCTCATGTAAACCACCAACTAACCCGATGGTACATGCGTTCTGTACCTCAGATTAGGTAGCTTGTACATGGTGCATCACTTACGAGACCCACCTCCCGAAGTTAAATAGTTCCAACTATATCCTAAATAAATCAGAATCTACTTCTCAAACCTAACACTGTCCCTTCATTTCCACATATGAATGGCACCCAAGGAGATGTAGTGGTAAGGTAAAATAATTAAGCCGCACCGGTGATGAAGAACGTCAAGGCGGGTACAGCGGCCTGACTGAAGTGGAGCATGGGTGATCTTGTACACAGTCTCCGCGACTAAAGGAACTGTTCCAAGCTTGATAGTGATAGTAAATCGAAGTCAAAATTCTTAGCGTAAGCGTAACAGCCGGTAATCGTTGACACTTAAATGATGAGGGTGAGGCAAGGTTGATCCAAGCACATCTTCGAGGGATCGTGAGCAAACCTTTTTATGCCATACATATCTCAGATTTTGGAGGAGATATATCCAGACAATACTTTATCCACATTGTTTGAAAAAAATAACGCTTGAAAATTCATCTAAGAGGCAGATATACTTATATACCGACGAGACTTCTGTCTTGGATCTACGAGATGAGATTATGGAGGTGTCCTTATCCTTAATACTCCCTTCCTACTTATAAACCAAAAATTTCTTCCAGCAATGTTTCGTCGCGCTCTCCATCTTTTTCTTCAATTTCGTCTATGCGCTAAGTTCTCCGATGAATTAAAAGATATACTCAGCCGAGACAGTGAAAATTAAAAACCAGCCTCATTTGATATCTTTTGATTCCCTCGCATATGCGTGTTAGCGTTGAGAACAAATCTCACATTTGAGTCAACGCAGTAAATTGAAGCGTACACGATGGTCATCATGATGGGTACCCATTTCTGTAAACCACGAATTTTTTTGGAAATGATTCTGTTATACAGCGAGTGACCTCTAAATGGCATCCCTTTGGTACCGCACAAATCAATATGACAGAAATTCCCGAGTCCTCATCTCAAGCATCAACATTGATTATGATGCACTTTACGTGGGGTGTATGAAGTATGCCAAGTCATTTGAAACCTTCCAATGCTTATCAAGGAAAGACATAATGACGTGCTTTGCGGTATTCCACGTAAGAAGCTAGCTTGGTTATTACAAACGACCCTCAACTGTGAAGCAAATACAATACCATTAGTGGACATGCACCCGTCTCGACTGCTTTCAATTTAAAAGTTCTCAAATATGTTTTCTCATACCAGCACATTGAAACACATGGTCGCATTTTGGGACTGTGAGATAATTGGAAACACGGAAAGCAAAAGAGAACGTCGTGGTTTCAACTTGAAAAGTTATCGCATGGTTATCTTCAGTTTGATTTGCTGATATCAACATTAGGTATCTTCTCTTGGCAAAACGTTCGAAGTCGTAACCATTGCTTTTGCAAAAATTGGTCCAAAATTCCACTCCCGATGACTAACCTGAATTTGACAAGATATAAGAAGCCAACTTCAATCTTTAACAAATCTTTCAACGACACTCCTCCAACAGTTGCGAACAGCTTTTGCCTCTGAAAAATGTCCTCAAGGCATTTTGTCAGGCAACGAATTGATCCAAGTATAAGCCTATAAACGTTATAATAGTTTAAAGGGACCACATCAAACAAAACACTCAAATTGAATAACATGTATGCTGAATGTAAATACAGCAGTGCCGACACCAGTGGAGAGTAAGTCATTATTCGCAATAAGAATTCCTCAATGGTAATAGAGGGACGCGAGACGAGATTGAATATTTTCAAAAGTTGAGGTGATTGAGTATGATTGTTTTCATAATCTTGCTGTAATCGAGAGGGATTCGGTTCAGTAATTGGATGTAGTACCTTTGCTTCATGAGATAGGTTCGTTCGAGCAATTAAGTCACCAATGGGAATATGATTTACAGAATTCGGTGTAGGTTCGTCGTTGATTTGCAGCGAAACTTCAATTCTGATGGAGTCTGATTCATCATCATTCTGTGTCAACGACGTTGTATTTGGCGATAACTTCAACTCTTTGAAAATTTGAACACGAAAGTCATGAAACAAATCCGGATACTGCTGTAGCTGGATTATATCTTGTAGCATTTGACCCAATATTTTGATTGCTTCAAGAAGCTGAATACTGCCCGACTCTCTGCTTTCAAGTCTGAAGTCAAAAACTAATTCCTCAAGATTCACGTCATCAATTTGTTCTGGTGGATCAAAAAAAGTTTTCTTGGTAGGCTTTAAAGGCACATCACTAACGTAATCCAACATTTGCCAGACAATGATGTTGAGCTAGAATGAGGGGATACTGAGCGTGTGATCAACAGCGCGCATCACATCTCAAAAATCACAACCAGGCCAAAAAAGTAATGCCCACAGTCGGAGTCGAACCGACGATACTTCTCATTACGAGTGAGACGCCTTACCAACTTGGCCATGAGGGCTTACGAGCTTTGACCATCGGACAAGTGCTTCAAACCAATTAAATGAAGACCTCCGCATTGTCTAAATACGCCACCAATCGCTCAGCGGACAGGAGCAAATCTATTGCGCAGCTGATGTTTCCTCATGATCACAGTGTGATGGCTAAAATGGCTATCACGCTTCTACAGAGGAACTCAGGTATCGATTCCTCGTGGAGATGAGATGACTCTCTCCCTGCTGGCTGAACAACTTTTTACACCACCATACCATCAAAATGATGAGATCGGCAAACAATTGCCACCTCACCTCGCACGATCTGGCTGAATCCTTGTTTGACTTTTGTGATTCGCGGCTTACTACTTTGCATGATTGGTATTCTAAGTGCTGAGAAAAAGCTTGTCAATCACAGATGATAAATGGAGGCGCAAGACTATAGGACACTAAAAGGATCCCTTGCAAAACCAGTGATTTGGAAATTCGTCTGGTTACTTTAGCATTCACTTGAACTATCTATCCACTATTGGCCTGCACGAGACGTTGGTGCATCATTTTCACGAGTAGTTAACAACTCACAAGTTTGGCTTTGCATTGATGAGCTACTCTTAAAACTATTCAGCCTATAGGTTGCCTAAAAATGTGCTAGAAATGAAGCACGACCATACTTCACATTACTACGATCCATGATGAAGTCGAATAGGCTGCACCAATATACAAGTTTCCTTCGTACGGTCAAAGATGTATTGGTGCCGATTAGGGCTCAAATTCGAATACTATATAACCTATGAAAAAAAAAAAAAAAAATATTCAACATACGACACATCTCTATTTGCTTGAAACTTGGGGTTTGGGAGTCGAATGACTACATCATCATCAATTCTTATGGCTTCAGGGTATCGTGAACATAATACAACAGTCAAGTGGCGATTTCGTATTTTTGAATGATACTCATGGCGACAATGATTATTTCCCACAGACTGGGACAGCCTGAACCTGAAACTATATGAAATTTATTGTATGTGAAAATTTTATTTGATTAGCCTTAACAGTTCCTGTGCATCCCAGAATCCGTGTACCCATGTCGCAACAATGGATATAAGTCGATATTGTGATCAAACCATCCTTGCTGAAAAAGCATATGTGACAGTAAATATGAAACAAAACATCTATTAACGCATTCTATTTGATTTAGAAGTCATCGTCATCAGAAACGTAAGCATCACCCAACTCCTTCTTTCTCTTCATTCTTTCCTTCTTCTTCTTACGAAGTTCGGCCGACGACAACTTAGCCTTCTTCTTAGCGGTGACAATCTTGTTACCCATGGCGTCAAACTTGTCTTCCTCATCGTCTTCCTTGGCAGAAAGTCTAGGGCCAGCACCTTGACCTTGCACCCAGTTGTGACCAGAGGGGACCATTCTCCCGTTGTTAACAGTCCAAACTTCTTCAGTCAAGTCCTTGGTGAATTCGGCGGAGTGAGTAATGATAACAATACCACCTTCGAAAGCCTTCAAAGCCTTCGACAAAGCACCCAATGAGTCTCTGTCCAAGTAGTTAGTCGGTTCATCCAACACAATCAAGTGAGGTCTTTGCCAGGTACAAGCGGCCAACACCAACTTAACCTTTTGACCACCAGACAAACCTCTGATTCTGGAGTGCGAGACCAATTCGGGGTCCAAGCCCAACATTTGACAGTGTTCTTCGATCTCCTTTCTGGTCAAGGCTCTGAATTGACCCGAAGCCAAAGCTTCCTTCATGTCAACTTCGGCAACCATCTTGGAGTGAGTTTCCATCAATTCACCTCTAGGCAACCAAGTGTTGTCAACAGACATCATGGGCACCCATCTTTCAGACTTCATACCAACGTTTTCACCCAAAGTCCACGAACATTCGTATTCGTACGAGTTCTTGAACTTCCGCCGAGCGTGAATACCAGCAATACGTCTTTCCGAACCCTCAATCTTGAAGATCTTGTTCATAGCGTTCTCATCAGATTCAGTGACTTGACGAGAAGCACGGTCCATGGTTTCTCTGTCTTCACCAGTTTGGAATCTCCATTGAATGTATTCTGAAGGAGTCTTGTCCAAGTGCGAGTCAATGTGGGCGAAAGCGTGCTGCTTGATGTAGGCAATACGACAGTTCTCGTGAACGTAAACATCACCCTTGGTGGGCAACAATTCACCGGTCAAAACGTTGATAAGCGTAGACTTACCAGCACCATTGGGACCAATGACAGCAATTCTAGAAGACAAGGAGCATTGGAAGGTGATATCTTGAATTTGGGGCTTGGCAGTACCAGGGTATTGGAAAGTCATGTTTTGCACCTTAACAATAGCCTTTTGCTTAGTCTTAACCCCTTCCAAGAAACCGGGTTCAGGGAACTTGAATTCCAAGTCGGAAGCACCTAATTCGTAGTAAGATTGAGCAGAAGGGCACTTCTTGACAAATTCCGAAAGGTTACCCTTGTACTTTCTCAACTTGAGACCTTCGTAGTGAATGATGTATTGACACACCTTGTCCAAGAAACCAGAATCGTGCGACACGATAATTGAAGTGATACCACAAGTGTTCAAGTAGTTAACCAACCAGGCGACGTTCACAGTGTCCAAGTGGTTAGTGGGTTCATCCAACAACAAGATGTCAGCGTTCTTCAACACGGCTCTAGCCAAAGCCAACTTCATCTTCCAACCACCAGACAACGATTGAATAGGCATGTTGATCATTTCATCGGTGAAAGCGAATTCTCTGAGCTTGTCTTCGACAACTTCTCTGGTCAAACCGACTTCACCATCTTCGATGACGAACTCAGCAACGGTCGTGTCAGCGTGAGTGCCATCGATGTCGTGTTCGACGTAAACAGTCTTACATTCCTCAGGAGAAGGGAAGTTTTCAACCTGACCATTGGCAATAGCACGCATAAGAGTAGACTTACCAGCACCGTTGGGACCACACAAACCGTATCTTCTGTCTCTCTTCAATCTGAATTGAGTGTTTCTCAACAAGATCTTAGCACCATAAGCCAAGGAGAACTCACAGTTACACAAGTCTTCACCTTCATCTTCCTCATCTTCGAAAGTGGGAGGCTTGGGAATGTTTTCAACGGCAGCCTTTCTGAAGGCTTCCACGATTTCCTTAGCTTCAGCTTCGTGCAAGAAGATAGTGGCGAAAGGAACGACCGACAAAGTCCAGGCTTCGGCAGAAGTGTCACGTTCGTCAATGAGGTCACCAGCAATGGCAGCGATGTAGTTTTGAGCAACGTCAAAACGCTTGTCGATCTTCTTGTCCTTAGTCAACTTTTGGAATTCGTTCAAAGTGACAGCGATGTCACCAGCAGTGGAGATTTCGGGGATCTTCCCGTCTTCACCGACGTTACCGACTCTCTTCAAAGTAAGCAAAGCACGTTGAGTGACACCTCTGGCTTCGGGGTCAGCAATAGTCTTGAAGTTAGATTCCAAAGCGGGCAACAACTTGCTCAAGAAAGGAGCAATGACCTGAGGGTCATCGACCAACTTACACATGTTGTCGATAATGACAGCCGACTTTCTCTTGATGGCAGTCTCACGTTCAACCAAACCTCTGGACAACAAAGGAGCCATAATCGACAAAGTGGGCATAGTGACTTCCGACACGAAGGTAGTGGCACCCAAGACGTGAACGGTGTCGGGAACCTTAGAGGGGTTGGCAATACAGTCGATCAATTCAGGAATGAACTTTTCAATATCCTTGTTGTCAATAGTTTCGGTGGCCTTCTCCATAGTTTGGTGGGCAACTTCCTTCACTTCCTTCTTGGTATCCCACATGGCTTCCGACAAAACAGGAATCAATTCAGGCATGCGGAAAGCAATTTGGGCCTTAGCAGAGTCAACCAAAACTTGAATAGCCTTCAAAATGGCGATCTTTTCGGTCCACTTGTTAGTGGTCGACAAGTTTTCAGTCAAGCGAGGCAAGTAAGCCTTGATAGCCTTGGGAGTAATGGCAGCAGACAAGCCGGACAAAGCAGCCGCAGCAACATCAGCAACCTCCTTCTTCTTGTCACCAGATTTGGCGGCGACATCTTGACAAAGGTCAACCAAGTAAGGTTCAACGGTGGGGGTCAAACCGTTGGGCGAAGCGATGTGAGCGAAGGCGTTCAAAGCAGCAATCGAAGTAGCAGCGTCCTTCGAGTTGATCTCCTTCTTCAAGTCTTGGAAGAACTCGACAGGAGCATCGTGTTCAGCGATCGACGAGTTAAGGAAAGAGGCCACGTTGGCGGCAGCTTCATCCTTGTCGTCAGCCACTTGCAACTTCTTCAACAACTCAGTAAGCACCTCAGCCGAGTACTTCTCTTCACTAGCAGCAGTCATCGTGGTGAGAAAAAAAAGTCTATAGGGGGAGCGATGTGCTTTTGTAGTGAAAAATTTTTTCCTAGCAGATGTTCCCAATCCGGAATGTGCGGCGGTCATCGAATTACCTGCATGCTGAAAAGAAACCAACGGTCGTGATGGAAAACTGAAGAAATAGGAGAAATTTGTTCCATCTACTTCTCTCAATTAGTGTTTTACATCTCAAGTTTTGCAGAATTATGGTTCTTAAATTGTCTCTTGGCCGTAGATTCTAGCGCATCACTGGCTGTGCAAAAAGCAATTCACAAAATTAAACGGTTATTGTATTGGTACAGTTTGAAGAAACGAGTACTTTGTGTCGAATTACTTCCTTCTATTTAAATGACATTCTAAACACATCTGAGTCTGTACGGAGCGGATTTGTCATTACGAACCTGTTAATGTTAACGATGAGCCATGTGTCCACGCCGCATGTGGCATGTTTTGCATGCACTACCAATTTCTAAGTCATGTAGCTTCATTGAAACTTAATCATGAAGTTTGGCAAACAATTAGAACGTCAGCTTGAAGCCGAGAATTTACCAGAGGAATGGGTTGAAGCTGCTATACAGTACAAAGCCTTGAAGAAATGCATTAATATGATTGTGGGAGAGCTCGAAATACTTGGGCTTTCTAAGGCCACCTCCAAGTTGCTTCTAGGATCAGAAGAGGTGGATATTTCACCAGAAAACCGCAAACTTGCTCAATATACGCTTACCAAAGGAAAATCAGGTACCAGCATTGTGCCCAGACTTGAAATTTTACCGGGAGACGATGTCCATCCTGAGATTTGGTCTCAGCTTCGTCAAAGAGTGGAAAGCAATGCCCACGTGGTCAATGAACCAACGAACAGCGTGATAAGGCCAACAATAACTGAAATCAAAGACGATGGAACAATTGTTGTACTGCTTCATTCTGACGTTAAATTTTTCACGATGTTGGAAAATGAGTTGAGTCAGCTAGATGAGCTTCGTGAACGAGAAGAACGAAAGTTGCTTACAGAGTGTGAGAGTATATCGGAACAAGTGAAAACCTTATCTCTGCCATCGCAATCGCGAAAGGATTTGTACGCCTGGCGAGAATTGTTTCGAGTGTACATAGATCTGGAAGTGTACTTTCGTTATAACGAGTCCAACCTGCTGGCCGCTGAGAGAGACAGTGACAAGATTGAACAGAATTTAGAGCAGTTCTTGTTGAACATGAGGCAACTGAAAATTTTGGATAAGTTCAGTCAACGGCAACTGTTATCGACGTTCAACAGATTTGTCGCAATGAATTTTCATTTACTCAAGATGCTCCAATTCCAGCAAATGAATTCTACAGCCTTGCGCAAGATTCTTAAAAAGTTCGACAAACAAACAAATTTCGGCATCAAGAACACGTTTCCACGTTTAGTCCTGGACGACCATGTCTTCATAAAAGGCGGTCTGCTTGCTCAACTGATTTGTTACGTTATCCAGTCACAAATCCTCGCTTTAGTTCCACAGCTTGAAGATTACACATGCCCCGTGTGTATGCTGATAGCATACAAACCAATTCAGCTAGATTGTGGACACAGATTTTGTGTACGATGCCTTGTGAAAATGAAGCAACAAGAACAAGGAGACTGTCCTATTTGCAGATCTTCCAGAGCCATCATGGCTGCAGACGGATCTCATCTAGATGTTGAGGCTATGAAAAAGATGGAAGTTTACTTCCCGATTGAGGTTAAGCAGAAATTGCGTGAACGGAACCAGGAAAAATTTCGCGATTGGCGTGGTGGGTCCCAGGACAAATGTCACATTATGTAAATTAGGATATTCGCACTCGATATAATTGTATGAACCGTTATGATAGACAAATACGCCTTTGGGCTAATGCTGGGCAGAGCAATCTTGAAACAGCCCACGTTTGCTTGGTCAATGCAACTCCGACAGGGACGGAAGCCTTGAAGAATTTGGTGCTACCCGGAGTTGGCCAGTTCACAATCGTGGACTCTACAAAGGTGACATTGAAATCGTTGGGTGGCAACTTTTTTTTAAGTGAAGCTGATATTGGGAAATCAAGAGCCGAATCAATTGCAAAACATTTATCGCATCTTAACCCAGCAGTCCATGGGCACCATGAATTACGTCCATTGGTAGAGTTGGATAATACATTCTGGTCGCGATTTACATGTGTTGTCGTACTGGATTTAGTCGAAGATTTTACGGTTCTTCAACAAATATTGTGGGATAATCTGATTCCCTTGCTAGTCGTCGATACCATCGGGTACTATGGCGCGCTCCGAATCATTGTACCTGAGGTAACAGTCATCGAGACGCACGATCCTTCAAAACTTTTGGACTTGAGGCTAGATAAGCCATGGCCAGAATTACAATCCTATGTGGATTCTATTGACTTATCTACCTTGAATGACGTCGATCATGCACACGTACCTTACATTGTGATCTTCATAAAAGCGCTCCAAAAGTGGATACATGATAATGGCACAGCCCCAAAGCTCTATGCCGAGAAGTTACAATTTCAAAGCTCAATCGCTGATATGCTGCGGAACTTGGCGACAGAAGGAAATTTTAGCGAGGCGAAAGAAGGTTATATTCGAGCCTTGCACAAGACAGTTATCCCACCAGAACTTGCTCGGATACTTGAAAGTGAAAAAGCAGAGGTTTCTAAAGAATCATCTATTTTCTGGATCTTGGTGGCTTCCTTGAAGCTCTTTATTTCGGAGGTGGGCTCGCTTCCGTTGCTGGGGGAATTCCCTGATATGGTGTCTGACACTAAATCCTACGTGGCAATGCAAAAACTTTATCATGAAAAATCTCTTGTCGATCAGGCTAAGTTCCTCGAAAAGGTCAAATATGTGATGATCTCGATTGGTCGTGATATCGATGATATCGATGATCAAGTCATTAAGCTGTTTTGTAAGAATGCTCGCCAGTTATATGTTGCAGAAGGCTCGGCGTCTGCTTACTCTCATGCATTGATTGAAAGCTTACTCGATTCCAAAACCGAGGGTACGAGCAGAAACATGAACTTACTAGCGATATACTTTGGTATGCTCGCTTTAAAGAATGTTGAGGAATCGCAGGTCGATTTCAAAACAGTGACGAACGAGTTCAAGAAAATAATCCAGAAACAAGACTTACCGCAACTGATTACTGATACCATAGCAGAATTGGTGGCTCACTCAACAAGAGATTATCACAACATGTGTGCTTTCATGGGTGGTGTTGTGTCACAAGAGATTTTGAAATTGGCTACAATGCAATATGTGCCAGTTGATAATTTGTTTATTTATGATGGTGTGCGCCTGTTGGGGGCGTCATGGCGGACGTAGCAAAGTTTATAAATCATCGAATTGTACAATGTCACCCAGCTTTTTCTTTTTATTCGCTCTTACAAGGTCTTTCCAATCGACCTCAGCCTCTGAATCCAGCGGTTCTTGATTTTCTAACTCTTCGCGCTTTCGCTTCATGCGCTCACGTCTTTCAAGCTTGCCCTCCTTCTTCTCGACTTTTGTCAGCCATGCTTCGTTCTTCTTTTTCTGGAGTTTGCGTTGCTTGGCGTCTGCGATCTTTTGAGCTTTTGTCTCCGCCAAGGTATCGAGTCTTTGCTTCTCTTTGGCTGGATCAGCGTAAGCATAGGCATCCATATCAATCACGTCTCCCAACCAGCCATCCACAGGTATGTCGGCAATATACCTCAGTTCTGGCATCTTGGGTAATCTGAGTAGTCCATACAGACGTGCTATGCCAATATAGTCTAAAGTTGCACGTCGAAAAATGGACAGGGCAACATGCTTAGAATAATAACGGACAAACCCAACATAAGCCTGAACGGCAAGTTCGTGGCGAGCTCTATCGTTTAGCATCCATTGTCTGAAACTGCGCGGTTTTGAGGCGACCTCAATTTCCTTCATATTGACGCCCTTAATTTCCATAAAATCAACGTATCCATCTTCATTAGGATTTAAAAATACAATGGCTTGGCCCACTCTATTGGCACGACCCGTGCGTCCACAGCGATGAAGGAAAACGTCAGGGTCTGTGGGAGGGTCCAACTGGATGACCAAATCAACGTCAGGAATATCGATACCTCGCGCTGCAACATCGGTAGTAAGAAGAACCAGTTTACCAATATTCTCTGTAAATTGATCGAGCGCCTTTAAACGCAGTTTCGTAGTTAACAGCCCATGAAGTGAGGTCCATGAGAGTGACGACTCGTAGCTTGAAAACATGTTGTAAAAATGCTTCACGCCCACGCAAGTAGGAACGTATACAATGCATTTTTTGAATTGATATTGTTCGAGTAATGTCAATAGAGTCGTGATTTTTCGTTCGGGGTCAATCATCGCATAAAAAATTGATAGAGATTCTGGAGCTGCCTTCGCATTCAGTTTGACTGTTACCTTCACGGGATTATTCATGCCTGTACGAAACACGCTATCACCAGCTGATGAAAGTGTTGCGCTAAACAAGCCAATGCGTTTTTGCTTCGGCAAGCGCTTGAGTATGGTGAGTACATCATTCGAAAATGAGACATCTAACAATTTGTCGGCTTCATCTAAGATTACTATTTCGACGCTCAGGGTTTTAAGTTGTTGGTTGTTCAAAAAATCTTGAAGCCTCCCCGGGGTAGCAATAAGTATATGGGAGTTTTGCTTTCTGAATATTTCAAAGTCTTCTCGGGCGTTAGCAACTTGACCCACAAGTAATTGCGTATTTATGTCGTGTGGGCAAAAGTCGAGAACTTGCTTAAACACTTTCTCTATTTGGGCTGCAAGTTCTCGAGTGGGCGACATCACGATTGCCACAAAATGACCTTTTTTAAGCGGCTCAGGTTCCTCTTCGCCGGCCTTTCCAAACAAACGTTCACTAACTTTCTGGAGCACAGGTATGACAAATGATAATGTTTTCCCTGAACCAGTTACCGCCTCAACGACAACATCCTTGTTCCCAGCTAATAAAGGAATTGTTGACGCCTGCACTGGTGTCATCAGAGGAAATCCCAACAGTACGACTGCATCTCGAAGCCATGGAGTAAGCTCATACCTGAGATCAGTCCATGCCAAAGACGCCTTCGAAGGTTTCATGATTGGGTTCAGTCGCGCTCATCGCGATCCCGCGATGATGCGTAACATAGGGGGAATGATCAAGAGGGGACTAGCTGAAGTTAAATACGCCGAATGGTCTAAGGAAGAGCTCATCAAACGCATCGAACAATTGGAGAACGGGGTTGGCTCCGTTGAGACATCGCGTCACACTAGCTCCACTCAGGTTCATTTGAAACCAGATACCTCTGCTCCGACCCCGAAGAAGGCTAAGAAGCAATTTGCATTCCATGAACAGCATCAAAGGTTTATTGCCATCAAATTTGCGTATCTTGGATGGAACTATAGTGGTTTGGCGTACCAATATGAGCCAACGCCCCTTCCTACAGTCGAACAATGCATCGTTGAAGCACTTGCCAAAGCCAAATTGATCGAAAAAGCTGATCCTGATTGCTGTGGATTTAGTCGATGTGGTCGAACGGATAGAGGTGTTTCAGCCATGAATCAGGTAATTTCGCTTAGGGTGAGATCGCAGCTTTCTCCAGAAGCTCAACAGAAGCAAACTAATGATGACAAAGAGCTACCTTACATGCTGATACTCAATCTGATGCTTCCCACGGATATACGAGTAACAGCAATTTGTTTGCGACCTCCCAAAGACTTTGACGCTCGCTTCCTGTGTTTGTATCGACACTACCGCTACTTTTTTTTCTCTGAAGGGTTAGATATCGATTTGATGAAACAAGGTGCCAAGTTTTATGAGGGTGTTCATGATTTCCGTAATTTCTGCAAACTTGATGGATCAAAACAAATCACGAACTTCATGCGAGAGGTGCACGGCGCATCTATTTGTCATCTCAAGGATGACATCTGGTACCTTGACCTTAAAGGTCTGGCTTTCTTATGGCATCAGGTGCGGTGCATGATGGCTATTCTTTTCATGGTTGGCCAAAAGCTTGAAGAGCCCTCCATTGTGACCGCAATGTTGGATATTCTGAAATACCCGGCACGTCCTGTCTATGAAATGGCAAACGATATACCATTGGTTCTTTATAATTGCCATTACCCTCAAATGGAGTGGATTGAAAGTGATCTGAGAGCTCCCAAGTTCTATGCTCAGTTTCGAGGGATGCTCAGCGACTATCGACTCAAACTGAACATGGCTAAACTCATGGATGAATGGTATATTGGCGGACTGTTCCAACAGAACACTACGATTCATGGTGGATCTGTGAATGTTGGAGACGGATGTGGAAGAAAATTCAAAAAGTATACCCCACTCGCCGAGCGAAAGGTGGGGGAAACACCAGATGTCGTGAATCAGAGGTATCTTGAGCGGAAAGCACGCAAAGAACAGCCAATCGATGAACCGACCGTCTGACCTTGCAGCAAGAACTCTATTTTATGTAAACTGACAAATGTAATTAAATTATCTGGCAACTTGAACTATGCTATTGCAGCTGTAAAAGCTAGCGCTGAACTTATAACAGTCGTCTATTGGCTACCAATACGGTGGCATTCTTTCAAAAAGTGTCCAACTTTTTCTGGCTTCATGAAAGGGTGTGTGCCATGGCCAAAGTTGACAATGTAATTTTGTTTGCCACCACCAAATCCCTTGATCATGGCTTCAGTTTTTTGGGTGATGACCTCATCCAGGCCATACATGACGCCAGGGTCCAAATTACCTTGCAAAGTGATTCTTCTCCCGTTGACAATTTTGACGGCGTCTTCGGGATTGTACAACCAGTCCAAAGAGACAGTGTCATAACCCGATTCGCATAAATCATCCAAGGCATACCAAGCACCCTTAGCAAAAACAGTTAAGGGAATGCGTTCCACCACACCCAACTCCTTTAACCTACGGGGCAAGTTTTTGGAAATGTAACGGAGATACGGCAAAGAAAATTCATTGAACTCTGCGGGACCTAACACTTCTGCCCACGATTCAAACACTTGCAACATTTGCGCGCCAGCAACAACCTGTTGGGCTAAGAACTCGACACAAGCCTCTGCTGTAGCTTGCAATAATTGATGCGACTCATCGGGGTGGGAGTAAATCCATTCTTTTGCGTATCGAAACATCTTAGAGCCTTGACCTTCTGTCATGTAAACTAACAAAGTCCAGGGAGCTCCAACAAAACCCAATAACGGGACTCGCCCATCTAATTTCATTCGCGTCAATGTAATAGCCTTAAATGCCCAATCCAACTCCTTGAGGATATCAGGCTTCATGTTTACACGCTTCAAATCGCTCACGTCTCGAAGCGGTTCAGCGAACACGGGGCCTTTACCTTCGACCATATTGACTTCAAACCCCATCGCTTGAGGGATGACTAAAATGTCTGAAAAAATAATGGCGGCGTCGAGTAATCCATCATAACGATCCACCGGCTGAATGGTGATTTCCGCAGCCGTCTCTGCATCCCGACAAGTTTCGAAGAAATCTTTGTCACCTTTGACCTCATGATACTCAGGCAAGTATCGCCCTGCTTGCCGCTAATGTTAGTATGACATCTTCATCATATGTAAATAACAAAACGTACCATGATCCAGACGGGGGGCCTTTCAACCTTTTCGCCCAATGCTGCCCTTAAAATTAAATCGTTTTTCAAAGAAGGAAATTGCATTTGTCTAAGTCCAAGAACTTTTCATGGGGTTATTTTTCGCACTGTCATCTGAGGGTCACGGCTTTTGGCGACATGTTGAATAGTATGTAGGCTTGATTTATATTAAGTGAAACAAGCTTAGAAAAATCTATACATTTTCTTTACATCCCTTCATAACTACAGAGCTCAACATAAATTTAGGTTATTAACATTCTATTGTTTACGCCGTGCGAAGTAAGTGCTTGCTTTATGTAAACAAGCTCTCGCGCAATTCCATCAATAGCCTTCAGCGTTTGTAAAACATGGCTTCCCTGACAAACCTGGGAAATGAAGATGATGCCAATGCAGATCTGTGCAATTTCATAGTTCTGACATTTCGAGCTTTGTTTGGGTACCGCAAGACTCTGCTTACATTGTTAGTGTCTATGGTGTGGATTGCTACGATCGTTTTATCAGCCATTGACAATTCCTTGATGATGGTACCCTTACCTAATGACACAATTGAAAAAAACGTTTTGGAGCGTGCCTGGTTGGACATTCAAATCATCGGTTCTCGCCACCATTCTTATGCTCAGAGTGGAAACGATGCAACACACAAGTATATCGAGAGTGTCATCCATAAAGCACTCAAAAGAAGCCCTCAGAACTTTGTGGACGTTGACAATGATTCGAATGCTACTAGCGTGGAAATGTGGGCGGAGGGTTCTACGGTGAACTACTATGAGTCGAACAACGTCGTAGTGCGGGTCAATGGTACAAATTCGAAATTGAAAGCTTTATTGTTAAGCGCACATTTTGACTCAGTTCCTCTGAGTTATGGAGTTACCGACGATGGAATGGGTATAGCACTGATGTTGGGTGTATTGTATTACCTTCTTCAAAATGGGGTCCAACCAAAACGTACAGTCATATTCAATTTCAACAACCATGAAGAGTTTGGTTTGAGTGGAGCTCGCACTTTCATATCGCACCCTTGGTTCAAAGAAGTCGGCTACTTTCTCAATTTGGAGGGAACGGGTGCAGGTGGTAAGGCGATCCTTTTTCGCGGTACGGATTACGAGATGGTTAATCTGTTTAGGGTTCGCTATCCTTATGCTAACTCTTTATTCCAACAAGGTTTTGCAAATCGTTTAATTCGCAGTGAAACTGATTATAAAGTGTACAAAGAAATTGGGGGATTGAGAGGTTTGGATCTCGCATTTTACAAGCCTCGAGATATTTACCATACAACTGAAGATAACATACGGCACGCAAATAAGCGATCGTTATGGCATATGTTATCGAATGCACTTGACTTCACGCTCGAATTTTCGAGCAGGACTGGGGAACTTGGCGACGAGAATGCCGAGCTGACAGATCCAGCCTTATACACAAGTTTTTTGCGATTTTTTTTTGTTTTATCTGCCAGAAAGAGCATTCAAATGGGGCTCTTAATAGCAGTTGTGTTTCCCTTTGTTCTGGGATTGTTGTTTTTTGTCGTGCTCCATAAACAAAGCTGGAGTTTCAGTATGATAGATGTGATCAAGGTACCATGCCTGTTGGTGATTCTGGCTTTGGGTACAAAGTTTGTGGAGGATATTTTCATAGAAAACACTAATCCGCTTGTCCCAAACGTTGCCAAAACAGAGGTGCTTTTGACACTTTTTGCAGTATTCATCATTTTGAATTACATTTTACTTAATTCGATTAATTGGATCACTCGCCTGCGTCGCCTGACTAATCATGATGAGAAATTGGTTGTAATTCTCGAGTTGGCTGTGGTTTGGTGGGTTTTGATGATGTATTCAATTGTCAAATTAAATCAAAACAAGCCGTTGGATGATCATACAGGTGAGTTTTTTATTACAATCGTGTATGTCTTACAACTGGCAGCTGGGATTGTCGGACTCTTAGGGTGGTCATTTTGTAAACGTCGACAAGTCAATGAGGTACCCAAAGTTACTCAAGAGAATAGATTGGCTGACTCCGAGTCTGACCATTTGCTTGCCAGCAATGATGCGGAGTATGGCGCCACTGAGGACGTTCATCAGTCAAGTGGGCAGTCTCTGCTCTTGACAAATGTTAAAGCTGACTCTGATTCATTTTCATATGAGAGGAAAAGTCACAGCTATGATTGGTGGGCTCAGTTTCTTCTTACAGTTGCTGTGCCTCTGTATCTCATTTATAATTCAGGGTGGTTGGTGCTTGATGGTCTCGCCAAGCTGGTGCAAGAATCTCTTGAATCCCAAGAGCTCGTATTTCGACTTTGTCGATGGGCAGCAATCGCATGGGCGCTTCCTTTCTTACCATTTGTTTTCAAACTCAACCGTTTTGTCGTGTACTTGCTATTAGCCCAAATTGGGACTGGATTGCTATATCTTCTGCTTGTGAACCCATTCACAACCGAAAATCCACTCAAATTGTATTTTTTGCAAACCCTTGATTTGGCTGATAGTGTTTCGAACCATGTCAACGTTATTGGACCTCAACAATCGCACTTGAAGCTGGTTCTTCAAGATTTGCCTCTGGTAAAAGTGCAGGGTGACAAAGTCAATTGCGAATCCCGAAATGATGGTTTGTACGACTGTCGCATCAGGCTGGAACTATGGCCTGTTTTCGATCAGAACGTGAAGAGTTACAAAGATTACATTAAAGTCGAAGTCTTAAAGAACTCGACGGACGCAACTGGTGCCCCTTTCGGGTTGTTGGTTGGTGAGATCAAAATTCATACTCCCAAAAACCGCTACTGCACTCTAGAATTTAATGAGACTGCGACGGGAAGATATTATCGGGATCATCCAGTGAAGACCGTTATTGTGTATCGCAGTACTGCAAATCATACGTCCACAATTGACCACACTGCCGCTGGAATTCCAGAAGGATTTTCCATTGATAAGAATGGTAATTATCAATTCAAGAGGCTCATTGGGATTAATAAGTTGGTGTTGAACAAGCTTGATTGGGATATTGAATGGCATCTTGGCTTTCATTGGGTTCCCAGCATCTACGACGATAGTGAAATGCTAGACGGTCGTGAATTTGAGAACTTACATTTCAACGTTGTTTGTCATTGGGCGGAACTTGAACTGGTTGGTGGTAAAGAGCCTATTCCTGCATGGAAAGAGGTGCTCAAATTTTCCCCTGTAAATGTAGCATGGGCAAACCAACAGAAGGGTTTGGTGGCAATGCGTAAGCTGGTAAGAGTTTGATTCGAAGACGTTGAAATTATTGATGATGTATTGAAATATACTACTAGCAGAAACTCAGCCTTGATGTAGCCTCATATGGATTCTTGGCACGCGAACACAGAACCGCCAATGATCATTGACAAACTATGCCTGTGAGCTGTAAAGTTTCTCGTGACTGAATTGAAAGGTTTGTGTAGCGTAATAATTAGAGCCCACACACAACATTGTGTTGAGAAAACCACATACGTTTGCCATAATACCAGCGGTAAACAAAGCGCAAAAAGTGTTTTAGGATGAACGTAATCGAATCGTTAAAGATGCATCAATCAAGGAGTTGTCCTCTTCCGCAAGTGTGACATTTGCCAAGCCGCGAGACTTTCAGAACACAATTACCTCGCGTCGGCGTTGCTCGTCATGCAGAGGCTGTGTACACCTGCAGGCCTAGAAACATTTATATTGCTAGAACGGTGAAAAAAATAGCATTACTGTACTGACACCATGAAGCTCTTAAAGTTATCTGGTATGGCGGTCGTTGCCATGGCATTCGAACCGCTTCGACTTGATTTCACTGTTAGAAGAGGCAACAATTTGATTGAAGCTCAAGGACCCGGGGGTGTTGAACCTCCTATGTTGCGGAAGCGGGATTCAGCGGAAATGGAGTTGACAAATGCACAGACTTATTACATGTGCACTCTTAAGTTCGGGCTGAATTCAGATGAAGTCAAAGTTCTTGTCGATACCGGTCTGTCGGATCTTTGGGTGTCCTCTCATGATGTTAACTGCCTCGCACCGCTGACTCAAAAGCGGGACTATCGGAATTTTGAGGCATTTCTTGAACGTCAACACAAGCGCGACGAGCCGCTGGGAACTACCGATGAAAACACAGACCCCTCGAAGACAGAGAACAAGTGGAATCCATTTGCCTTCACCACAATCTTTTATCTGAATGCACCTGCGACTGGTGATGTTACTGGTTCTAGCGATGGGTCTGGAGAATGCACCAAATTGGGATCTTTCGCCACAGAACTGCTGAACCTGTGGAAGGTAAACCAAAGCGAACTGTTTTTTATCCAATACGCGGACGGCACCGCTGCAAAGGGGGTTTGGGGTACTGATCGAGTTGGGTTTGATCAAACTTTCGTCGACGGTTTAACGTTTGCAGTGGCAAATAAATCTTCTTCTGATGTGGGGGTGCTTGGTATCGGTCTTCAGGGACTTGAATCAACCCTTAATAAGTATCTGAATTTGCCGATGAAGCTTAAGGAACAAGGAAAAATTGCAAAAAACTTGTATTCCTTGTATCTTAACTCACAAGATGCTAAGACAGGTTCCATTTTGTTTGGTGGTGTTGATCACGCTAAATACGAGGGCGATCTTTTAGCGTTGCCAATCGTTTCTCTGGAAAAGTTGACCCATCAAATTATTCGATTGGAGGTTCCACTCTATGGCATCAACCTCGTTGGAAGCAATAATCAAAACATCAGTGTTACTAACAACAAATACCCGGCGTTGTTGGACTCAGGTACAACTTTAACTTACTTGCCTAAGGCCATGGTTCAAACCATTGCAAATGCACTCAACGCTGACTATTCTCAAAGAAACGGTGGTTATATGATGGAATGCATCACGGACCTGAATGCTTACCTTGACTTCGACTTCGCTGGGAAAGTCATTCGTGTTCCCATTACAGATATGCAAGTTGGCACGTCCAGCAGTAAATATTGCATGTTAGGGATCATGACGCAAGACAGCGACTCGTCTTCCAATCCTTATCTTGTTTTGGGCGACAATTTCTTGCGCAATGCCTACATCGTATATGATTTGGATGACATGATTATATCCATGGCTCAAGTTAAGTTTACCGATGAAGAGAATATCGAGGTAATCACTAGTACCATTTCCGGATTGCAAACCGCCTCCGCTGTCACTCTGTTTGCTTCCCAAATGGAAAATACTCAAAATGCCCAATTGAGCACTGGAAGTAGTAGTCACAGTGGTTCTAGCTCCAGTGACAAGAAGAACAATGCCAAAACGACTAGTGTTGGCATTTCATGTATGTTGGGGTCGTTAATGATCTGTGGCATGTTTTTGCTTTAGTAAATTTAACACACATTTGCTGTATTTCGTATCACTTTTTCATTGCTCTGGTGAAACAAAGGTCGGAAAGCTCGTGTCAACGCTCTATGACGTTTCTGAGCTATATCTTTCGGTAGCAGCCGGCGGGCCAATTTGAGAAACGAAACATAAGGTTCGCCCATTGTCTACCAGCTGCTAGCGATATTTACGTGAGGTTTTCCGCTTCTTCTACTGGTGTATCAATTTAGCAAATTGACATTCGTTTCTCTGGAAACTCCAATCTATTACTCAAATGAAGAAAATAATATATGCCATATATGCCTTGAGGGTGGAACCAATATCCACCAAGTATGCTTCATTCAACGCCAGAGTATTGTCTATACTCGTAGTCAAAATTTCTGATGCCAGAGACAGCGTCGGTACTCTTGTATTCCAATAGTCGTCTGTTAAAAGTTCTCCGGTGAGGTTGAAGGAATTCGAAACGGTCTTTGCGTCACTCGAATTGTCATCGTAATATTCTGAGGGCATATTGAAAACCATGGTTTCGCTAAATGTTGAATTCAAAGTGGAGCAGAATTTTTCCTTGAGCTTCGCTCCACTGAGCCCATTGCATCGGCATTTTGCAAGACTATCCCAATAAACCATATCAACAAGACATAGGCACTGAAGATGTTGAGGGTTCTCCAACTTCTTAGTCAGTTGGCCATCTACCACGGGACATAACTGGGCCTCATATCCCGAAGCATAAACGCATTGGCTTGACCCTGGACCACACAGTGTTGAGCCTTCATTGGGCTGAAGTGTTTGAGATGGTAAATTCGACGGTGATATAGCCTCACTTAACGTAAGCGGCGCAGAAGCCAACAGTTCAAGCTTTTCAGCAGCGACTATTGCCGTCAATAAAGCCCATATTAAACTTCTCATGGGCGCTGTGTCTCAACTTTTGGTGGGATATTACGAAAATATATGATAGACACGCGCTGTGGACATCTAGTGAGGAAGCTTATTACGTCATACAACATTAGTCTAAGATCCATCATATATCGAATCGCGGGTGTGCAAAAGATACGAGGTCACATCAAAAGAGAACAACATAAAATCTATGACTTGATTTTAATGATGGAAGACTAGTTGCAAGATGTGTGCGTAGTTCTTTCTATTCGTATGAAAAGTTCTGCACAGCACTTTGCAACGATACGCTTCATCAAACTTTATACGGTATGCACAATATAGGTATGGAAATCTTCAGACTTCGACCGAATGCAAAATAGAAGTTTGTCAGAACAAGAATTGAAAGTTTTGTGGGACCCAGGTGTGATTTAGTTGTATTAATATCTTGTAGTAAAAGCCAAACTGCAGACAGATGTGTAATGCGAACCTGTCTAAAAAAAAAAAAGCGATGAGCTGGGTCTGCATTGAATCACATGACATATTAATAGTTACGAGAGGGTCATACTCGAAGAAGACGACGCTTTCGAATGGCAGATCGTTTTATTCATACATATACTGTCGTGTAGGCTGTTACAGTCGTGAATGCCAACTTTTTATGGTGATGATGAGGCCTTACGCCGGCAGTAGTTTCGGCTTGACTTCCACTGGTGTCGGGATTAGGTGCTCCAGTGGGGTTCGGGGAGACTTTGGTCGTAGTTTTCTCAGAGTCATCGTTACCCATAGGAACAATTTCGAGAACTGTTTCGTAGGTGACTTGCGTCAGAGTTTCGTCATAGGATTCTGCGTTGATTTGTACCCCTTTCTGAATACCCTCAAGATATAAGTTAGCATCTGTCAAATTGGTATCATAAGATTCATCAAGTGTCACCAGCGTTGGCGGCGTACCCATAGTACTGGTTGTAGCTGAGGATTCGTCATCACGCATGATAGTTGGTGTGCCAAATGCATAACTTCCGCCGTGCTCATTGATCTCATTCAGGGAAGGTAACAAGATACTGGCCACCGATGAGCTGGCTTCGCCAGGCAGCAACATAGAAGCCGAACTTTCCTGAGGCGGTGGGATGAACTGGCCAATTCCATTTATATGATTATTAACAACAGACACCATGTCGCCATTTCCAAAACTCGAACTGGCGTCCCAAAACATTACTCCTCCAAAATTGGGCGAACTTCGAATGTTATCAATGGTTTCACAAATGGTTGTTGAATCAATATAACCGGAGCCTGCACTTGATGGCGCTCCAGGCAAACCCAAAAAAAGCTTTACATTTGGGTTGGGAGAATTAGCAGCCCAATCGCTCCAAGTTTTCCAGTTGAAATTTTTTTCAACAGCACAAGGGTTGTTGTAAAATTGCACAAATGCATAATCTAAAGGCACCTGCAGCATCAAATCCCCAACACTCTGATCGGGATAAACGCATTGAGGAGCGGTAGAAAGGTAATACTGACGTGAACTCTCACTGAAGTATTCACGCAATTTTTTGGCCATGGCGACATACCCCACTTGGTTTTTGTTCTCAACATCAAAATCAAAGCCGTCAATGATAGCATCATCAAAAGGTCTCTCATTGTCCTGACCTCCTCCAAACTTGTTCCAAAGTACCTCCGCAAATGCTTCACCCTCGACCTCAGATTGAAAGCCATATTCGCCAACAGCACCACCAAGTGACATAAAAATCTTTTTACCTTGCGCTTGACATGACTTTATATCTTCTCCAATTTTGGAACAATGCAATAAGCCCGAGTTAAACTTCTCATTACATTGCCCGCCAAAATTGATACTCAAGTCAGGATACCCGTTTAAAAAACTCACTAGGACCACCTCGACTTCCAGAGTCTGGCAGTACAGGGCAAGCAGCTGTTCACCTCCAAATGAATTTTGGCCCCAGTACACTGCCACCTGTGCAGTAATTGATGGAACAGCCAATAGCAAAGCGACACAATTTTTAACATTAAACTTCATACTTCACGTACTGACTGGAACGATGCGCCGATGATGTGGATATAATTGTGAACAATTTGCTTTGATGGTGTTAATTTGCAAGGAGCGGAAGAATTTTGCTATTAGTTAGGAAGTTTTCTATGGTAATGACTTCGTTATATACTGGTGTTAATTTTGCCTGTATAGGGTTCAATGCAGAGCCCTTGCAGTTATGAATTGCGCGTGTGTACGAGATTGGCTAATGAAGCCAAGTGGGTTTGGAATTACAAACAGCAGTTAAATTTGAGTAGTGCTCAATGCAGAGACTAAAAGAATTGCAACTTTACGTTCAGTCTCAATATATTTATATTGGCCCTCTAGTTTTACCAATTTCCATGGTGCCAAGTTAATTTTCACCGATGGCGGCGCGTCGCGTGTAACTCTGAATTCTAAAAATAATAAATTACTTGTTAACCTCACCAATCCAGGGAATTGATAGACAACCACATGTATTTGAATACTGCATCACACATTGTGTAAACTCATTAACTCAATTGTTCATATCGTTTGAGAGGATAGGTGTTGGTCGATGTAAGCCCAGGGGAGTTTGTTAGATTGCCCCAAGGTGTGAGTGTTACATTCAACACATAATGCATGCAAGATTGAGTTGATGAGACAACGGCAGGAGTGCAACCTCCAGTCGCGCTCATGTCGCGACAGGAAGGCTTCTTCGCGATGTACTCTATTGATCTTGAATCAATTTCTTCTTGCTTCGGGGAAACGGAATGACCATTGCTTAGGTCATGGTAAGCCAGTGTCCAGTCGCTAGCTCGAAGAGCTTTGACATGACACTGACGATGGATATTAGTGGTGTTTCGGTCTCGTTGCCTCCTTGAGCTATGTGAATGCGCCACGTCTCGTAGAATGGTAACCAAGTACTACGTATGGCATTTCAATGGAAAAAAACGCGAAAAAAAATTGTATTACTGATGGAGATATTGTAGATATATTAAACACCGACTATAATAGCGTTTTGTAGCGTCAAAACCATTTGATGGAGTTCTGTGCCAACACATATATCTCTTTAAATGATCACTTTAGTCACTCTTGCTATTGTTCAAAAGTGCGTGCTCTTCGAGTTCGTCAAGTTAACTGCATCTTGAATCAACTGACCTTGACGGCCTTATAATAAAAATGGACCTTGTGATTTTTAAATAGTGATGGATACTTTGGTGTCTTTAGCATATAGGTATGTGAACACATCTAGCGTACATGCCGGTACTATACATCATGTGATGACTTCGGAAAATTTCGGAAAAACTTTTCTTCATGAGGCAATTAAAATGAGCATGTCATGCATACAAATATCATCGAATTGGATAGCTACACTTGTTGCTGATACGTAGAGATATGGCAATCAACGGTCTGTGCAACCTTTAATTGATCAAAATACCCGAAGCTCTCTCCGAAATATAATTTCTACCTTCACGTTGGAAACTACAATTCGCGGCAACTGCAGGCCGTGCATTGTCTGGGGAAAGAAGACTTCTAATACCTGATGTAAGTGTGACGTGGGACTTCATCAACCTTCGCGAAAATATTCGCTAAATTGAGCTAGGTTACAAAGGTTATACATTGTGAAGTTGGGTGAAACCATCAACTCATCGTTCGAGTTCCATGCAATGTAGCGGACGGGTGTCTCCCAGGCTTCTTTTTAGTCACTTGACGTTGCTGGGAGTGAAGGGAGACCCTTTGAGTAGTTTGTGTACATTTGCCCGGAGTTTTTCGGATGGTTGCGGGTGGCGGATCTCGGTTAGCAACCCCCACGGGGTAAGATACCAGGGTAGAAAGTTTCCTTTAAGATTGTTTCTTCCATACTTTAACATTTTAGTTATCGCGTTACACAGCTACCGGCCCAATTTCATGTGGCACAACACTTTCAGGCTTCCCCACTCGATATCATGACCACGTGCAAGACACCTATTATGATTGTGAACCTTTCACCAGCAACGTTGTTGATATTGTTATGACTTAAGATGTGTAGAATTTATTCGGTTAAACTAGACAATAGAAGATGTGGATGTGATGGCGATCGCCCCACAGTTCTCCACAAACCATGGCTCACTTTACCTGGCTTGCCTTAAATTGCTTTTTTTGTACCACCCTTGACATGAACAATATGCTGCATACAACCGAAAATGGTGGCGAAGTCGAAGGCTTTGGTATGTACAAACAAAACACTGAGATATCGCTTACAAATCAGTGTACTATCAACGGAGACCGAAGTACTTAATGCTATATGTTGGTGTGTTACTTTGGGCTTCTTTACCTCGAGCGTCACCCCACCCCCGTCCCCCCCCACTTCTATCTCATATTTGGGGGGTCTCTCTGCAGGCCTAGGACAAAACGGTTTTCTCATTTCGCGGATGCCAGTAAAATTCTTCTTCTCCACACTCCTTCGTGACCCCTAAGAACTGCCTTCAGGTAAGATGTCAGTCAAAGCGGAGGTCGCCACCGCCAAAAATAAGAAGGATCCACAGGCTCGGCCTTATAAATGTCCTTTATGTGATAAGGCTTTCCACCGTTTAGAGCACCAGACTCGCCACATCCGCACACACACGGGAGAAAAGCCTCACGCTTGCACTTATCCTGGATGTTTCAAGCGGTTCCTGCGATCGGATGAGCTTACACGGCATTTGAGGATTCATACCAACCCAAATTCAAGGCGGAATAAGAATCTCACGAAGCAAAGGTTGAAGAAAGAACAAGAAGCCTCCACAGTTGGTACTGTCGGCACCATTTCGGGTCCCCCGATAGCTGTACCCCCGCCTCTTCCTGCTGGTGGTATGATGCTGCCACCTACTAATTCAAACCCCTCATCAGGGGTTGCGTTTAAAAGTCTCGTGATCGGCCCGGCGCCGCTGAACGACCTGGCTGCATCTCTGACAGGCACTTCGCCACTGCCTCCACCCCGCCCTCCGTCTACTACCAACAATATTGATCTTTTGGCGCTGATGGCTCTGGAAGAATTGCGTCACATTGAGCTGCTGAGTCTGAAGCTGCTTCCACTGCTACTGGAATACTTTGGGCGGCAATCTTCAAAATTGGCTCCCAGACCTCAACGTCCTGCTATGCCCCAGGCACCCCCGCCCCCTCAAAGTCTCAGGGCGTTGGAGCACCCTCCACTGGCTCCACTGTTTTCCGTGGATCTTCAAGGTGCAGCTATCTCGCTGCTGAAACTGTCGCTGCTGCTATTTTCTCGTCATGTGCAAGAACTGGACATGGATTATGTTAGGCAACGACTCAAGCGATCGCGGCCCAACTCCCCTTCATTTACCTTACCGAATTCTCCAGTTCTCGGCGGAATACTGGGACTGAATACACCCCTAATTCTGGCACTGAACTCTTTTACAAATTTGCTGCTGTTGTTTATGACTCCTGCTTTTCCGCCTAATAGTCTGGCAAGCTCACATCGTCAACTTACTCCACTGGGTTCAACTCTCACAACTCCAGTTTTGTCACCGAACTTGGAGAAGAAGACGTTACATTTTGGACCCCCTCTGGTGGCACCGGCTCCATCGCTGCTGCTGGAAAAGTTACCAAGTTTACGTCTGCTTAATTTGGAGATGCCGACTCAATTGGCATCGATGCTGAGACTTCCATCACGGAAGACCTCACAGCTGGATGGAAAAAGTGGTCAATTTAAACGGATTTTGGAGGAATAGGATTTATCATGGGTTTTGGATCAGGTATGTAATAATAATTAATGACTGTATTTCTGATTATTGATGACTGGCAATCAGCATGACCAATAGTTTCATTTTGTAACATCGAATCAAAGTAATACAAATTCGAACATTAGACTTTACATTTGCAAAAATCTCATTGTTTTGCAATATTAAACGGTGTACGTACAACCACTAATATATGATTAGCTTCGACCACTTAGTCCAAAGAACTTACCATCCCATTTGATGTTCGGTGTTAAATTTCTAGACTTTGTCAAACGCCACAAAATTCTGACTTCGCGATCATGCGTTTGGCGCTGCGCAATTCATCCTAAGGAGCATGAGAAGGTATATTTACGACCTCGATGAAGCTACGCTCAGTAAGTGGAAACTACTTCAGTTTGACCTGAATACGCTTGAAGTGAAAAGCAATACCGTTGCAAAGTTTGGCCACGAAAACTTCTCTTCACCCAAGCATGATATGGAGTATTACCATTCAGACTGCTATCGTTTTAATCTCAAGCGAAAGGTATTAGGATTACCTGAATTGACCGAGGATGAGTTTAATGATTTGATTGAAAACGAACTGATTGAGTCACTACTGGGTCTGGAGCTGGAGCTGGAGGGGGAAGCTGAAGTTGACCGCGTTGAACTTGCTATTGCAAAGCTTTCAGCAAATCATCATGACGAGGAAGTATCCGAAGTAAGCCACCTTGCGAGCAAAACGCCATTCATAATGTTTACAGACCCAGAATTAGAGAAAGATGAGGCTCTTGCGATCTACAAAGCAAACTTTCTGCCGAAACAGCTTGATGATCCGAAGAGAGCGTTGGCGGAATTTTCGGCTAAGCCAATCAAGGATGGGAAGCTGGCTGTTTTCATGATTGGCGGTGGTCATTTTGCAGGAGCGATTATCAACCATAAGCTCAAAGACATCAAAGGTATGACGCCATCGAGTCAAAAGGAACTGAAGCAGGAAATGCTCGTCGATGTGCTAAAGTCTAAAACATTCCACAGGTATACTGTTCGTAAAAAGCAAGGCGGCTCTCAACTGAGTAGTGATAATGCCAGAGGTAAGGCAAATTCAGCGGGGCTGAGCATTCGCCGTTATAATGAGCAAGCACTTATCAAAGAAATTCGCGAGTTGTTGGTTGAATGGAAAGACGATTTGGACGAATGCCATTCTATTTATTTGAGAGCAAATGGGGCGTCCAATCGCAAAATTTTGGTTTTTGAGGACGGCGTTTTACGACCCGGAGACGAGCGAATTCGGAATTTTCCTTTCACCACTCGAAGAGCGACAAAATCCGAACTCAAGCGTGCTTGGACCATTTTGCTGTACACTCATTTGGTGAACACCCCCAAAGTCAGTCAAAAGAAAGACCCCGCACCGGATAAGTCTCAGCTGCCGACTCCTTTGAGAACTGCTCCAGACTCTGTGGAGGACACCCAGCTGAAAGAGTTAGTTCAATTGTTAAGGAAGCAAAAGGCTCCGAAGCTTTTGGCGTATCTCAAATCAAACCAACTCGACGTTAACACCTTTCGTTTCTCCCCAGAAAAACAGTATGTGCACTATCCAACATTATTACATTACGCTGCTTCGAACAACTTAACGCACATGGTCTACACTCTTCTTGTCAATCTTTCGGCCGATCCCACCATCAAAAATTTGCAGGGTAAAACAGCTGCAGAGATTTGTACCTCAGCGACCCATGACATGTTTCGCGTTGCTCGTGATAAATTAGGTGAGGCGAAATGGAATTGGGATACTGCAAATGTAGGACAGCCGATCTCTAGGGAAGAATTGGAGAAAGAAAAAAGATCAGAGCAAGATCGAGTGAAGCAAGAGAAGCAGCAAGCTATCAAAGAGTCTATTGCAGTAAAAACTGAACTAGAGATGAAAAAACCAACTATTAGATCGAGTGGCAAATTAACCGGTTCTTATACCAAAGTTGACGAATTGCTGGGGCTCTCGGAAGCCCAACGTATGTCGTTGATGAGGGAGCAAAGGGCAAGAGCAGCCGAAGAGCGCATTAGGAAGAGTCAACAAAGCAGATAGTACATTTGCATTACTCCGTCTTGAAACCGAGTCTTGTATATACATAGATCTAATCAATGATCATGACGATTTCGTTAAAATGAATGACACGGGCGCATCAAAACTCTCGTGCGTTAAAATCTTTTTCAATGCGGTGTCTTTGATGGAATGTACGTCTTGAGTATTAGTGCTGATGTGAGTGTACTCATTGAGAGCACGAGCTATGACTTTGAACAGTTCCTTCTTGGCAGTTTTCATTGATTCGAGTACTGAATTTGCGCTGACAATGGAATCATCAATTGGTATAGAACCTGCCACACCAAGGTCTAGCGACTCATTCATGAAGTCGGATTTGCATCGACAAGCAATCAAATCATGCGTATTGCTGTCTGTATTCAAATCTATCTCGAACAATTGACAAAGATCTTCTTTGAAGAATGCGTTATCTGTTCCGCTAATCAGATCAACAAAAGCTGCTGACAAATTTCCTTTCATCAACTGACGTTGCAAAATTTTTTCATCGATACAACCTGTAGTAACGAGGCGGTATATATAGCAGGGTTTAGTTTGACCTTCGCGGTGAATGCGGCCCATCAGTTGAAGGTCAACCAGTGGATTCCAATCATTGTCGAAAAGAATAAGACGCAGAGCGCTAACCAAATTGAGCCCGACACCACCAGCTTTACTTGATAATAGAAAACAAGAGATCTGACTATTTGTTTCGAATTCTCGCACCAACTTGCTTCTGTGCTTTGCATGAGTTTGTCCATCTAGTCTTATAAAGGCTAGTTCTAACTTCTCCAACACCAGTTGAATCAAATCAAGCGTCAGAGTAAAATTCAGTACAATCACAATTTTTTCGTTCATAGACACAATTTCTTGAAGCATTGGTACCAAAAGATTAATTTTGCCCAGAGTGATCTTTAGACTTTCAGCAAAATCTGAACAAATGGATTTCCAAAGTTCGTCATTTGCTAATAACCTTGGGGAGTTGCATAACTTACGAAGAAGATTGATCGTTGCTAATGCATCCATTTGATCGAACCTTCTTGAGTTTGCAAGAATTTTTTCATAAATCTTGACCTGAAGAGAGGTCGGTCGGACAAATAATATGGTGTCAATTCGTGGTGGCAAGTGCGACGACATGATCAGCAGAGTTCGCCTAAGCATAAACTTCGAGGTGATTTCGAGCAACTTAGCCAGTGCAGACTCCCCCAATTGCTTTACCTCTGGAGCATAGTTGTTGATCTCTCGAGAATTGCTGATTGGCATTACGAAATCTCGTTGGAAGTCACGAGGATTGCCTAAAATACCCGGGTTGACGAAGTCGATTAACGAATAGAATTCATTGAGATCATTTTGTACCGGAGTACCCAGAAGAATGATTCTCTTTTTGCACGGCAACCTCAGCAAAGCCGTCCAAGTCTTTGATGAAGTCAGTTTGAGACGGTGGCCTTCATCACAAACGATCAAATCAAGGTTGGCTAGGTCCGTAAATAATTGAGCATTTGAGACGACTTTTTCATAATTAACTATCATCACTTGGTATACTTGAAGCTCGCCGAACTTACGAATTTGATGTTCTTGATCTTGATCGGTTATCCTTAAAATCAGCACTGTTGGCCCGACCCACTTTTTAAATTCGGCCATCCAATTTGAAATGAGCGTGAGAGGGCACACTATGACAACTTTGGGTGCGGTAGACGTCGAAAGCGCCGTTTTTATCAAGCCGTGGACCAAGGCTATTACTTGAAGAGTTTTACCCAACCCCATTTCATCAGCCAAAATGCAGCCGTTGCCAGCAAAATCCTTGAGTCCCAGAATACACTCAAACATGAACTTGACTCCATCCCGTTGGTGAGGACGTAGCTTAGATTCGAGAGTGGGGTCAAGCGTGAAGACAGCTTTAGGCTTTGAGATCGACGGTGGCGGATTTTTGGTAACCAGCCGAGGTTGAAGAGCTTTTATCACTCGTCGCCGCTTTACCGGCTCTTCCACACTATCGCATTGCTCAATTTCTAGTTCATAGTTTCCACAAACAATTTCAACATCTTTCCAACCTAATGGAAGGTTTTGTAAACGTTTACGTGCAAGTATCGGCCCATCGGCATTCTTGAGGGTGATGATGGCCTGGTTGCATTCGGGAACGTAGTTTATTATCAAGATACCATCGCCTTCCCACGTTTTATTCTTCTTTGTGGTACGCCTTCTCCATTGAACTGAGTGTTGCTCGTAATCTCGCTGATGCTTGTGAGTCGGTGGGACGACATGAGATTGTTGATTTGTAGCAGGCAAAAGCGTGGACGTTGTTGAAGCTTCAAGGTCCACACTTATTGTGTTGTAATCATCAGTTTCTTCAGCAACGAATAACGCGTCAGGCTCGCTAAAATCTTCAACTTGCTTCGCCAGACAACGGAAAGACCCCAGGGGACGAAGCATCGTGTTACGCCGAGTAGGAACTTTCTTAACAACAGATTTTCCTTGCGTTCTCCGGGGAGGTTTGTATGGGGCATTAAAGTTCATTCTATTGTACAACGCGTCTTAATGAAGTGCACCGCAATGCATCACTGCGAATACCAGCATCACCCGATGAGCGGTTTCAAAACACAATCGACAAGCAAATGGTTACCTGCAAATTTGGGAAAGTGAGTAGTCCAACTGATATCATAAACGTATATTCCAAAATTCTATAACCACCCTTGATTCATCCTGTTAACTAACTTCAACGACTTAACTCGACTAAATAGTCGCCAAAAGCCTTAAATGTAAGACCTTTTAGTTCAAAAAGGCGGCAAGGTTGTCCCACAACCCCACATAATTGCCCATGAATGCCGGAATACGGAATAACGTCCAGTAACCGACGAATACCAGTAACACCAACAATACGACGTGAACCAACGCTTCCTCTGTCGCAGTCATCATACAGAAGGGGAAAGTATAATAATAATACTTGAAGAACGTCCCTTTATTCAACTCTTTGAGATTGGTGTCGTTGGTCATTATGAACAGATGTCAGAATTTTCGTGTTCTAACGCGCTACTGATAAAAGCGATATGCAATCTATTTCTTGGCAAAACTCAGCCCCCAACCTTTACGCAGGAGTGTCGCTACAACTCAGAGTCAAGACTGTATTTCACTTCCCTTTTCAGAATTGCTTTAGTGGCAGGCTTGGAAATTCGCGCATGTTTAATTGATTGGGGCTTAGGGGATTTCGCCGCTTCGATCATTGCCAGATGTATTTGTCGCGCCAAGTTCTCGTCGTCTTCCCCAAGATCGACCACAGGGCTCCAACTCACCCTCATTGGTACCCCTTTAAATATAAGCAACGCGGGACGATCATGTCTGTCAATATTTAGTTTCGACTTCATAATAGTACCCGCCCACTCCAAGGCTGCTTCGTGATCGGGGAATTTGATAAAGCCACACCGGGCTCGTGGCTTAATGATAACTTCCAGTACTGAAGGGATGTTGTCGATGATCAATTGTCTCAGGATCGTTGGAGGGAACCCAAATAGGAAAAAGCTACTGATTGCATTATCTTTGAGGGTGTCGAATGGACCCGACACAGGAAGGCCAATCTTCCGCTTTTTGAGGGAAGAATTTTTCGTCTTGGTTTTACCAAGTTTTAAAGCAAGCTTATGCAAAATCTGATTCGCTTGACATTCTTGTTTTGATCGCTCTTCTAATTTATCAGCGATTCCATGTTCTCGCTCGCGGTTGGAATTTGCATCACTCCCTCCACGAGGTATCAACGGATGCAAACCCGCCATTTCGAGGGCTGTATCGCGAATATCTAACAGAATGTTGAAGTCGATATCAAGCATACAAACTTGACAACACCGTCTATGTTTAGCGCAAGTTGTACACACTACTGTTTTGCTAGTGGAAGTTTTATCTGACGCATGCCATCTGATCAGAGCAAAAGGCCTGGTGCAAAACCTACATTCCGCTCCACTAGATTGTCGTGTGACCTTGATCTTAGACCCGTAACACGCGGCACAAATTGAATTGTCATCCATTTGCAAGCTTTTGATGGGCAACATAAACTTTATGTTAGTGATTGTTATCAGTGTTAAAAAGCTCTGGTGATTTTTTTTCAACAGTTTGATTCAGGTGAAGAAATTCGTTGTTGTAAATTCAAATTCATCAGCTAACAATGGGATACTTACCGTATGATGATCTTAGTGAAGAAAAAAATGGCATCGCGAAATTATTTATTTGCATTTCGATAGTTACCCGGATTTCAAATTATATGCAGTGTGCTTAGGGCACATCTCGAATCTCTCATAGCTTGCTTCAACAACGACACGTTTAAATCAGTGTAATAAGCGGCAACCAAAAGGCGGAATATGGGCACAAAATTGTACTCTAAGCGAAGCCATCCCACAAAACCATCATAGCCAAGTTTTTCAACCATTTTTCGAGCCAAGTCAACATCGTCAATCATATTGGATGGTGCAATTGTATTATCAATTAACATACGACCCAAAAATTTGACTAAGAATAAGTCATTTCGATAGAGGTTCGATCTTTCCACACCAAAGAGGATATGAGGTTCTGCAGGAGTTTCAAATTTGCAAATCTTCCCCAAATACTCCATAGCGATTGGGGATACCTCGTTCTCCCCAAATTGATGACGCATGAAATTAGGTAGCTCAAACAACAACCAAGTTGGAGAAACTTCGCCATGATTAATTTTTAAGACTTTCGCTATCACTGCTGCAGAAGACACTCGAATATATCTATCCTCGTTTAACAAGCCATTGATAGTTAAAAGAATTAAACCTCTGATTAAATGGGTAGTATCGTATCCAAAATCTCTTTGAACGAAAACAGAGAGGGCATCAGTGTCTCTCGAAGTTTCGCAAGAGTCAAGAAACGTATCGAAATCAGCATAATCCACCACCAGTGCCCAACTGTATAAGTGCCCTCGGCTATTTTCAATATTGTGAGTCAAAGCTAGTTGCGCTCCCCGACTCAACAACTTCGCTAGAGACTCTTTTGCAATCTCCGTGGTGTAACACCAATCATCTGCGAATGCAACTTGACCAACGCAATCAGCGAGTTCGGGATAGTGAGGATTCTCCTGAAGAAAGTTTAAAGCCTCAAGTTTGATCTCAAAATGCATAGTTAAAGCCAACTTTACAATATCCACAATCAGTTCTCGCTGTTCAGCTCGCTGGTAGGCCATAAGTAAAATTCGCGTCATGATGGATAAAGTAAGAACTTGAACCCCGATTGATACGTTCACGCTGGAATAGTGGCAAAGACTGCCACCCAAAAAGGCCAAGTCATTTTCGGAAAGTTCAACTTTACGATCAGCAATACATTTAAGTAACAAATATCGATTAACCCATGGTTGTACATGGAACATTTGATGTAAGTGATCATGAGCGTAATCTGCAGCAAACGGAGTGTAATTAATCGGCGCTTGTTCCATAATAAGCAAGAGCCCGTTAACTAGATTGAAATTAGTTTGAAGATCCACATCCCACAAAGAGCGTATTAGAGCAACGATTTCTGAAGGCGCAAACGCGTGAATCACGGTCGAAGCCGCTAACTCACGAACTTTCCATTGCTTTGTGCCCAAAAGTTTGGTGATGTGAAACTTAAAGTTATCCAACTGCGGATCATCCAGTGTCGCCTCTAAACCCCTCAATATAATTAAAATTGGAAGCACTCTTTGCAGTACAGTTTCTGCTTCCAGATCAAGAAAACCGAGCAAAACACTCTTCAACTTAGGAAATTTTTTGAAGAATGCATCAAAGTCCCACCTCTTATTACCCATAATCCTCAGATGTACAACTCCAAATAGCATAACAGCACAGTTTTTGATAGACCAATTGGCATGACAAAAATTTTTTAGCAGCAACTCAAGGGCATCAGCGGCGAAAGGTATAACAAAGCCAGCAATGGAGGCGTCGCTGAACAAATGTTTTATTGTATTAAACGCGTGAACCTGGGGCTTGTCGAATTTGGCATCAGCAATATGAGCTAAGGGTTGTTCAGCGATTGCAAAAAGCAGCTCAAAAACAAGGTCAAACCATTCTTTTTGGTTTCCGGCTTGCAAGATACCAGATATAAGGTATGGAACCCCACCCAGCCTCCGCAGAATTCCTTGTTGACAATCCATAATTAGCAAAGCCTGTAAACGCTGTAAGGGATAATCTTTCAAACTCCCACGCTTCAAACATTGCAGCATGGCTCGTACATACAGTGGATATATCGATGTGAAAACACCGCGATGCTTGATATTTCCGATCTGCCGCTCGATGAATTCAGCTGCAGTCAACAATTCTTCGTCTGTCATAAATGGAATCAATTTGTCAAGAAGACCATTTGCGGACTTCGTAACTTTCCAGGAATGATTGTAAGTGACGTCATTAATGTTAATAGACTCTCCATGCTCATCGACATTTTTGCAAATCTCTGACCCATGTGCATCCCATGCATTGTGAACCAAAAGCATAAGCGGACCAACCTCAACCAGCGCAGAAACTAGAGCAGAAAGTACCATGAAGTGACCATGAATGAAACGTGTACTTTCGATGTCTTTGATTACTCTAGACATGATCGTTTGATTCCATTCGGCGCTCTGATGAAATTGACTCATGAAGTCAATAAAATTGACAACACTCTCACTTTTCCTGCCTTCCAAGGACAGTAATGTTTGCATCAGTTGGTCAATAAGCTCCAGCTCCAAATCGTTCGTCATCAAGTTTGAAATAGTACTCTTGGGTAAACTCAAAAGCATTCCCTTACAATCCTCTCTCACGTTCTCATAATCATTGTACAAAGTTTGAATCAATAACACGAAGATTGACTTATCCTCAAAAATCTTATCCACATAATTCATGCGAGAGAAAATCGCACGCAATACAGATATACCCATCGTCAATTGAGAGTAGCTGGAGCTAGGCATCAACGAGAATTTAACCCATTGTACGAGCTCACTCATCCATTCATGGCACTTTCTATTATGCTCAAGTTTTAAGGTTTCAAGATGACGTGTGCCCAAAAATTGCAGAAATATTGAAAGAAATTGCAACCGTGCATCGACATCCTCGTATTCATCAGAAAACACAGCAATTACGTGAGCGTCCAGTAATAGATCATACACCGCATCCTCTACCGTGGTTACTTTGGCGCCCTTAACCACGCCCAAAATAAGTGAGAGAGCCCCAAGACGAATTCTCAGATCACTATGGATGAGCATTTCATTGAGAATGTCACGATCAATTTCTTCGTACAGCCGAGTAACAATTTTGGTTTCTTGGCTGACACGTAGTACCACGAGAAGAGCATAACGATCATGACTTACTTCTTCCTTTAATCTCGCAAAACAATAATTTTCGTGTCTTATAGAAAGTAACCCGCCTAACAAGTTGGTGGGTAGTGATTTTGAATTAGACAATAAACCTTGAACCAATGCTGGACCCCATAAATTCCACCAATCTTGCGGATCGTCCAAGACCCCTGCTGCAAGTCTATATGCTGTGAGTAAAGGTCGACAAATCGCGTGAGCAGTCGTACCAACGTTGTCATTGATCAAATGACTCAAGGTTGCATCAAGCCATTTCTTCTGATACTTAAACAAGTACATTTGATCCGGTAAGTTTCGAAGCAAGAGATCCATACAAATGTAGCCCGATTTTGAAAGATTTACCTCATTCGCAACAATTTCCGTCCAATACTCCATTTCTTTATAATTGCCGGTAACTTTCATCAAGCTCAACAATCTGTTTAAAAGGAGCAGGAACAGGTTTGCAAGAGCCAGATTGACCAGTTTGCCATTTCGAAAGCACCATAGGAATATTGCTGTTGAAACATTTTCTGCTAAAGCTACCAAGTCCAGCTGTCCCCTTTTATAGAATTGAATCATTCTCTGGAGACAGACAGACATAGTGTCATTAAGTAATGTGATGAGGCTATCATCAGCATCTGTGTGAGTCAAGTCAACAATCTCACTGAGAATACTGCTCAACTCATGCCATGAAGTGCTTTCCGGAGTTTGTTTGATCAAATTGGCTTTTATATCTCGCAATTTGCACATATGAGATCAAACGGTTTGAGATGCCCTTATAGGCGCGCTTCCGCTAAGAAAGGTTCGTCCTCATGTATACTTGAGATACAAGATATTCAATTTCTCTCGTTGCATATCAGAGTATTTTCAAAAACAATACACCCGTATTGTCACACTATGACGGAACACCAAATGATTGTATTGCTGGTAATCGTTTCCGGGCTCCTCGTGTTGCTTGTTCGAATTGTTTATGTGCTACCCACACAAAGAAGGCCTCGTCAAACAGTGCTCAGGCTCGAGCCTACCGACGAACGTCTCATGGTGTTTTTGGGCCTGGGTGGTCATACGGGGGAAATGATAAGACTTTTGAATCAACTTCCATTGGAGAATGTGAAATGGCGAACTTATGTCATTCTGATAGGTGACGCAAATTCTGCCAAAAGGATTGAGGAGCTCGAGAGTGGACGTCGTGGTCAAGTCGATTACGTATTCGTTAAACGGGCTCGCAATGTCGGAGAATCGTTGATGTCATCTGTTCACAGTACCACCAGTTCTTTTGTTCTGATTGCTCGCCAACTCGCATCATTGCGTAAATTGCCCACTGTTTTACTTCTAAATGGACCCGGTACATGTGTTCCTATTGCTTATGTGCTATTTGCTTGCAAATGTGCAGGTTTATGCTCTACCAGGATATTGTATGTTGAATCGTTAGCGCGTGTTTCGAAATTGAGTATGTCGGGTCTATTACTTCGACCTATCGCTGATAGAGTCCTCGTACAATGGCCTCAGCTTACCTCAAAATATACCGGGGTGGAGTACAGTGGCATACTTGTGTGATAGTTGTGCTCACGTAGGTGCAGTTTTTGAAGTCTTGAAATTTTGAGAAATGATGATAATGACATAGAACAAAGCTTATAATCGAAGAGAGTATAATAAACTTCATTTGTAGCCCAAATGTCATTTAGTTGATTCCTTTGCTAATGTGTAAAGCAGGTTTTTCAATCTCACTTTTTGGTCAAATTAATAGTATCCAGCCGCACGTAAGCAATCTCATGTCTCTCTTCGTTGCGGAAGACGAGCCAAGCGAATTCTCAAATGATCCAACATCCAATGCACGAACTAGCCAAACACCAAAAGAGAATGAATCAGAGATTCCGTTGCACATCGAACCCTCGGCTATTGAAGTCCCCAAGTATTTGCTAAGTCAGGTGAGTCAAACAACCAGTCTTAGATTTCAGCAACAAATAGTCCGTGACATGGTTGAGGATGCACACAGTGCATTACTCATTATGGGTCGAGGTTTAGGCTGGGATATTCTTGTGGCCAACATCATTCATGCCGTGTGTGGCGCTGTGGAACTCAGTGTTGGTACGAGAAAGCAACCATTGATATTCGTGCTAAATTGCAGTCCAGATGAGCAAATTACGTTAAGCGAAGAGCTCATGGAATTGAATTGGCTTGATGGGCATTCAAATTACTCAGGGTTAACTTCAATAAGCGGCGAAACCCACAATACCGTTGATAAGCGCCTCCAAACATACAGACAGGGAGGAGTAATCACCATAGACTCGAGATTTCTCGTAACAGACATTTTGAGTGGTGCTTTGGACGTTTCCAATGTAACGGGAATATTTGTATTACATGCTGACAAAGTTCTGGAGACATCAAGAACCTCTTTCGCATTGAATTTGTTTCGAGACAAGAATGAGTGGGGCTTCATCAAGGCTTTCAGTGATGAACCGGAACAATTTACGGGGTTCACGCCCTTGGCTTCGAGACTCAAAAATCTTCGCATCCGTAAGGCATTTTTATGGCCTCGTTTTCATATAGAGATTTCCCTGAGTTTAACGAAATACGGCAAAGCGTTAACCAATCGACAGAAACTGGAAATAGAAAGACGCAGGGTGGTCACTGAGATTAATGTTCGGCTTACGGCAAAGCAGCAGCGTATTCAACTGGCTTTACTCGCATGTATCAAGGCGTGTCTTATGGAACTCAAACGACACGTGCCAGAGTTGGCTACGGAATATTGGGACATGGAGAATATTCACGACAAAGATTTCATACGGCGGATACGTGCGGTTCTTGATAACCATTGGCATCGAATTAGCTTTACAGCCAAACAATTGGTTCAAGATATTTCAACATTACTTGATCTTTTGATAAAGCTTGTCGTTTTAGATCTGGTGTCATTCTATCAGATTGTTCAAAATATTATAGATACTAATGTTAAGCGGCTGGCAACAAACTCTGTTCTGCTGATGGCGCCGTGGCTAGATTTGGATGACGCGAACACTGTTATTTCCGCGGCTAAAGAACGTGCTCTCGGGAAGGTAACCGTTCCTAATACTCGATCTGAAGACAATGAATTCAAGACTGTGACCCAAGAGCGATACATATTGGAAGAACAACCGAAATGGGATCAACTCGCAATATTAATTGATGATATCATTCACGAAACATTAGCCCTGACCTCGTCACGTTCAAGTGGACCGATTGTCATAGCTTGCCTGAGCAACAAAGTCGCAAGCCAACTCGAGGATCTTTTGAAGTTTGCAGAAGTCACGACTGATCCAAGAACAGGCCGTAAAAGATTCCTGTTCCGACATTACATGGAAAGGAAATTACGCGACTACCAAGAATGGAAGCGCGTTAATCAAATGGTTCGAAGTCTTGCCTATTCTATGATCGATGCCGACAATCCAGATTCCAATCAGGTCTCAACCACTAAAACATTTCTGAAATCAAACGAAGTTGTCAGTAAACGGCGGCGAACACGAGGTGATCTGGCGACTGCTCGCGTACAGAGACTTTATGCCGATACAGATGTTGATAAATTTAAAGGTGGAGAGGATCTCGAACCTGAGCTCTTAGCAGAAGTTATGTGTCACATTGAGGAGGTTGAAAAAACGATCGGGAATGAGAGCGACAATTTTTCTGGTGACGAAACAGTTTACAATGAAAGAGCGCTTTTCTTAAACGAGCTTGTACCAACTCTTATTAATCAAGAGACTCAAGTTATTATTCAGCCATTTGACGAGCGACTTACTGATTCAACGTTGGATCAACTAGGGCCGCTGTACATTATAATGTTTGAGCCAAACTTAGCCTTCATTCGGCGTACTGAAATGTATCAAGCGTTGAATAGAGAAAACCCCGCAAAAGTGTTCTTATTATATTACGGGGGTTCAGTGGAGGAAGAACGGCATTTATTGGCAATAAAAAAGGAAAAAGAAGCATTCACCCGGTTGATCAGAGAAAAAGGTAATTTGGCCAAAAGTTTTGAGGCCCCTGAGGACAATTGGAAGTTCAATGTGCACAAGGCTGACATTGTGAACACTCGAATTGCGGGAGGTTCAACATTCAGAACTTCAACAGAGGAGTTCAAAGTGATTGTTGATGCCCGTGAGTTCCGATCAGATCTTCCAAATTTACTATACCGCATTGGCATTACTGTTGTTCCTATGACTCTTCTTGTTGGGGATTACGTGCTTAGTCCAAAAATATGCATCGAAAGAAAATCCGTACCTGATCTTATCGGTTCATTCAAAAGTGGGAGATTAGCACAGCAATGCGAACAAATGTTTCGAAGTTATGAGTTACCTTGCCTTTTGATCGAGTTCGACGAAGGGAAGTCGTTCTCTTTGGAGCCTTTTCTGGAATTATCGACTGCGAGAGGTCGACAATCTGACAATGCACTCTATGATCAGCTGATTTCGGTGAACATTAAATCTCGTATTCAAGCGAAGATTTTATCATTGCTTATTGCGTATCCCAAACTTAAAATTATTTGGTCTTCTTCCCCATTCGAGACAGCCCAGATCTTTTGGAAGCTAAAACTTAATCAGCAAGAACCATCGCCTGAGGAGGCGTTAAAAAAGGGGGCTGTATTTAAGGTTAACACTGGGGATGATGGACCCCCACAATTCAATGATGGTCCGATCGATCTCCTTTTAAACATTCCCGGCATTAATAGTGTCAACATTCATGTCATCATAGCCGAAGTCAAAAACATACAAGATCTCGTTAAACTCAGCAAAGAGAGGATCACTGAATTATTGGGACAAGTTAACGGCGGAAAGGCGTACCGATTTATTCATGAGTTTATGAAATGACGAGAGTGCGAATTTGTGGGGTGCATATAACAATTATTATTGTTGATAATCTGGCTTAGAATAGTAAATGAAACGAAACACACAATTTTGTGTGGATAACTGAACCATTAATCCAATTTAGTTGAAATAACCCACCATGGGAATTGGTCGTTCGAACCCAACCAACATTGCCTTCACAACTGCTCTACCACAGGATGATCAAATACTCAACATTGAATACTTCGAATTTAAATCCATCTATTTTCGTGTGCAAGAGCTTGTTAACAAGCAAGTCAACATCAGCCTCAAGTACGATCAGCTCAAACTACCGGAAATTCATCATACTATTATCAAACCAATAAGTGAGGAGATGTTTCATTTGGCTGACACCAATGTGATTTTTCGGAAATTTACTCGACATTACAACTTTACTCACAACGAATTGGCAGTGAAATACGGTATGAACAATACTTTTGAATCGATTGAACAATCGAAACCAAATATCTCGTCACAACTTATATTCATCCTTCTTTTGCTTCGACACGAATACTTGTTGCAGGCTGCGAGAAATTTAGTTATGTTCGAGCTATTGAAGACGAAGGCTACTGTTTGTGAGATTTTGGCTATTAGGGCGCTTAGAGAATTTGACTCGTTGCATTTGACCAATCTGCTCTTCTTGACTCCACTCAACTGCAATCTCTTTCCCTCGAAGCTGAGAGAACTGTTCAATACCTTGGAGCTCAGTATAATCAGCAAAGCCTACAAGTTTCTATCTCAACCAGTTATCATCAAAGTTATCAATAGATTCCACAACGGTGAGCTCATCTTTAAAAGAGATCTGTCAGCTGAAATGACTGAAAAGAAACAGTTGATTGGTGGATCCAAGGTTGCAAGCTATCGATATGAGAAGATCAGCTTCGGGGAAGTATCTCGTCGGGTGAACGTTGTTCCTAAATACCAAGCAATTGTTTTTAACGTTCAGATGTTTTCTCTCCTAATTACATATTTGTTGATGATATCCGTGGAGCATACGACGCTACATCAAGTTGTTCAAATATTATTTTGGCTAATCGCAATCAATTACAATTTTGATGTGTGTCTAAAGCTTAGCCAAATTGAGTTTAGGTATTTAAGGTTGGTCGTGTGGACCTATATCGATTTGATTTTACTATCAATACTTGATATATGTCTATGCTTGGAATTAATGGGGTCAAATCATTTTGGTTATGTATTCAGCTTAGTGCCCATAGTGCTTTTGCCCCGGTTAATGCTGATTTTCAACAATTACAAATTTTTCAATCTATTGGTGATTTCCTCTGAGCGTATGGCGATGAGTCTTATAGGTCTTGTGTGCGTCTTTTTCACAATGATACTGGGGTTTTACTTTTCATTCATTGCTCTTTCATACTCGCAATCTGGACTGGAGATTCTTTTCAATATGGTGAAAGTCTTTTTTGGATTCACGCCCTCCGTATGGGACAATTGGGATGATTACAATGCGCTAGGCAAAGTGATTTTGATGGCTTACCTATTCCTAATTGAGTTCATCATCAGTTCTATTTTGGCTATTTTGTTATCGGGGGTGTTTGCGAAAGTCCATCAAAAGAATGACGAAGAGTTTCATTTGATGCAAGCCGTTTATCTAGCACTTGCAATCAATCAGGGGAGGTTGAACCAAAAGCAACTTTTCTGGGGTAAGTCAACATGGGCGTATCCTTGGAAACTCGCTTCAAATTTTGTCCTGTCTGCAAATGCTTATCTTAGACTTCCAATTGTGGTAGCCATATACGTTTACGAGATTATCCAAACGACTCCTGCGACTACAGACAAAAATTTCACCTTTCTCGAAAAGGAACTCGATATGTTCGGAGAGGAAGATACTAGACATTTGCTGCGATTCACCACTTTCAGTGAGAATTATGATGATGATTTGTCAGTGACAAAACTGAGAGTGAACATAGCTTTCAAAAGACGCCGTAGCACATTGGAGAGAAATAGAGGCCCCACCCTTGCAAATAAGACGTTTTTTGGAAGCTTGCAAATGTCGAACTCTCAATTGAAAACGGTTCAGCTGGTACTGACGTTCGGCGCTGCTAATATTCGCACTGCGTCCACTGATCTGACATTCATAGACGAGCTCTTGAGAAAGAAGTATCACAAAGACGAAGACTTGAAATGGGACGAATTGAAACTAAGCCATTCCAAAGAGACGTCCCCCGTATGCTCCTCGAATGAGCGAATTATCGAGAAGTTGATACAGGTGGAGCAATTGATTAATCGATTGGTTGGTGATCAGTACAAAGACGTCTCTAATCTGGTTATAGAATACTCAGTATTCGACCCGGATGAAACGTTTGAACAATCCAGCGTATATGACGCCGAAGAAGCGTGTTGATATATGTACGACGCTCGTTGTCACACCCTACTCGATAAGTCATATCTCAGTGAAGTTTTGTTAGTTTAATTGATGGGTCCATGCTGTCTTTAAGTAGCGATTCCGGTCCAAAAACAAGGATCACTTTACAGCAAGCAGCCCTTAGAGCATGACGGTCAAGTTTTACTGATTCCACAAAGTCATATTTGACGTTCTGTGAGCCGCCATTCATAACCTCATCTATGTATTGACATGGCGGTTATTTCATCCAGCCTCGCTTCTATTAAAGATTAGAAGAATCAGTAAACCTTAATTCATATTTTCATGAGAGATCCGAAAATGCGATATGTTTCCCCACAATTAGCATGTGACGCCTGCGCATTTCACATGGGGTTAAAACATCTATTTCACAGGTGAAGTCATCAGGACCACGTCAGAGATTTGAATCCGTACTAAATCGACACTGTTTTGGCATCGGATTGATAGAATGATATGATTGACTCGATTCAAATCTAATTAATGTCGGCTTTCACGCACTGCGGACACGTTGTATGCTAATGACAATTTAAGGGCAGCTAACCCTTGAAACTATATTTCCTGATCTAATCGAGTTTATTGAAGCATCATTTCGACTAAGCCAACCTACGTCTCATACATTCATCATTCATGACGAGGATCAGTTGTGAATTATAGAAAGTCCCCACTGCTCTGGTCTCCTATTCCGAGAAGATTAGCATGCACATGGCCTCCCATAAAGTTAATTGGTTATGCTCTAGATAACACCTGTTAGGTGAAGTCGTATTGTTTAAATTGCAAGGCGTCATAATTGTCGGAATGCTTAAAAATCAGTGCAAGTCATGTTCAAGAGTTGTGATCGTCTTTCATTAACTGCTATCTTTCTGATTAGTATGCTGCGATCTGGCATACGAGACGACAAAAGTCAACTTGGAGGTTCGTGCAATGCAAACTAAGAACATTTTATAAATCGCTAACGCTCATCACTTACTGCTTACAATGCGCCTTCTACGATTCGCTGAAGGCAGCGAGATGATCGCACATACAGGTAATTATTTGCGCACAAAAAGGTGTTTCTTTTGCAAACCTCAAAAGAATTTTCATCGAGACTATTTAAGACGCCGACGTGCGCCCCAAGTTTGGAGAGCAACACCCACAACGATTAAACGTTGTGTACGCGTTGAATCTACAGCCATTACCATCCCTATGCCTCATACCTTGGCAGATACGATCTCTGATCCCGTTCCTATTGTTTCAATGTCGGTGTCCACGGATAATCATGTGCAAATTGGTGGCCGGAAGTCAGAACTCGCTCAATGTCAAAATAACATTGTAAGGGCTTTGATCGAGAAAGAATTCCCTGAATTATCCTGCGATGTTTTGGCGTTGAATACTTTGGGAGATCAGGTTCTCAATAAACCACTCTACTCCTTCGGAGGAAAGCTGTTGTGGACGAAAGAACTTGAAATATTGTTGGTTGAGGGAGTTGGCCAGTACCCTCGTTTGGATTTAATTGTTCATTCTTTAAAGGACATGCCTACCACTCTTCCCGATGAGTTTGAGCTTGGGTGCATCTTGCACCGTGAAGATCCCCGTGACGCTCTTGTCATGAAAGCAGGGTCTCCTTACAAACTGCTTGCAGATCTTCCCGCGGGACTGGTTGTAGGAACGCTGTCGATTCGCAGACTGGCTCAGCTCTTAAGAAACTACCCTCATCTCAAATTCGAGTCTGTCAGAGGAAATGTTCACACTCGCTTAGCGAAGCTCGACGATCCGGAAGGAACCTATTCATGTTTGATGCTCGCGAACGCTGGTTTGACCCGTCTCGGTCTCGCTCACAGGATCACTACCCTTCTAGATGCCCCTGATATGTATTACGCTGTTGGACAAGGCGCTCTAGGGATCGAAATTCGGAAAGGTGATGAGAAAATGAAGAATATTTTGAAGAGACTTGAGGATTTGCCCACCACCTTGTGTTGTCTTGCTGAAAGGTCGCTAATGCGGTATCTTGAAGGCGGTTGTTCAGTGCCTTTGGGCGTCAAAACAAATTTTGATGAAGAAAGTAATCAACTTTCACTTAAAGCTTGTATCGTATCACCAGATGGCACCAAAGTTGTTGAGGACGGATATGAGATGAGAGTTACAACTAAGGAGGATGCCGAGGCATTAGGGATCAAAGTAGGAGATTTATTGATCGCGAAGGGTGGACGCGACATTCTTGCTGCTATCGATTTTACCCGCATCAATCAAAGACCTAATATATTGAGTGACGGGTCAGCGACTTCTTCACCAGCTCCAGCTTCACCAGCTTTGAATTCGCTGGCTATTCTTCCCTCCCCAGCTCAAGCTAAACAAGTCAACTGAAAAGTTTATGGTTTAGGGTGCTTTCATATGTATATAATTCCGCTTACGACCTCACGACAATATTTATAGACAATCCAAAATCTATAGAGCTCCATTAGAAGCAATTAATATATTGCTCTTGCTTTATCTTGGGGATGCCTGGAATCAATAGGGAGTTAAGTCTACAGCAGTTTGAAGTTGGTTCATTTTACCAATCGAGGCAAACTCAAAGACACTTTAGTTAATGGGTTGAGGGACAACAATGAACACACAATCACAACTCCACAAATGCTCTGAATATTTACATATCAAACGCTTACATTGATATTTTTGAGCGGCATGTCCACGATTCGGAGCGTGCTCCTCGTGTCTATCTCTCTAGCATGTCGAAATCAATTTATTCGAGCCACCTCTCCAACACAAATCTCCAAGGCCAAATTTTCGAGACCATCGATACGACCGTGTGACCAGAGGTATTGTAACCATCACGAACACTTATCCCCATCAAGAATGGGGTCGTTCAAAGTATGACTTGACGCCAATGAGATCAAAACGATTTGTCGTTGAAGTCATTTGTTAACGAAGCAATTCTAAATAAGTCTTACTACATTGAACACATCGGACTTGGAAGTTTACCTACCTGATGATGGTAGTTTTGAACCAATATCAGTCTCAGCTAGAAATCTTACAATGATCCTAATCGACATTCAAGTTGTTAATATGCGGCGTTCAAAAAATGATGTCTCTTGGTCATAGGAGAAACCTTTTTCAAAACATCTACCGTGAGTAAATCAGTCATAATTCTGTCGAAGTAGGCTGTGCTAGAAATTCGCGTTGTAGTTGACACGTCTGCTTCCCACGCTTTTTCTAGGTCGCACAGACGGCCACGATTACGTTTTACTGTTCCATAATATCAATCTTCAATTCGACAAATGGTGGATGACAAGTACATTGGGTTGGCACTTGCCATTCTGTCCTCTCTTGCCATTGGTACTTCGTTCATTATAACGAAAAAAGGACTCATGGACACTCTGAAGCGTACAGGTTCCGGGCGAGTTGATGGTCACGAATATCTTCGAAACCCGATTTGGTGGGCAGGAATGATGACTATGGCTATCGGAGAGATTGCCAATTTTGCAGCATATACCTTTGCGCCTGCTATTCTTGTCACTCCTTTGGGGGCACTTTCCGTTATCATTGGTGCTGTGTTGGCACTGATATTTCTCAAAGAGGAGTTGGGCGTCTTGGGCAAGTTAGGCTGTGCCATCTGTTTAATGGGCCTGGTAATTATCATTTTACATGCCCCCGCAGACAAGGAAGTTGAAACAGTTGATGAAATACTTGGGTATGCCGTGAAACCTGGTTTTCTATTCTATTGCGGAATGGTGGCCGCATACTCATTGTTTGTTATCTACAAGATTGTTCCCAAATATGGCCATACAAATCCGATGATATACATTTCGATTTGCTCGTCTGTTGGGTCGATATCAGTCATGTCAATCAAAGCTTTCGGCATTGCCTTGAAATTGACATTTGCTGGGAACAACCAATTCACTCATGTACTGACATACCTATTCATTTTTGTTGTTGCAGGGTGTATTTTGACTCAAATGAACTATTTCAATAAAGCGTTGGATCAATTCGATACTTCTATTGTCAATCCGTTGTACTATGTTACATTCACAACGTTTACGCTTACTGCGTCGTTTATTCTATTTCGCGGATTCAATACCCTGAGTGTGGTCGATATCATCTCATTATTGATTGGGTTTCTCATAATTTTCTCGGGTGTTTACTTACTCAACATTTCTCGGAAAGACGATACCAACACACCAGAAAATAACCGAGAGTTGTTTGGGACTCATCAAACAAAAGACATGGCCCCCATGGACAATGGCATTGGAAGTTTATCGATGCGCAGATCGATGACAATGAACCGTGGTGATGCTGATTACGAGGAAATGGTTGGATTGACACGATTTGATTCTTTCGAAATCGGTTCGGATGACGATGAGCAACGCCGCCGCCGAGATTAAACATCAAAATATAGTGTTTATAGATAGTAGATTATTGGTTCTGGAGAAAAAGCTTTTTAATTATCTCATGTATATTACCGTTATTATTGTACACAACTTCTCAAATATCATCAATATCCAACTCAGAATCCTCTTCGTCTTCATCATCATCATCAGCACCAAATTCGAAATTAACATCGTCTTCTTCTTCACCGCCAAACGTGTCAGTTTCATTGATCTTGGCGTTTTCGGGCAACTCGCCAACGTTCTTTAAGGTTCTAGCTTCATCGGAGTTGTATTTGTGCACCACGTCACATTGGTCTTCCTGGAAATCTCTCAATGAAACGAGGATAATGTCACCTTGAGACATCCATACTTTCTTCCTTAACTTGCCACGAATGTGCCCCATTCGCTTAATGCCATCAAAGCATGAAACTTCGATACGACCATTACCCAACATCTTGGTCACTTGACCATATTCTTGACCTTCATCCTTGTAGATCAACTCCCGCTTGAATTGACCGTTCAAATTCTTCCCTCTTCTTCTGTTCTTACCACCTTTTCCTTTACCAGTTTTTCCCATGGTGTCTGCTATATGTGAAAAATTTTATATATTTTATGTGGTTGCGTAGTCACATGACGTAATGTATGAGCAGCTCTCAAAATCTGATGATTCGAGATGATTATAACTCAATGATGATTTATATAAAATGAGTTCTTTTTACAACCAAGACCCCTTTGTAACATTGATTCGAAGAAATGCTCTACTAGTGCTCTAATACGCTGCATCATATGTGAAGTCTCATATTCATTTGGTGAGGTGTAATAAATTTAGTTAAACAACGAGAATAAATCGGGTGCTATGGAGTATATCTTTGAAACAAAGCAAATAAAAACGTGAACAATGTGCTCCGTTCCCGATTGAGTAAAAAAGGGGCGAGCTGGGAATCGAACCCAGGGCCACACCCACCCTAAGGGTGTATCATACCACTAGACCACACGCCCTACTGGTTACCATGTCGTGTAAAATGCTAGCTTCCAGATCGGAGTTATTGAGGAATGACTCCGATGCTGGTCGAAGGGTCTGGAAGGGTCGAGAAGCCAGACGAAGTCACATGTGAAGGCTCGATACACATGTGACAGATGCAGAAGAAGGTACCTGGAGCTTCCATGGTGGCAAAGTGGGAAGCCGCAGGTTGGTGTATAAATATGACTGATTTGATTAGAAAAGAATACAAGTGTTTTATTAGTGAGCTTCGGATATTATACAACATACCATATGTATAAAGAAGCGTATTTAAAAACGAAACTTAAATATAAACAGATTTTTCAACAAATCGCTATGATAATTAAGTTTTGAGAGTCACTACACTTTTGCACACAAATATTTGGTAACCAGAGACTGTTACTATACCTCCAGACGGCAGGTCGTTACGACTGTGCCCTAATATACTCCTAGCTATGGGCCAGCATAATCCCAAGAGGGTAGATCAGGGTTCGATAACCTGTGGTTATGAATGCATTCCCCCCTTGCTTGAGCACTTCAGTTATTACTCCTCTCATGGGATTGATTCCTCATCCCGTCGATATCGTGTCTGACATCGCGACGGTAGGCGGCTCTAGACTTTTCTACAGGTAAATATCAACGCAAACTTATAGAGCGAAGTTACAACCTAACCACTTTCGCGTATGTTTGATTCTAATGAGCTAGAGGAAGGCGAATGCTCTCTGGCGTTGTCCAGGTTTGGTTTTCTCAATTAGCTGCAATTTACATCGCAGCTTCACATGGTATTCATGGAGGTTTGTCTACGTGAAAAAGCTCAAGTGCACGATCCTGTAAGGAAATAGCAATAAAGTAGCTTTACTAAGCGCGGAACGCAGATCAATGAATCAAAGCATTGACATGACTTGATGCCAAGGGGGCAGCAAATTATTCCCAGAAACGAACAAGCAGTGCTTATCCAAGAAACCCTCATTTCGATTGAACAAACGCCATGTGAGATGTTTGCCTTAACAGCTTAGATCAGTAACCATCTTGTATACACTTCAAAACGTTTGAAATACTTGAGAGCTGGAATGCATTTCAGTATATGTAATACAGCTGGTTCCATCACGTTAACACGATATCATTTTTTTCATTTACCTTAATGAATATCGACCTCACTGAACTTTGTTGTTTCAAGCCGCACGATGTTGAAAATTAATTTATTGTCATCACTATGGATCCATTCGAAGCAGCAAGTCAACTCAGTCAGACACTTCGCAGTCTAAACCCTCAGATCGCCCAAATTACCAAAGCTGCTCATTTCGCCCTTCGTAATTCTATCCACGAAGACTACCTCTTCCCGCTGATCATGGATATTTTCAAAGACCCTGAGGTTGAGCTAAATCAAAAAAACATTGTCTTCCAATTTATCGAGGTTTTGGTAAATGAATCATGTACCTATTCGGCTCAAGGCAAATACGCTTATCCTTTTGTTGATGCCGTTCGGACACACCTTCCCAACATAGTGGCATTAGTTGTGCCCCACAATGCAAACACCAACTTATACAATGTATTTTCAGTCCTTGAGTCATTGGCATCATTGTTCAAAAGTGACTGTCTGAAATATGTCAAAATGTTTAATAGCAATTTGCTCGAAGATAGCGATTTTGAGAGTATTGGGAATGACATTCCATATCCTGAAGTTGAACTTGATGAACTCGGTGATCATGACCTGATGGAGACGGCATGGAAATTTTTGATACAGAAAAAGAAGCAAAGCCAATATGAGTGGCAACGACAGCTCAAAAATGGCACATCGTGTGAGAATATTATCGATGAAGACGAAATGTTCGATTTGAAATCGAAAACTGATACCAATAATAAGATGGGTCTTCTGAAGAAGCAAGTGTTAAATCGAATGGAGGATGATCGTGAAAGTCATAAACGTCTGAAGGAATTATTATGGCATGTGGATCGGCCAAAGGAGATAAGTTACTTGCTGGAAGACGAATTCTTTGGGTATTACTATTCGAAAATTCATAAACTTGAAGACGTGCAATTTGAAATTCTACTAAACAATTTAAAGGACTGCAACGAGACCGCTACTAGAAGTTTCAAGGACAAGCAAGTGATTCAAGAAGACGCCGCACAATGAGCATTTACTCCGTACTTATTGGTTTTTATTCTATTCGATACAAAGGTTTAAGTATAGTTGTATCTTAACCCAGGAGGGTGGATAAGAATTCACTTCTCCCGTTGACAATATAATGCGCCAGGGTACGTTCCTCTCGTCCAGTGTTGATTACCGACACGGTGCATTTCGTTTTGATGCCCTTCCACTCGTTCATGTACTCGTAGATGGGCTCATCGATTTGCGAGACGCCCCCGGTGAAGCTAGCGAATGCAAGCTTATCTGTATGATGTTGTTCAAGAATACTCTCCGGGTGTTTACCTTTGATGTGATACATGTTCATCAATTCATCATTTGAGTAAGTTTGAGCGTAGTAGTCCAAGAGGAACAGAGTAGCTCGGAGTGTCAACTGATCATTTTGTACGACAACAACATTTCTTAATAAACTAGCATGCAAGCCCTCAACCTCACTGAAAACTTCGTTGATATGTTGTATGCAGTCACCCATAGCATCAAGTGCTCGATCACGGTCATCAACAAGAGCTGTTCCGGGATGAAATGTCACTGTGCACTCGCCGGCTTTGACAGACAGACCCGGTAACCTTTCCACCTTCGAATCCATTAATTGAACACACTGTTCTATCCAGATGCGATCGTGGTCATCGACCAAGGAGATCCATTCATTCAGTTCGGGAAATTTAACAAAGCCGCCATTTTCGGCAATAATACCAACTTGAGGGTAGCGAGCATATAAAAGGTCAAGCACCTCTCGCTCTTGGTACAGGACGATAAAAAAACGTACCAGTCTGTCCTCTAGTAATGGAAGCACATACAGCATGAATCGAGCCGGATTAGAGCCAAATGTTTTGTCAGATATGGTATTGTTTGAAGTATCCAAACCCTTGACGGTAGTTGGCAGCTCGAAATTGAGTACAAACAATTTCGTACCAGGGCCTGCTCGTTCGACATAATCAGTAAGTATCTTATGAGTGAAGCGCGTTGTATACATTGCCTTTCGACTTTGATCATTTGACCACGACTGGTTTATAGTTGCTAAGCATCTTCTCACCCAATCACTGGAATCTCTCGTTTTGACAACGTTGTATTGGTTTTGCCAACGTTCTGCCTTCTCCTCAGGTGACATCTGCAAACACCGTTTTATGGTTTTAGCAAAACCACCAATATCCCATGGGTTTATGAGTAAAGCTCCCTTGTTGCTGCAATATAATAATTGAGCACTTCCAGTGAACTCACTCAACATAAGGGGACTCTTTTTATCGTAGGTTGCGCAGATGAACTCATGGCATGTTAAGTTGAGACCTTCTCTCATAGACAGTACTATGAACAAATCGGCTTCACATTGAAGAGCGACGTACTGCTCAAACTCAAGATCAGTTTTGAGTAAAACCAAGGGTGTGATATTGGATATGTTTTCACTCATCAGGTTAATCCGCAGAGCAATCTTCATGATTTCCAGTTCATAGTTGGAATCTGAAACATTTCCCATCAAAATTTGGATGAAAACGGTCGACTCTAACATTTCCGGATTGCTTTTGAGAACTCTTTCATAAGCCAAAAACTTTTGCTTGATGCCCCTCAACTTGTCAACTTTGTCTCTCGATAAGATGATTTTCGTATCACCATATTTTTCACGAATTAACGTCCGCCATTCATGGATATCTTCCAGCTTGACCAACTCTACCAAAGGTTTCTCGTCTATACCCACAGGAATTGTGTTTGTTGTAATAAACTTACCATCAAATGTTAAACCATTCGCAGTCACATCGGTAAGTAAAAGCCTGTTGCACGTTTGTAAAAAATGGCGCACGTATTCTTGTGATTGGAAAGTTATGACGTTGGCTCCCAACATCCCTTCCAATATCTCATTTCGATAAGCAAAGCAGCGAAAAACCTCACTCAGCGGAAACGACACATGGAGAAATAGACCAATCTTAACATTTGGCAATTTTTTTCGTACCATTTGAGGCACCAATAATAAATGGTAGTCATGAACCCATATGATTGAGTCCGGTCCATCAAAGTTTTCCCCATTTGCTTTTAAAAACAGCTCTACAGCTTTCTCAGCAACCATCTGGTTGAATTCTCGATAATACTGCCACAGATGATCTTCAAATGCTTTCGATTTAGGGTCATCGGGTATTTGATAGTGGAGAGTTGGCCATAAAATTTGTTTGCAGAATTGAACGTATGCGCCTGAAAATGTCCAATCCAGTGGCCATACAGCGTCACAACTTTTAGCTTCCAATTCTGTCGAGATCTCATCAAGCACTTTCGGCAGAACTTCGTCTGACGGCATAGCCATAACCCCAACCCATCTAAAATCTTTCACAACTTCTTCTTCCTTGGCACATTGTACTGCTTTAGTCAAAGACACATTTCCCTTTGACGTTAACTCAAATTGCCAGGGAGCGGTATCAAAAACGTGATTCAATACATTGTCGACACCTTGAGCATCCAGGAACCCACCATAAGGAGCCATTCTTGCGTCATATTCGTCATCAACTTCACCGTCCGAATTTGCGACGCTCACGCTCAGGCCATTATCCAAAGTGAAGAAACCGCCTTGCAGTGATACACTAGGGGAGAGATACGAATTAGTGCTACCCGGACGCAATTGCAGAAGTGCATTCAGGGACCAGTTTGGTGCGAGTTGGGATAAGTTTGTACTCAGTCGTATCTTTAGCTGAGCCATTCCAAGATCTTTATCGAGTTTTTCCTCAACAACTTTGACAGGATAGAGAAGTTGAGCACGACTTTGCGGTTGAATTAACTTCACTCTACCACCAGGAGGTGGAGGTGTACGACTTGTCGATGATTCTGCAAGTTGATGATTCACATCATCTTGGACCGTTCGCTTTTTGTGAAGCGCTGGCCTAAGACCCTCCTCCTTGGTAAAAAGTGAGGTTGCTACCCCTGGAGTTGAAGGAGTTCTGCCCATCGCTGGTGGCCCTTGACCCAACGTGGGTAATATTGACGGATTGGTAACTGTAGGGGTGACTTCCTTGATTTCGACGTCATCTTCAATTGATTCAACTTCGAATTTGACGTTATAGGGAAGGAAACTATTATGTTAGTAAGAGGCAGGTTCGAGGTAATTAGCCAAGTAGACCATTAGGCTTTGAGGAATACGAACACTGATGTAATTATGACAGTCATTATCTGTTAAACAATTGAAGAATTGTATCGAGACAATTTCACAAAGGTTCTGCGTAAAAGACCCTATTCTCACCACTTGATTGCGGGTGTCCTGTATATTGTGAGGGTTGCGAATGTTCGATTAATTCCACCCTGCGTCATGTGAGTCCCAATGAAGTTAGGTATGATTCAAAGTAACGTGTTTCAATAAATTCTATACAGTCGCTTCTTTGTGCTCAATGGTCAGTTCTTCTCCTGATCCGGTCACGTTATCATAAGATCCTACGAGAACCGATTGTTCTGCTGATTGTGGCTTACCGTCACCAATTGTACCAAACTGAGCACTTTGAGTATTGGAAGTTGCCGAACGCACGTTGTCGAAGTAATCAGCAAATTCATCCTCCAGATCCAGCAGGTGATACCCATTACTCAGAAAATTGAATGCAAAATCCAACTTGTCACGCTCCGCTTGACGTTGTTGAACAATTTGATCCTTTTTCTTCACTATATCGTCTAGCTGCTTGCGTTGGGACGCATGATGCGAGCGGACTTGCTTGATTATTTGATGAAAGCCTGCAGTTACCATCTCGTCAAACTCTGCCGTAGTCTCGAGGGTATGATTATATGCTGCATAAGGCAGGTAGTACTTCTCCATTCTCATAAAAGGATTCTCTTGACGTCGGCGACGACGTTCCTCAATTTTTTTCCGCCGCCTTTCAGAAATGTTTCGTCGTAATGCAGAATATCGGACGATATCAAAATTCTGGGAAGAAACGGCTCCTTCCAACAGATCTATCGAAGTTAACATGTTTCCTTCAATACCTTCTGATTGCAAATCCTCTTGTTTTTCTTCTTTAAAATTCGAAGATGCTAGGCTGAAACAGTGGTCTGATGGTGTATCCGGTCGTGAATTCAGTAATTCTAATTCCCCTTCCGGTTGCGTCTTCCATTCAGTATTATCATCCTCAATTAAATTGTATAGCAGCTTCTCTGCAACTCGACTCTCTTCCACAAGGTTGATCCGTAATCGTTTGAGATCCGTGATCGTATTCAAATATTCAGGTGTGTGTTGGAAGGTGTAATCAGGTGGAAGTTCAGGAAAGTATTCCGGGATGTAGGATGGTCGCTTAGTCTGTGATGGGACTAGCAGGGCGATTTCATAGCACTCATTTGTAAAGAAAAGATATGACGGATTGCCTTCATCAACTTGGTACTCAGCATCATTGAGCTTCATTATAATCTTCTGGGCCTCTTTACTTATACGGTCGACATCGTACTTGATGTATTTGTAAATCTTCTTCGTGAGCAGGGCCTCCTCATATATGGAAAGTGTCCTTATACCTTGACAACGGAACAATACTTCAATGTCTGCCAATGAAGGGAGATGACGACGCTGGAGTTCCATATCTGCACGAAGACCCACACATAAGTTGTGTAAATATTCTGTTGCAAGACATGATAACATGTCAAGGAATTGCTGGGTGAAGAATGATCGCCCACGCGACTTGAGATGCACCGCAATGCTTTTCTTGAGCTGGAAGGCGACAGCCTCATCACCAGGGTCGGTTTCAACCTTTGAGATCACCTCTTCCCTGGCTACCTGCTGGGCCCTCTTTTGCAATTCCAGTTCAGGGATTTGCATGGTGGATGATGGGTCGCGCTACCAAACAAAAGCGTTAAGTTGAGTAGTCTGATCTAATAACGCGAATCTTTACGAGCCTGTACTGGAAAATAGTTAACATATACACATATTCATATAGATTTTGGTTTTAACATCAACTGAGGGTTACCAGAGAAAGTAAGCGAAGTTTGCTTCTTACAAATTGCTTCTAGTATAACAAACTGTAACAATCGAATTTATTGATATGAAGGGTAGGTTCAACTTTAATCCTCAAGAAAAGACGTTGCATTAATTTTGACTGTTGCCGCTCAATAATTGTTCAATAGCTCCTTGCACAGAACCCCCACAACGTTGGAGAGCTCGAATATTGGCATCAAAATCTACGAACCCCATATCATTGAGCTGTCTCAATTGGGATTCATAACGCTCTTCAGGAGGACGAGTGTCGGCGGGACTCTGAGATTCTCCAAAGCCTTGCATACCACCAAACGCACCAAGACCACCAGGGAACAACAGGGTAAATGGATTGAGCGCAGGGTTCGGGGATGCAGTAGAACCAGTGTTGTTTGGGTTCTCAGCTACGCCCCTGTCAGTGTGTGAAGTACTTCCTCCAGGAGTGCCAGGAGCAGGAAAACCGCCCGCAACTGCATCCGCGGCGGATCCGCCAAACATATTGGCTCCAAAACCAGAGCCTCTATTCATTTCCATCATCAGCCTCAAAAGTTCAGGGTTCAGCATCATTTGTCTGAATAAGGGCGATTGCAACATGTCACGCATCTGCGGTGCCATGGACCGTAATTGAGGGTTTTGTTGAAACAAAAATTCCATCATTTGAGGGTCGTTAAGCATGGCATTCATCTGTTCTTGAAACAATGGCAGAGACATCATCAGGCTTAATTGCTCAGGGTCAGGCATGGCCAGTGTCATGCCGCCATCGGGACCGAACATCAGAGCTGATGGCAAATTGAGCCCCATACCGGCGTAGCGAGCACCTGTCAAATCATTCAAAGGGTTATGCGCGCCAGTTCCGGTGGCAATATTAGTAGGAGCGCCCGACGTTGCTTGTCCAGAGGCAATAGGAGCTTGGCTTGGAGTTTCTGTGGTCCGCTTTTTGGCACTTTTGACCATGTGAATAGCATGTCCTGATTGCACCTTGTAAAACTCGACTTTTTGATCGTCTTTCAATACCTTACCCAGATAGATCAAACGTTGCTCATCTGCATCAACACCCGACTTTTCTGAAATCTGTTGCTTTAATTCCGCAACGGTAATATCGGAATCAATCGAGAGCTCGTACTTTGTATCCCCCAGGGATTTGATAATAACGTCAATCATGTGAGTTCACAACGAACTATGATGGATTACTTTCGAAAGTCGCACCGTGCGAGTGGCGTTGAGCTGGGCGGTAGTTTACAACATTGCACACCCAATAGTGATGACATCTGATCAATCCAGGTATATTAAACCACCACCTCATAAAGCTGCTAAGCTTGGTTTTATTACACTATCATGCGCAAACTCCACGGGTGTATCTAAAATCTTAAGGAATATGCATCGGCACTTGACCTCCATAATAGGTTCTTTGACAGGTACATGTATGTTATTAGGCTTTTCTCGTACAATTGAGTTTACACAATTAACTGAACTAAAATTTTCGCTGAATTTGTTATGCTGAAGTATGCAATACTGAAGAGTGGTGTCAAAGGTATGATTTCCATGCACTTACTACGTTCAAGGCACTGAAATCACAACAAGATCTGGTAAAAATGGGATTGATGGTATCGTTGGGGTCATTAGTTCGACGTATAGACGGCATACGAGAGTCATTTCTTGACCTCGACTCGCCAACCACACTCTAGGCAGGAGTACCCTTCAATCCCATCCTCAAACTGTACCTTACCCTTACCTTGCATTAACAGCCATTCACCTTTGGCTGGAATTTTTTTACACTGCACGTTAAGACATCTTGCCAGTGTTTTCTTGTAACGAAGCCCACACAGATTGCATAACTGACCTTCTTTGATCAGCCAAGAAGGCCGCCAGCATGGCAGTTGATCCAGTCCACACAGGATACAAACGCGGTGCAACAGATGCTTGGGTGGCAGTCGCGTCAGCTCCACACGCGGTTTCGTCTTTGTAGGAGGTGTTATAGGAATGAACTTGTGCAGCTTGGATTCAACCTCTGAAGCATAGTTTGTATGAGGAGTCATAGAAGTCGCAACAATTGGTTGAGATGCAGTAGCCATTGGCGCCATTGCTGGAGCGGGCGCTGCAGATGCGAGTGGTGTGGAATACATGTGATAGTTCTGTTGCGAGTGCCCTTGTGATGTTGAAGTATGGGTGTACCCGGTAAGGGTGTACATCAGAGGCAGTGAGGCACCAACTGAAGTTGCCGATAATGGTTGTGAAGACGCAACGACGGGATGTTGTTGGGGCTGTGACAACTGAATTAGCAGCTGCGCCGCTTCTCGCCACTCTGGAAAATTCTCGACGTCTTTGAGGTACAGTCCGTTTAAATACGTATAGTTCAGCTCGTATGGAAAATTGATCTTACGAGCTTCAACGTATGGAGTGTGGGAAGTGCTTGGATGGAGCATTGTCAATTTCAGCAGAATACGCAGATCAAACTTTGGCTTCAATACAGAGGTGTCCCTGTTTGGAAGTGGCTTCTCATCACCCTTAATCGAATCCAAGATTCCACATCGCCATTGTTCATCGTTGGGTTTGTAAGTGTCAAAGTAATCCAAACTCACAGTAGGTGTGATGGGTTTGAGTTTGATTGGGGCTCTTGGTGTGATTGGTGCTGAGCTAAGAGCCGACGCAATCGGAGGAAGCCGCACTTGCTGCCGTCTTCTGTGAGACATATGAATTTTAGGCGGCGACAGAATTGGCAGTGTGTTTGGGGAATGCGACGGAGATATGAGAGGATCAGTAAACTTCTTGTTAGGACTGAGTGATCTCAGACGGAGCAGTGTGTTAGGCAGGGTGTCGTATGGCGGCAGAGGAGGCGCTGTTCTTGATCTTTTTGTAGATGACGCGGTCTCCACGGATACTTCCTCTCCAATTGGGCGCTTCCGTAAGTTTTGTTGCGTAAAGGACAATATAGGTTTTGTCAGATTGGTGGTATGAGGGGCTGCAACCGGCGCTCTTGACAGAGGGGGGCAACTGAGAAGCATCTCATTGTACAGCCGCGATCTCGAGTGGCCCGTGGCAAAACTGTTTGGGTACATTGCTGGTTCCATCAAGCTCATAGTTGTAGAGTGGTCTCTGAGACCAGTGACGGGAGACGGAGTATGTGAGCCTTTAGGCAAAACAAAGTCGGAAGGTTGTGATATCGTGGCCCACCGAGTACGCGCGGGAGGTGTGAATCAAAATATCCACTCAAAGAAAGGATCAAAAATCGTACTGATCCTACCGGTTTCTCAATTAATATAGCTTTGAGGTAACCAGCGGACTGTGTAGTCAATCAGCCAGCCATGCATATTAAAAGGTCAACAATACCAAAATTATTTTTTTTGCCGCGCGAGAAACAGTGTGAAGATCAAGATCAGCCAGCACAAGGAGCACTGCGATTCAAAGTTGATACTTAATTTAACTTATGGAGTCGGCATCATTGCTACTTTTATAAACACATTACCCGGGATATTCGATGCCTACAATCTCATATTCGTTAACAAAGTTCGTTAAAGCCACTGCGAAGTTGCACGAGTCGGGTTTACTTTTCTCAATACATTTGAGGTAGTAGATCTAGCTTTCAGTTCTTCTTTGGGTAGCATATAGTTATTTCTTATGTTTGCGCAACGACCCCATGGACGCTGGTCGATTGTTTATCAATACTACGCGTGTTCTCGCGACAACCAGCCACCTATGTTTTAATTGAGTCGAGTTTGGCACTTCCCCTGCATCATTTTAAGCTCCATGAAATCGTAATTAGGGTACCCCCACAGGTGCATACAAACCTGTGGCTGGCGCTACGATATCATCCCTATCTGTTTGTTATCGGAATTCCTTGCCAATGGGCAACACTTAAGAGCGCCAGAACCACCAGCGAAACTAGCGAAACTGGGTGGAAAGTCATGACAGAGGTCGGCAAGAAAAACAGCGAAAGCTGTTTTCCCTCTGCTAAATTTTTGACATTCGCTGTGGTCTAAAGGTACTCACTGTTAACGGTGGACAGACTACTGCTCGCGATAGACAAAAATTGCATCGAAAAATTGGGTGCTTCAGGCATGCTCGATCCAAGTAAGTTCAATACTCAAGAGTCCTCCCAAATATACTAACGTGCGAGCCCGACAAGTTGAACCGTTCCTTAAAAGCTTTTTCAAATCCCTTGATGCACAATTCGATCCGTCACTTTACGCCCTGTTTGAAATCTATACGCGACAACTTGCACCTCAATTGTCACCCAATGCCGCTATTATAATAAATGGCAACCCCGTTGTGCCAACGGGCACCGACGCCCGTTTTGAGTTTCAGAATAGATGGCTGGAGAGCCCAGGAACGAATCATCAATTGACACTGTTCGACTGTCATTCGATTCCTGGCACTGGCACCTTGGTCATCTCCGTTCTTGCCAAAGTGAAATTTGATGAACTGGGACTAAGTCGACTGGGAAATCTGGGTTCTATCGTCCCTGTTGACCGCCCACAGGCGAGTCGCATTCAAACTTGGTCATCGCCTTACGGTGTATCGATAACTGCCATATGCGATCAAACTGTGTTGACCAGTGACAATGCACCTGCAATTACACTGTTGGACTATCGCATTACTACAATTCCCCAGAATTCACTGATTCAACTTTAAATGTATAAATGTATATGATTTTCTTTAATTTTCGATTTACCACTACTCTAGATTACCATCCCTGACGTAGTCCGTAAGAAGCGATCCCAAATGAACATTTGAATAAAACTCAGGGTCGAACTCGGCAACACCCAAATCATTAAGGGCGTGTTTTATATTCGGCACTAAGAAAGAGTAAAACACAAGGTCTATCTCTTCAGCTTCCGTATCCAATTGAGTCAGTTGAACAACATTCGGAATGGGGAAATTGACAACAGCCCTATGTGGAGTGTCATCGCCATCACTTCCAAAATCATCGGTCGTTACATACCCTTTCGATAAGCGATTTGGTTTGCCAAAAGTCGACAGTAAAACATGCTGAGCGTCATAAAGTTTTTGGTGATCGACACGTTTGGCGAACCATTGGTGTGGTGGTTTCAAAAAGTGATTGGAAGTTGTCTTTAGTGCAATATAATCTTGCTCGTTGAGTTTCGGTGCCACTTTTAATGCGATATGTTTCGGCAAACGTACTGACATCCAATCGTTCAAAAAGGGCAGAATAATAAATTGGGTGTCTAGAGTGTAATCTCCGCGGTATAAGTCATATCTAATCAGCCCAGTGTTGATAATAATAATGCGATTGGGATCGCCTGGAAGAGCTTTGAGAACTTTTTCAGTCATCAATTTGAACAAGCTCTTTGGATGGTTTAAAGGAACGTAATCGACGTAAAAATTGGATGTCTTAACTTTCCCAAGAATCTCATTCAAACCCAATTCATCTCGGATAAGATTTATGAGCTCCTTTACTTGTGTGCCATGTTTGTGGTTCAAACACTCCTCATGATTATCGCATCCCGCATGAAAGGCAAACAGACGCCGGTTAAAATCAATGTATCTTCGATGAAAACGATCACGTACATCGAGTCCTTTCTTCAGCATATTCACCAGCGCAAAGCCAAGCGTTTCACAAAAGCGACCTGCTTGAAGTGCTGTAGAACTCGCATCAAGAACAGAAAAGTCCCTGATATGGCTATGGCCACCGAAGTATTGAATAGGAATGGTTTCATGATATTTCCTGATATGCTTATGAAGGTAATGCAACTCCTCCCAATCATGCAGAATTGGCAAATGCCCAGCCACCACAATAATGTCTGGTTTATGGCTTCGTAACACTTCATCGAACCAACCTTCACTATCCACAACCTCCTTGATGGGCGTCACCCTCGTACCTTCATTAAATCGCTTGAAATCAAACAAAAAACCAAACGAAAGAACCTTGAATTTATTCACTGGTGTCTCAAAGAATTTGTATCGACGTCCAATTTGTTTCCATTTGTGGTTGTCTCGGAATTCGACATTGGAGCACACATAACCTTCGTAGCGAGGAGCCACGGTGTCGTATTCCATTTTCAGGTTCTCCCACTCATAGAGTTCATGGTTACCAAGCGTGATTATATCATAGTCTTGGTGAATGAATACTGCGGTAGAATTAATCCCATTGGGGACCAGAAGATCCAGCAATCCACTACCATCATGGCGGTCGCCCAGATCCACGACAAGAAGATCTTGCCCACGTTCAGCGGCTTGAATTTTGGCGGTGTGAACAAAATTAACAAAGTCTCCCCAATCTCCATTGTATGTAAATTGATTCTTGTGGCCTGAGTACCACGCATGGGTATCAGTCGTTGCCAAAAAGTTGATATCACTCCACACTAACGGTCGGATTGATGTTTCTATGTGCTCTTGCCAACAGTTGGTGGTTAGTCTCTGACATTGGCACACAATGATAAAAACAAAAGTAGCCAATGACAACATCGTTTCAAGTTTAGCCCTTTATATTGTTGTGGTTAAACATAGTCATGCGAACTGATCTTTCTTTGCACGAAAAAAGGTCCTACCCGGATTCGAACCGGGGTTGTTCGGATCAAAACCGAAAGTGATAACCACTACACTATAGAACCCTTGAAATCTTCAAATTCGTGAAACCAAAATTCAATGAGACTACGCTCGTGAGTTATGGATTTGGTTGTCTCCGACCGCATGGTTTCTATATCAAAGGCTTTACAGACACTAGAGACTTATTTAGGCGTAAGCATGCCTTTATATTAGATATCAATGCAGAATTGAGGAAAAACCAGTTTTCTGCCAGTCGAATAGCTGCTTACCACAACGTATCATTACATTTAGAAGACCGGTAAACAATGAACATCTCACTTACTTGTGAAAATTTTGCCAGACTATGCCTAGATACTAATGCAAGTTTAAGAAAAAAAAAAATTTCTTCGATATTGACATTTGGCTTTGCCTTTCGACTTAGATCGAGTGTGGTATCTGTTCTTGTCTGAGAGATAAAAACAAAAACACATTTGAAATATCACCTTGTGTGATAACATTTACAACTTTTGGGATCTATCATATAAAGGAGCTTATAGGCTTGCTCATACTCTTCATCCATTGTATTGCTGCTATTGCATTAACGGCTTCCGACGCAAGTTTTCTTTGCTTGGGCACCCTACTTCAGTTATTACTCCTCTCAGAAGTTGGTATTTTGCCTTTATCATCTGGACTACGCTACTGAACATGTGAGTTGTTCTATTCGAATGGATCGCGCAAATGACGTGGTGAATCTGGTCCATAGCCAAGTTGCGATAACGGTGACGTCCAAATATGAGCCCATTACTCTATTGATTACCCAACTTGATTTGGGATATGCTCAATAAAGTATGGAATAATAGTAAACTTCTCTCGTATCCAATGAGATATGGGTTTGGTAGAGCTGACTTCAAATGAGAAGCTCACGATGATCTCCATGAACAACACCTTCAAGGGCTTACTGTTCTTTGTGCTTCACAATTAGTAATACACGTGATTGCAGCTGTATTCAATCATTCAATTGTCGCTCTAACACCTTATCGCGAGCTTTGTTGTACTCAATGGGGAACTTCTCGGCAACACCCATTTTGCCTTTTACATGTAAACCAAATATTGATTTATGTCCATGTATTAATTCATTCACCATGATTTCCAATGATCCAATGTCATTTAAGAGCTTCTTAACGCGACTTGTGGTGTTTCCAGGTTGCGCTTTGAAGTGAGCGTCATGTAAGTCTTTCAAACAGTTTATCCTTGAAATTAATTCCATCTTCTTAACATAAAGCTCTTGGTTTTGATTGTTCAACCTGCCACTGAGCTGTGCCTGGATTGCCATGACTTTGTCAAGTTCCACCAGGTCCAATACATCATTGATTGATTCACTTAAACTTCGAGCGTGGTCTGTTAGATTCGATACAAAACGAGCGGATGTGCAGAAGTCAATATCATTGTCGTCGTCGCTATCAATGTAAGATGAATCTGAATCCAATGAACCTGATATGACTGGATTTAAATCTTGCTCTGATGATGTGGACGCCATAATGAATTCGGTCGCACTACAATTTCGCGTCATTACTGAGTAGCCATGAACAACGAGGTGTTGGCTCGACTCAAGCCATTCGGCATATCATTTGAAAAATCACTCAATGACTTGATCAAAGGAATTCGCTCCAAATCGAAAGATCTGCCTGAGGCACTTTCTCAGTTCATCGACGCGGCTCTAGCCGAATGCCGCTCCGAACTTCGTCAAACAGACCTCGAAACGAAAGCGATGGCTATTTTGAAGCTTGCATATCTTGAGATGTATGGATTTGATATGTCTTGGGCAAACTTCTCCATTTTGGAAGTCATGTCTAGCAACAACTTTCAATATAAAAGAATCGGCTATCTTGCGGCTATCCAACTGTTCAAAAACGAGCAGGATTTGTTGATACTTGCTACCAATCAGTTCAAAAAAGATCTCAACTCCAAAAATCATGCTGAAATTGGGCTTGCTCTACTGGGCATTGCAACTATTGTTACACCCAATCTATCGAAGGACATCAATGATGATGTGTTAATGAAATTGAGTCATCTGAACCCATATGTCAGAAAAAAAGCGATACTAGCTATGTACAAGATATTTTTACAGTTTCCTGACAGCTTGAGGCAAAATTTTTCTCGAATCATTGAAAAATTGGATGACAATGATGTTGCCGTGGTACTGGCATGTGTGAACGTGATTTGCGAAATCTCCAAAAAGAATCCCAAGATATTTGTGAATTATCTTCCCAAGTTTTTTACTATATTGGAAGAAACGAAAAACAATTGGTTGATAATCCGTATCTTGAAACTTTTTCAACTTCTATCGAGAGTTGAACCTCGCATGAAGAAGAAAATCATGCCTTCTATACTTGACTTAATGCTCAAAACGCAGGCTTCATCTCTCGTATATGAGTGCATAAATTGTATCGTGCAAGGCAACATGTTATCTTCAGAATCAGGGCGAGATCGAGAAACAGCAAAACTTTGTGTCAACCAGTTAATGGATTTTTTCAAAACTAAAGATTCCAATTTGAAGTTTGTTGGTCTTTTGGCCTTGATCAACATTTTGAAAGTGTTTCCATCTCTCATAACTAGTGTGAACGGTGTTGACGAGGTAATAATGGAATGTTTGACTGATCAAGATCAAATCATCAAGAGAAAGGCTCTTCAAATTTGTCAGTATCTTGTTAACGAAGACAACATCACAAAGGTTGTCAAGAATCTTTTATTTCAGCTAATCCCCAAAGATTTTGCGATATCTGAGCAGCTTAAGCTTGAGGTGGCACTCAAAATTGTTAGTCTTGCTCAGGATAACAATTACGCTAATATCCCCAACTTTCGATGGTATGTCGCAGTTCTTAAAGATGTTATTAATTTGACGCTTTTGCCTCCTTCCTCGAAAAATACTGCAACGAATATAGTTTCAATCCTGCCGGTGTGTTCTTCTCGAATTGCTGTGGAGCTTGGAAGGGAGTTCAAACTGCTTGCCACGAAAGTCCCGTCTATCAGATCAGTTATTTTAACTGATGTCGCGATCCCTTATGTCAAGGATAGTAAGATATTTGAAGTTTGTCCAGCTTTATTGGTCGATTTGCTTTGGGTACTTGGCGAATATTGTGAGGAATTTGACCACCCCCTCGAAAGTGATGTTGGTGTGCAAACGGATACGCCATTCGGTCTTTGTCAATTAATTGAAGCATTCAATTTTATTGTCGATGTTTCGCTTCCCTCCTCGGAGATAGCCCAACCCCACGAGTCTGAAAGACTTCTCAATATATTGGGAGGGAATCCGGAGCTCCTCAAAGTTACTATTACGACGTTGGTAAAGGTTTTTTCGAGCATTTGCAGTCACTATCAAAAGGTTTACGTCATTGATGGGCTGATGAACAAAAAGGAGTATCTTGATATTTCCTACTACCTATCAAAACTCACCCGGTTTTTGATGCTTTGGGAACATCACTACCACTATGAGGTGCAGGAAAGAGCCCTCTCTTGGTTAGAGTTTCTCAGAATATGCTCGGAAGCATTGGAAGTTGCTGGTAACTCATTGTTGGACACCATTCAATTCGAGACTGCAGGTGATGGTGTAACTGACCTGAGGTCAAAGGTGTCAGAATATGAATCAGTACGCGGAGGTAAACCTTACGAAAATTTCGAGAATCAATCCCAACAAACTGGGGCAAATTCTGATTTGGGTGATAGCCTGCGTGATGAAGAAGACAATCGTCTCGAAAACCAGTATAAATTACCTTTCCTTTTGACAAACGTTTTTCCATCTTTATTCAAATCATATGCTCTCAATCCGGTCGCAAAATCCGCTCAGAGAAGTATTACAATTCCTCATGGCCTCAATTTAGGTGACCCTATCAATCTGACCCCGCAACTACTCCCCAGTCGAAACCCAGTCGACGCGTACAAGGTGTATGATGAAAATCTAAATGAAAGCGCACTTATTTCGCTATCAGACGATGACATGATGAAGAATCAACGCAAAGAGCGTTTAGAACGCCAAAAGGATGACCCCTATTACATCATGGGTGACGATGATATCAGGCTGAAGTCTGGATCACCAATAGGCCAGTTGTCCGATGTTGTGAAGTCTTCAGCTTCATCTATTTCTAGCGATAGGGTAAAAAAGCAGAAGGCACAAAAACTCAAAAAGGAGAAGGTGAAGATTCTTTCAGAAGAGACAGTTGAAGGTTTTACTGGATTTGAACGGGTCTCATCTGAAGAAGCTCGACAAATCGAAGGTAAAAGAAAGAAGAAAAATCAAATCGCAATTGACCTGTCAAAGCTTGATGGATTTGAACTAGGTGAACTGATTGGAAGTCGTGAGTCCAACACTTTGGAATATGACGCGGACGATGTTAATCTAGACGAAATACGCAAAAATCTTCTCAAAGTTTCGATTGGTGATAACATCAAGAGCAAGAAAAAGAGATCAAAGAAGGGCAAAAAGGATGATAAAGTTGGTGAACAGGAACCTTTTAATGCAACTGATAAACAGGTGACAAGCACAAAGCTCACTTTGATTCAGCAAGAACATCCTGATATTCACAATAAGAATCAAGCTCAGTCGGAGTATAATGAACACAACGTGATAGAGTTTGTCAAGCCGAAGAAAAAGAAGAAAAAGAAGGCCGCAGTTATTTCTGATTAATATTTATGTCATATCAATAAACAAATTAACCTTTGTTAATTAAGGGAGTTTGTTCCGAGATTGTATCATGACTTACTGTTCCAGTCATGCCCTCAGCTGCATACTCAGCAGGTCTCTTAGGAGCCCCCAAAGGTGACGTAGAATACCCAACGTCGGAATTCAACTTCTTTATCATCGATTCACGGACACCAGTGCATAATTCATTGACTTGATCATTAGATTTAACATCGGAAGTGGGTACAGGAGGTAACACTTCGATTTCGATCAATCCAGAATTGAAGGTTTTTGTTTTCAGACAAAATATGGGGGTGGTGTTGGAAACCACAATTGGTACTATCGGAATACCTGCTTCCTTGGCAAGATGGAATGCACCCTTTTTGAATGGAAGCATATCTAAGGTTTCATAGCCCGATCGAGTACCTTCGGGAAAAACGAATAAACCTCTTTTTTGAGTTTTAAGTTGTCCAAGTGCTGAGCTCAACACCTTGCGAGCCTTCTCTGACTTCTGACGGTTCAAAAAAAATGTGCCTGAAAGCATCATGAACCAGCCAAGGAAAGGTACGAACTTAAGTGACGACTTAGCAGTGACTGACATCCCAGGTTGAAATATGCGACCCAACATGAACACATCCAATGCCGATTGGTGGTTTGAAATGTAAATAGCTGGGTGTTGACGAAGATACTCTTCATTCTTGACCTTAATCTTTATACGGAAAAGAATTGAAACCACGTAGTAGAATGCTCGAGCGGTGGTGTATTGAGCATATTCTGGCTTCCCAATTAAACGAAGGAAAATCAGGGCAATGACGCCGTAAAGCGCACATCCGGAAATTGAGAGCCCATACAAAACTGATTTGACAAAAAATTTGGCTGATTTGGAAACATTTGTCATGGCAATAATCCCGGCGAGAACCGAGGCAACGACAACTAGTTGGACCATGCCACAAACTCCTCCAGAAAAAAAGGCATCTGAGTTGTCGCGACTGCCCAACAATCCGGCATATATGTTCGTGCAATCACATCAATTTCATAAACATATATGTCTAAGGCAATAATCACGCTTTGATGAACTGCAGTGGAGTTCAAAACATTGTTGCTGTCCACGTCATCGCAGCAGTTCAGCAACCTGCGTTCTCCATGAAGTATGCTCGACGGTTTCCAAACCTTCATGAGAACATACTGTGTGCGCCTTGCGCCCCACGATGTAATTACGACTTATCCACAATTTTGCCGATACGCACGAGAGGAGGGGAATGGATTCAGGAAATTTCCGGTAATTCAACTATCTCGCCTCAACCCGATCCATCTAATATATAATGTGATGCCTTGTCTAGTAAATTGACCACGGAAAAGATGCCACACTATTTACAATCTTATAATATTAGTGACCTTCCTCCAATTCAAGCAGTCCCCTTGACGCCGGATAGTTTCGCTAAATTTGGAGGAGTCCTTAGCGCCGACCACCAAGCGGAAACAGCCGAGAGTCTGAGTGCAAACTATGGGACGGCTACTAAACTTCATGACGTTTCACCGATTGTCAACAATTTTGAGGGTGGAACTGGTAAAGCGACATGGAATATTTTCAGATGCCTGGCTCCCAAACAACTTGAGAAAAGTCAAAACGGATGTAGACGTTACCAAGGCAGTGTTCTTGAACGCCATCCCTACTCCACGCAGGCATTTATTCCAATGGGCCAACCACTGAACGAAGATCTGTACCTTGTTATAGTCGCGGAACTGGACGCGTCTACTGGCAACAAGCTTCCCATTCCTACAACTTTATCTGCATTTGTATGTAAGGGCAACCAGTCGGTGACATATGGGGCTGGAACATGGCACGCGCCAATGGTGGTAATTGGTGATGCTGCCGCTTATATTGATTTTGCCGTTTTGATCCATGAAAGTGGAGTCGCCGACGATGACTGCCAAGAAGTTAAATTTGAATCTGGCTTTAATATTGTGTTTTAAAAGTAGGTACGAATTGCTGCGGTCTCATCAAGTTTGCGGATGTGAATCTCCGCTGGTTGCATTTTCATCGGGGAGTGTTTATCCGGCGATGGGACTATGTTTTCCGAGCATACAACAGGAAAACGAAAAGTAAGAGATTATTTATATATTGCAATCGTATTGATCTAGAATATCCTTAACCAAATTCATAGGAATTCGTTTCACGCCGAAGCAATTGCAGGTTTTTCCTTAGACGGTTTTTCGTCAGTAAAGTAATGGTAATTGAGCCATCTTGCACCCTGTCCTAATTGAGCTGCCTCATTCACGACGTGACACCCAAAGAGCAAATAGTTCTTTGGCTGCACCGACAAAGCGTACTTCATAAAGACCAAAGAATAGATAATCAAAGATCCAGTCATTGATCCAGAAATCAACTCTGGGTCTTTCTTAAGATCCATAACGGCGGCTATGGGGATACCAAAATTGGACACAGGCCCCCAAAAATGTGTAGTACACATGTACTTCAACGTTTTCTTGGAGAACAAGTTGTCAAAGAACTTCTTGAACCCACTAGATGACATAGTATTCAGATGTTATTGTGGGTGTGGGGTTATCAACGTAGCGAACGACTCGAATCAAATAGACCCTAATACAATCACGTGATCGATCGCGACTTTGAGGGGAAGTGGGGTTAATTTCAGAATAGCCTAGGAAATAAGCGGCAACACTTGAGAAGTAATCGAGATCAGATACGCTTTTATTATTAGCTTATTGAGGGGGTCTTGACGGATCAAATGGCATACTTTGGTCCAGTGGTGGCAATGCGGGTATGATTGGAGGCACAGATTGAGGGGCACTAGTATCAGTGGGTGGTATTGGATACTGGCTATAATTAGTAACAGAATTGACTGGGTATGGATTCTGCTGATGTGAATCCCAGGAATTTTGCGGGTGGTTTTGCACAACCTTACCAGATTGTGACATCTCTTGCATAGCATATGGCATAGGTAATGCATCTCCCAGATTGAGAGTGTCTCCCAGATTTTTGCTAGTACAATTCGTGAAGTACTCGTCGTCTGATGGCGAACTCAAATAATACGGTAAGTTTTCGGGAGTTGTGAACCAAAAAGGATCGTTGAAGTTGAATCCATAAATGTCAGAATCTGAGTCTGTCAAAGTCTGACCAGCTTGAGCTTCATCGACTTTGAATCTTTTAGGATTTGGTATCTCCAGTTCAGCTTGACGCTCGTGAATCAAGTCAATTCGTTGAAGTATTTTGTTGAATAAGTTGGTAATCGTGGGCAGCCACATTTTCAGATTATTGCCACTATTGGTAACTGTTTCATCAAATATCATAAACTCGCGAATCAGTGTCTCAATACGATCAAGAACAACTCTATTCAAATGGCACAGTAAATCTTTGCCATCTTTGATGAATTCTTTTGTCTTGCAGTAGATAAAGGTAAAAATCACAATGACGCCCTGATAGAAGAATGCGTGTAAGAAGGGATTTGACATTCGCACTATCTTTCCAAAATTGAACTCCGGTAATTGCTTGGCCTGGTCAAGCAGCTTCACGTCGTATGCAAAATCGACACCTTGAATAGCTTCTTGTAAAAACATCAAGGCATAATCACAGAATTTGAAGATCAGCTCAAGCACATTTTTGGTAACATTATCACTTTCGGGACTCTTGTCGAACTTGGTGAGGAAAGGTTCGAATAGCTTTGCCCTATTCACATATAACACAATTAAATCCAGCAAAACATTACGGCGATCGGTGTGCTTGGGAAGCCTGGTAACTGAGTCGAGGGCACCTCTAGCAACAGTTGCATCGTGATGGAGAGCCCACTCAAGGTTCGAGATCTCATCCATAAATTTTATTCCAAGAGAAAATAAATCTTCCCAATTGAAATTGATTAGGAAGTTTTCGATAAGCATCAAGTTTGATAAACGTAAACACTCAGAGAACCCGAGTTTAAGCATGATATCCACTTTGTTATCATCTAATCGTTCCAGAGCATCAGTGTTAGAATCTCGCAAACTCAATTGGACAACCTTTGTAACATGTATCAGTATGGGATTTGGCCGACCCAAAATCAGACACACCTGACCAGTAAAATTTCGAAGCGCGAGCCATAATTTATATCGTTGCAAATCTTGTTGCATTTCTTCATCGTCCTCTTCGAACTTCTCTGATTTGATTTCCAGAGGTCGCTTATCGATATTCTCACGGTTAGGATCGACATCATGCTCTTGTTGCTGTCGTATTTTCCCCATGATATGCAAGCCAATCAGATACGCTATCAGACAAGTGTGAAATATCATCAGCCAGGACTCCTCATACCTCTGGTCCATAAAGTAATACTCAGTGCTAATGATGTAGGCAGTAACCAGAAAAACCAGCTCCGTAAGTAAATTATGGCGCAATCGATTGAACTCATGGAGTAGAACGTTTTTGCAAAGAAGCTGCTTCAACTTTGAGCCCCTTTGTATATCTTCCGGACTTATGAGTCCAAAATTAACGCATTGTTGCAGCAGTAATCGATATACTGTAAGTGCTAATAAAATGTAGAGAAGCAACAAATCATCATCATTTTCCCATTCTTGGTCACGTAATAGCGGGTATTGTTCAATGAACTCGAAAACTTTGTCTTTGGGAACAAAAGTTTGATAGTATTCATTCGATTCAAAGAAGTGGTGCAATAATTTGATCACAACATCTCTATCAGGTAATTGGTTTTTATCTTTTCGTCGATAATAGGTGACATTAGGAAATGCTTTCTTGGCTAGAGATTGCTCAACAATGTTTGGACGCTGCGTGTTATGACCAACAAGTTGAGTATCGTCTTGCTTATCATAGTTGTGCAACAATCCTGAATCTCCTTTGTCCATAGACAAAGTTAGATCTTGTGTGGCAATGCTGGGGCGTTCGTTCTTCTCAGGACCCCTCAGATCCGATTTCTGCTTGTGTTTCACCCTGTCAATCAAGCTTTGCATCATGTAGTTTGACAGTTGGGGACCATAATATTTTGGCCCCTGTTCGGTCGTCTCCCCCGTCATCGAAATGCATTTGTCTTCTTTTTTAGGACTCCGGGGAGCATGAGATCCAGCATTGTGTTCGAGCATGTTGAGCCGTGCAGACATACGTAGATTTTCATCTACTAAAAATTGGTTGTTTCTGAGTAGCTGATCGAATTCGTTTCGCAATATCAAGAAATCCTCGTGCAGCGACCTGTTGTAATCATCCAGTAAGGACAGTGTTGATTTCAGCGTTGAATCCATATCAACCTTGATATTGCGAAAAGTCGATGGAAACTCACATGGAACTTTTCGCTTCAAGCACTGATTGCACGGCCTCTTCTTATTGCATTTAATCTTCTTCCTTCGACACAGAATACAGGAGATTGGTAACGGCTCTGTCATTTCACAAATCCTCAGACCAGTTGCTCTCAGAAAAAGCGACTTGAATCAACTGCGCATTTGATGTATGCGGGGCGATGCACGTAGCACCGTGTCACATCATTTATAGGTGAGAAACTTAGAAATTAAAATCAATATGACGCATTGTCTCGTGGTAGAAAGAGATACATGATTTTGTTCGAAACTGGATACTTTAAATTCCAAGTGGTAGCATGGAGGTAACGGGCGCGTGACAACGCCCTCATAGCAAGCCTACAACTAAGTCTTTCGGCCGAGGCACTTGTTGAGACTACATTGATAACTCTGATATTGATTATCTTGATTAGACCCGCACAACTACTCGTTGTATAGTTATGCCGGGTTTCAAATTTCACGTCAAGATTCGAACCTCCTTTGAGGTTGGCGATTTCACACATCCAGTCAGTGAAATACATGATATATTAGTAGACGTGCGAAAATTAGACGTGCGAAAATCCGCATCAGGAAAATTGCAACTGCATGATGGTATAAACAGTGCGATGGACTCATCACCTTTAGAGCAAAAGAACTGGGATTTGCCTAGTCATTTGCCAGGAGAAGGACCTGATGACGATGTAATCCATGATATTGTTAGCAATGACAGTGTCTCGTCGATACAAGTCCTGTCTAATCATGAGAAGAAGCCCATCGCTATCCCAGGAACAAATATCACTCTTGTCACGGAAGAGGATATAGCGAAATGGATTGAAGAACGTCGCAAGAAATGGCCCACAAATCGTAATATTGAAATGAAGAAAGAGGAGGTGAAAAAAAGGCGACTAGACACACCAACTACAAGTGATTCATTTGCAAAAAGACAAAAGCAAATTTGTCGTTACTTTCAGCAACATGGAACTTGCAAATATGGGCTTAGGTGTAAGAACATACATGAACTGGCGCATGAAACAGGAAGCTACTACCTCAGAGATGTTAATGGTATTGCAGTGAAAATTCCAAAGCTATACTCAAATCGACAGGGAATCGCATTTGCGGATTTGTTGCTACAGCAAGAACATACCGAGCTTGAAAACGATCAGATCTTGCAGTTTGTACAACGACTTGATAATTGTGGGCTCATTGATCATGATGCCTTGAAAGTGAAGCCTGTTGATTCGAGTTTGGGTTAGTACATATCCCCATTATACTTCTTTGTAGCATCAATAAGAATAGATGCTTGTTTACCGATTTCTTCCAACTTATTGAGGACCAATTCGTTGCCACGACCGAACCCATAAATGTAGTAATTCAAACCCACTCGTTTGCAAAATTCGATAACATAAGGTTGAGCTTGGCGAAGATTGTGTCGAGGCATACGAGGAAATAGATGATGTATGGCCTGAAATTGCAACCCACCGTGCAAAAAGTCTAGCCACTTCGGACAATCAACATCCATAGTTGTTCGTAATTGGCGACTTGGAAACAGTTCAGAGACTCCCATGTCGGCAGTCAGCATAGCAAAATGACTTAATGTAATCTGAACATGCACCAACATGGTGGCCACATGACTAATCATCACGTAGGCGAATCTACTCCAGCCTCCTTCTATTGATTTGTATACCACAAGGTAAAAGAACCAATAGAAAAAAAACAGAAGGCCCACAATCTCAAACGGGCGGAACCATGCCGCCTTTCCCTCGCGTGGCCCTTTGCCAAATATCAAATGTTCCCACAGCAACCGGTAAAGATTGAATCTGCCGAAACAAAGTATAGGGTGGTATAAGTAATGCTGGTAAGGGATGAGAAATTCGGCCGCCTTGTCGAAAGACAAAGTTCGCTTGTAGTATGTGGAATATATCAGCTGCAAAAGTTTGACGCTGACAGCAAAAAACGGCAAATGTTGAATATCTGGATCATGTACAGGGTCGTTCGTAATCAAATGGTGGACGTTGTGGTTTCGCTTCCACCAACCAAGACATAAACCTCCAAACCACAGAGCAATAACCATACCAAAGGTGTTGTCAATTTGATAATTGTGCGTAATAGAAACGTGGCCGGCGTCGTGGGCAATGAATGTCATTTGGTGCCAAGCCATTCCAATTAAAGAAGCACTTAAAAAAAGATGACCGGTTTTTAAGAAGCAAAAGGAGTACAAGAATAATGTACAAATCTTGAATAGCTCTCGAGCATAGTTCCAATAATTGCAGTCAAATAGCTTCGCGGCCTCCAACTCCAGAAATAGTTTATGGTACTCCTCTCGCAAGTAGTTTTGGGTATCATAGTCCAAACTCGGCAAAACCTCCAAATCCCTACGCGTAAGCTCATTGTCAAATGAATTTAATTGCAACCGGGGATCCACAACCTTTCCCTCAAATCTAGTTTCATCTGTAATCAAAACCTTTGGTATATTTTCTTTTGTTAAGATCATGTTCTGAGGAATTCGAGGGGTTACTGGGCCATCGGGGTAGCCTGCCCCCAATTCGGGATATTTTGTCAGCTTCATTGAATTAGCATCTCCCAAAATGGAAATTGACAGTGTTGAGCTCAGAAATGCTAGATCGGCATCAGACTCGCTATCCATCTTCGTATCCAACGTATGATGCACTGATGTTTCAATTCCATCTGAATAATCTCCACCCTGTATAGGAGGCAAAAGATTTTCCCACAACGGTGTTTCAATCACTCCGATCCTCCATTTCAAGAACTGCGTCAAGGTTTCTTTTCCGTGGTAAGCGTTCATTTCGTCCGTAGCATCACGCCCAATCATATGGTAGATGGCTAAATCTCCACCAGGGTGTTTTTTTAACCATCCCGAAAGGTTTAGTACATAGCCATCGTAAATCACAATTGCTTTGCCAACACTGATGAGCTCTTGGATGCGTTTACGACTTAGAACTTTATCTGACATGATCATTTAACCGAAGATCAAATATTGCGCCTTTCGGTTAACAGGTGTTCGTGGTTGTATGCAGTCGATCAAATTGTACCCTAACTGATAAACAATCCTAACGACTAAATGAGGTCTAATAAAAAAATTTCATAATGTCCGATTATTTATTATACTAAGGTCATAATGTTATAAACCACAAAGTTTTTTCATTGTAGCTTCCAAATTGAATGAGGCCTCAGTGTAAGTCATATTCAACAAAGAAACTATGCCCGGAAGTATCAACGGGATCAAAAAGTTGTCGTTGATATCACACACACCCTCTATAACACCTGCGATTATAGCAGCCACCAAAACATTCTCCCAATTAGATACCTTGACATATCTCACCTCGTGGAATTGCTGCATGTAATAATTGAGCCCAATACATGTCAATAACACCGTCAGAACAAACGCAACGGTTCCTTGTACTGACTTGTTCGACCCCTTCCATTTCCAGGTACCAAATCTTCGTCCTACAATCAGTGCCATTGAATCACCCAACCCCAAAGCAATAACTCCGAGGTATCTTACGATGGAGGCATCTTCTCCATATTGCATGTAGTCATAAACGATGGGTATAGTAGCACCAACAATGAGATAGACGTAAGAGAGGCTCAAATCGCCTTGGTCTTTCTCATCTTGGAATGGTGCCAATACTTTCCGGAGCCATGGACCCAATGGTGACACGTTTTGAGATCTAATCAATTCAGTCAATGCAAAGATGAATATTGTGCCCAACAAAGCGACAAGCGTGAATTCGACATTGGTCGTTAGTATCAGTGGTGACCCCATCAATATAACAACAAGGCAAATATGCCACACCTTGCGTCGGGCATTGACAGTCAAGTAAGACTGTATAAAAAATACCGTTGGTACAACAATGGCCAAAAACCCTGACCAAAAACCAAAGATTTGGAGGTTCTTCTCCTCTTCGAAAATGAAACCATATAACCACTTAATGGCATTTTCGCCCAAAATCCAATCAAGTTGATAAATCACTGTGCCATAGAAAGTTAAACTCCAAGTGAGAATTGATACGACATGTGGCACCCATGTGTAAATCTGAGAAACTATAAGAGTTGAAATGAAAAAACTAGCCACCAACACACGAAAGATGTTCAAAGGCAAGTATTGATGAACCAACTTTCGGTGAAATGTCAAGATAGTCAACATAACTGATATCAAATGCGTTTCAGCAGTCAGTAAGGAGGTCAGTCCTGCATTGCGGAATGCCCAATTGCAAAAATAAAAAAAGGTGATAAATTGAATGAACTTTAAGACATCTTCATCACTTTTTGAGAAGGATTGATGGAAGACTAATGCTGACAAACCAGAAAAAAACGGGTGTAGCTTATCGGATGCTAGATGATTGAGACTCAAAACCTTAACAGCCCAATCATGCTCAAAGTGCAAAATCGAAAACAACGTTGGGATAAAAATCAGGTAAATCTGATTGAACTCAGGAAGCGATTTGACTGTCTTGTCACCCTTGTAGAATGCCAAAGCGATACTGACAACGACTCCCAAAATATTGAATCCTATCATCATCCAGGACTCCTCATCAATTTGGGTTAATTTCTTGTGGTTGAAGTACATCAATTCAGCAATGTACCCAATACACATAAGTTGGATGAACCGGAGCAAATTCATATTTTGCTGAATGACATCTAGTGTGAGGTAGATGTAATTGAATGGAAATGCGGACTCCATGATATTATCGTCATCGCCATCAATGGAAGTTTGAGTCTGATCAACATCTTTTTCTTTTCGCTTCTTGAGTCGAAGCTCCTTCTCTCGTTCTTGAATTCTTTCGAGTTCTTCGGGGTTATCAAAAATGGATGCTCTTGACTTTGATGTCGAAATCTTGCTTTTAGAGCTGCGCTTACCCATGTTGTTTAAACGTATACTCTGTGAACAATGAGAAATTCGTGCGAACAACGCCGCATTGTCAGTAACGACCCCACACTCGTCGATGAGCCCTAACTTAATGCCTATAGAATTACATTTGCACACGTAACCCGTTGAACACTAGAGGTGGAATATTTGCCTTCTTGGTTAGAGGCTGCGAATCATAGCAAACTATGTCAATCGAGATTGCTAAATGATCTTGCCCTGAGTAATTTAGTATCTGGCGTGATACGAAATTGCGACAAACGCGTCTAAATTTCGATCGCGTCCACTTCCACCATGCACATTAAGAAAATTGTCATTCAAGGTTTTAAGACGTACAAGAATACAACAGTGGTTGACGATTTGTCCCCGAAGTTCAATGTTGTTCTAGGGAGAAATGGGTCCGGGAAATCCAATTTTTTCTCGGCTGTACGCTTTGTCTTGTCAGATGCTTACACAAACATGAGCAGAGATGAACGCCAGGGACTAATCCATGAAGGTCTGGGTACTGTAATGCTGGCTTTCGTGGAAATAGTATTTGACAACGGCGATGGGAGATTTCCAATTGGTCGCAATGAAATTTCAATACGTCGAACGATTGGTCTAAAGAAAGATGATTACTCGTTAGATGGAAAACTGGTTAATCGCTCAGACGTGGTGAATTTATTGGAGTCTGCAGGATTTTCCAGATCTAATCCCTACTATATTGTGCCTCAGGGTAAAATTACAGCTCTCACCAACTCAAGAGATTCAGATAGACTAAAACTTTTGAAGGAAGTTAGTGGCGCATCGATCTTTGAACGTAAACTCAAAGAATCCATGAAAGAGATGAAAAATAATGATTACAAAATTGAACGAATTGACGAAGCATTGGGAGCAATCAACGTCCGTCTCGCGGATTTGCAGATTGAGTCAACTGATCTACAGAGATTTCAAGGGCTTGAAAAGTTACGCAAAATCTATGAATTCAACTTATACGACCGTGAACTCCGCATGTTGCATCTGCTGATTTATACCTTCGGAGAAGAATATTTGGAGATTATGAGACATCTCGATGAAAACTTGAAAGATTTAGAGCTGCGTGAGAATCTCTGTCTGGAGCTCACGCATACAATTAATGAACTAAAGACGCAACTATCGATCAACGATCTTGAAAAGGATCAACTCAAGTCGGAGTTTGAGGGGCTTTTAGCGGATGTTACTGTCAAGAAAGTTACTTTGAGCGAGTGGAACGACGCGCTTGCCTTGAAAGAGGAAGGCAAAACTACACGAATTTCGACGGATATTGAAAATGTTTTACACAAATTGGAAGATAATGAGCGTTCAATTGCCGAGCTTAAACCAAAACTCGAGCGGTTGCGGAACGAAGAAAGCAACTTAAAGGAAAAGTTAATGGTTGCATCTTCTACTCGACGCAATTTATACTCGAAGCAAAATCGCTTCAAAAAGTTTACACATAAGGAAGCGCGTGATGAGTGGCTTCAAACTCATATTGTTCAAGTTGAAAGCAACATGGCCAAAAAAACCAGGCTCCATTCTGAAGTCTCCGAGGAAATATCCAAAGCTCTTAATGCCATTGAGTTATTGCGTAATGAAAAAAACGCATTGGAAGCGGAAGTTGACGACTCTGCAAGCGCACAAGCTAAAGATCGCCTTTCAAAACGCCTTCAGGAACTCCGCACAAGCATGGATAAGCTTGTTGATAAAAGAAAACAATTATGGAGGGAGGAAGTTCGCTATAAGGGTTTATGCGACTCTCTCATGAATGATGTCAATAAGAGCAAACATATGGTCAATCAAACCATGTCTAGACAGCAAGCCTTAGGTATTGAAACCGTGCGGCGTCTTGCAAATGAATTGGACCTTACTGATAAAGTGTTTGGAACCGTGGCTGAATTACTCACGGTGAGCGATAGGTACAGGGTTGCAACTGAAGTGATTTTGGGAAACGCATTATTCGATATCGTGGTCGACACTGATGCAACTGCGACCTTATTGATTGATAAAATGAGTCGTGCAAAGATCGGTCGAGTTACTTTCATCCCACTTACACGTGTACCACGGGCGACAGGTGTAAATTTCCCGCAAACCCAAAAATGCACTCCTCTCATTGGGAAATTGAACTTTGATGGCAAGTTTGAGAACTTGATGCAACAGCTATGCGGCAATGTAGTTGTTTGTGCCGACCTCGGAATTGCATCGGAGTTAGCTAAAGCTTACAAGTTAATCGGTATCACCATCGATGGCGATCGAGCTGATACGCGTGGGGTTATCTCTGGGGGTTATCGTGATCACAAGAAGTCTAGACTCCAAGCTCTTCAGTTGGAAGCCAAGAGTAAGGGAGATTATGCGGAAGCCTCGCAAGCGTATTCAAGTTTGAGGAAGAATATTGACGAAGTTCTGGCAGAGTTGACATCATTACACAACCAGCATCAATTGGTTAGCAGAGAATTGAATCAGTTTGATGAATCAAGAGAACCTAAGAGGTTAGAGTTGGTAAGAGTAAAATCTGAAATTGTCAGCGCGGAGCAAAGTCTTCAAGATCTACGCTTGCAAGAAGGATCATTGAAACTGGTCATGACAACCTTGAGCAACACTTTGCAGGAGTACAAAGCTGAGTTAACCAGTGATTTTGATAAAGCATTGAGCCCTGCTGAATCCGAGCAGATTCAAAGACTCACCGCCCAAATCGAAGATTATGAATCTCAACTAGATGAAGTCGTATCTGAATCTAATAAAATGGAGGAACTGATGCTGTCGTTCGAAACAGAAATTCTGCGAATTTTGCAACCGAAACTACAAAAGTTGTACGCAAGGCAAGCTGAGCTCGAAGTAACTATAAAGCTGCCTTCAGAGATTGCAGATCTCGAACTGCACCTATCAGCTTTGGAAAAAAAGATTGACGACACTAAAGATCGTCTCATGGTTGTTTCAAATGACAGTGAGAAATTGAAGAAGGAAATATCCACTTCCGAAGAGAACTTGAATAAACTGAATGCGCTCCAGCTCAAGATGATTGCTCTGATTGAAGAATTAACTAAAACTTCTGGGATTATGCTTAGTAAAAAAGCAACTCTCGAACAACGGCAGGATGAACTTAATGTGAAAGTCCGCGAACTTGGAGTTCTACCAGAGGAAGCGTTCAACAAAGAGACGTATGGACGAGTCAGCTCAAACGACATGCTCAAGGAACTCAAAAGTATCAATGAAAAACTTGTTGAATTTTCCCATATCAACAAGAAGGCTTTGGAACAGTTCCACAATTTCACTCGTCAAAGTGAAGATCTCAATGCGCGTCGTGACGAGTTAACAACGGCTAAAACCCTGATTGAAAAATTGATGCTGGACTTGAATCATCAAAAAGAAACAGCTATTATAACAAGTTTCCAAAAAATTGCTGAAGCATTCACCAAAATTTTCTCCAAGCTTGTGCCGCGCGGTTCCGCTCGGCTAGAACTAGCCCGGCAAAGTTCAGATTCAGCTACCGAGGAGTCTCATGATTTGACTGGAGAAGAGTTAATGGAGAACTACCTGGGGGTTTCCATAATTGTTTCATTTAACTCACAGCAGGACGAGCAGCAACATATTGAACAACTTCTGGGTGGTCAAAAGTCGCTATGTGCAATCGCACTAATATTCGCTATACAGATATCAGACCCTGCTCCATTTTACTTACTAGATGAAATCGATGCCAATTTGGATCAACAATATCGCTCATCGGTAGCGCTCATGATCAAAAAGCTTTCCAACGATGCACAATTCATTTGTACAACTTTCCGACCTGAAATGATACAAAGCGCCGACAAGTTTTACGGTGTCATGTACTCCAACAAAGTCAGCACTATAGAGGAGGTCAGTAAGGAGGAAGCATTGAACTTTGTTGATATATAATTATTGGATGGATGTCGTTTAAATCGCAAAACGTCTTATTAGTCTGCAGATGCTATACACATAATTCACTTCTTCTTCTGCGATGTAGAATTTTTGGGTAATTCTTTAACGAACGGAATAAATTCAGGCTCACCTGGAATGTACTTTCTCAAAACATCGGGAACAACTAAACCATCCTCTTTCTGGTAGTTCTCCAAAATACAACACAAAGCTCTCTGAGTGGCACTCAAAGTTGAATTCAAACAGTGAACGTACTTCTTCTCGGTCTGATTCTTCTGCTTGATACCACATCTAATCTCCAAATTTCTGGATTGATAGTCGGTGCAATTCGAGCATGACACTAACTCCTTGTACTCTTCTTGGAAAGGGAACCAAGCTTCCAAATCATACTTCTTGGCAGCGGCGTTGTTTAATTCACCAGAAACAATGCCAACTACCCTGTAAGGTAAACCAAGAGATTGATAAAATTGTTCCGACAAAGAAATCATCCGATCAAATTCTTCCCAGGATTTTTCAGGTTCGGTAATACAGAATTGCTCAATCTTTTCGAAAGCGTGCACTCTGAAGATCCCCCAAGCGTCCTTGCCATGAGACCCTGCCTCTCTGCGGAAGCACGACGAATAGCCAGCGTATCTCACAGGCAATTGCTCCGCTGGAGCCTCGAACCATTCATCAGCGTGGTAGGCAGAAATAGGTTGTTCTGAGGTGGCAATCAAATATTTTTCATCTTCACCGTCAATGACCTTATATAATTCTTCGTCAAATTGTGACAACTGGGCAGTCTTTGCCATCACTTCCTTATTCATCATTACAGGAGCTTGTAAAGGAATGTAACCATTCTTGGCCAAGAAGGACAAGCCGTAATTGATCAAAGCTTGATTCAAGAATACCCCATAGTTACGCAAAAAGTAACCCCTGTGACCAACAACACGTACGCCGCGTTCAGGATCGTACCCATCAAGTCTTAATAAAATTTCATGATGAGATAATTTGGCTGGAGCACCAGTGCAAGCGGCAACCTTGCCGATCTCAATGCATGTGTCGGGCTTCCAAGTTCTAACAAGTTCGTTGTTTTCTTCATCCATTGAATCAACAACTGACTCATGAACAATATTGCCAACATTATTCAATTTGGCCTTCCACTTTTTCTCAGCCTCGGCTTCGGCTTCGACTAGCTTTTTTTTGGCATCAGCCAAATCTTGCTTTTCTTTGAGAAGTTCAGAAGCATCCTCCTTGGCTTTAAACTTAGCAGCAAGCTCCTTTTGTAACTTATTAGTTGCCTTATTGTTTTGATCCAAGTCAAATCTCACCGTCGTCCAGGTCTTATAATCAGCGATAATTTCATCCACCAACTCTGTAGAAGCGCCACGCTTCTTTTGGGAGGCCTTGATCTTTTCTGGGTCACCCCCTTTGTCAATTAAAAAGGCATTAATATCCAACATCTTCGTCGATACTACGAGAGAAAAGAAAAAAAAAATTAATTCGTGTTGAAGAACGCGCGAAGAGGAGGTAGGCGTTAAGGGGTGAGGATGACCATATGCACTGTGAATTTGGTTTGTAAAATCAGTTTGTAAAATCAGTTGCTGGTGGGGATGACTTTTTTACGTGGTATTCAATTGTAGAGTTTTCATCGTGTTCTTAGCATGACATCAATCGAAGACATTTCGGCAATTGTTATCTTACAAATCGAAGTGCGTGTAGCTTGAGATCGCGTATGGAGTACTTATTGTTTGATAGGAAGATTAAAAAGTTACGTCCCGCAGAATTTGCAACTGGGTATATTGAAGCACTGTATACATGCCTCCAACAATTCCATCCGTTTCCACCTAAACGTCAGACTATCGCTGCTGTCAACTCCCTTTCACTCGAACGACAACAACACCGATTCTTGTTGAGTGGATGCGCCGACTCGCTGATTAAATTATGGGATGTAACAGATCCGGTTGAACCGGGGGCGCTCTCTTGTCTCGCTAGTATTAATCGGAGATCAGTACACCGTTTCGGTATATCATCCTTAAGCTGGTGGCCTCATGATTCTGGCATGTTTATATCAGGTTCGTTCGATCATACGGTTAAAATTTGGGACACCAATGAGTTGAATCCTGTTCATACTTTTCCAATAAATCATCGAGTTTTTTCCCTTGACATCGCAGATAAGGGAGATAACCTTGTGGCTGTAGGGAGTGATCAGCCCTTCATACAACTCCTTGACGTTCGCGGAGCACTGAGCGCACACACATTGACCGGTCACAAAGGTAAAACAATCGCAGTTAAATGGCACCCTCAAATACCGTACATTTTGGCTACAGGCGGTTATGATGGTGAAGTTAAAATCTGGGATATCCGACGAGCAAAATCATGCCTCTGTCGACTAGACATGCTTCAAACCAACACCGGTGATGGAAAAGGAAATAATTTACTGCGACAGTCTGTCAAAGCACATCTGGGACCTGTCAATGGGGTTGTATGGAACGACCTTGGTACTGAACTTTATACAGCTGCAAATGATGATAGAGTTAGAGTTTGGGATAACACGACGCATCAGCCACCTCCTGTCAATAAACTCATCAATTTCGGGCCATTGACAAGAAACAAATTTCCCCAGGTGATTCCCCTCGTTGTTACTCCAAATATGGAGTCTGAAGTTAGTCACCTTTTGTTTCCAAGTGACACCGGTGATGTTTTTGTGTTTAGAACTATTGACGGAAAAATAGTGAACAGACTTCCCAGACATGCTGAAAAACAAGGTCGCGTACTGTCAATGATCTATGGTTCACCTTTTCTGGCGCATATATATTGTGGCACTATCGATGGGGAAATTGTTACCTGGAGACCCGATTTTACCTGATGACTATGACTTTTTAATAGAGATGAGAATTGTTGATGAGACCGTATGGACTTATTCAATTGGACCGACTGAGCTCAATGACCGTTACTTTATTGCATAGTCAATGGCTTTATGTAGCATCCTCACAATTATAACCCCACAACAATCACAATCCATGTTTCCATTACGCGCGCGCGCTCTTTTTTTTGCACAACACAATCCTCTCATCCCTACTGCGCAAACACATGGCAAAGTGGAAGCTTCAAGTGGTCATTGTGCCACTTACCGAGAGCATTGGCTCAGGTAAAGGTGTTGAGCCATTCAAAAAATTGCTACACCTCACAGATCCGGCCTTGACCCTTCGAGAGGTGGGGGCGAATATCACCACTCAATACAAGAAACTCTATCCTACGGAAAATGCTCTCCGTGTGGATCGATTACAAGACGGCGATCAATTGGATTTGGACCCCGACTATACTGTGGAAGATGTTTTTGAACTGGGAGATCAGTGTCGAGCACTTGTAACAATTGATCGGCTCACGTCGAATCAAAACGAAACGGATGCAATCCCATTGGAAGTTACAAAGGATGCACCGGTGTTGGCGAGCCAAAACACTCAGAACTATTTCCAATCAAAAAACTCACAGATTCCTCAAAAGTCTCCACGTCCTCGTTCATCTCTTGAGGCTTCACCAGATATCGCGCCACAACGTCTGCCAAAGCTTTCTCCGCCACAAGACTCTGTCAGTCGAGATGTGCCCATCAAGCAGGCAATGACAGTCAAACCGCATAGAGTCACACTGGGTATGCTCAATGTGCCCAACCAGACTAAGATTGATGCGGCCGTGCTTGAGGACTCTGCGGATGTTCATGAGATACGTCGTGTGATTCCTGACGAAGACTTGAATTCGGTGACTCATAATGATGACGAAGACATTGCAAGCGTTTCAATGGAGCAATTGACTCGAGATTCAGATCTGCTGAAGACCACGGAAACTATGGAGAAAGATGAAGGTGTCAATTTGTTTAAGAAGCACATTCTCAAATTCTCTCAACAATCGAAAAAGGTGGAAAGCCCAATCCCAAAATCGTTAAATATTGACATGGTAGATTCACCTCACAAAGGCGAGGTCAGAGGTACTCGACTGAGTCGACGGACGATTCTGCACTCGAATGAAGATCAGGTGAGTACCTCGAAAGGAGCTGTCTCTTCTGCACGCACATTACCTGGTGGTAACGCTACCAAACGCGATGTCAAGTCGTCAGCGACCTCTTCTAAGACACAACCACAAGCCCAAGTATCGGAGTCTCACCTGAAAGCTCAACCGCAGCCTCTGAAAACCCTGAAAGCTCAACCGCAGCCTCTGAAAACCCTGAAAGCTCAACTGCAGCCTCTGAAAACCCTGAAAGCTCAACTGCAACTCACAAAAAATCAATCTCATCTTTCGAGCTCTGATCTGGAAATCTCGAAGAAGCTTCTGGCTCTCTCACGTCAATTTAACTACTTTGAGCAACGATTGGACAAATACAAAATAACGCGGGATACGAGGGCACCAGTATTTCCCGCGAAGGACTTACAAGCTCTTGATTTGATGGATTATCATTATGATGACGGCAGCGGATTACTGGAAGCTACCATTAGACTTTGTCCCAGGGAAGACGGCGAGAAAATCAAAGCTCAACGAGGTGAAGTAAAGGAAAGGGCATCTTCGACAGATACAGGCAAGAAAAGTGATAACAAAGTACAGCATTTTTTTGAATGCCCCGAAAATAGTCCCGGTGGAGGAGTCGATAATTCAAAGGGATCATTTTCGGGGGCCGAAATAATATCGGGACGCAGTACCATCCCCACCACTGGCGTCCGAGGAGCTACCACACCAAAAGCGACTTCCAAGCAAGATCTAAATTCTCAGGACACGAAGCGAGAAACGGAGAGTTTTGATTTCAATAGTCGTACGGCATCCAAGAGCGCAACAGGATCTGCTAAGGCCGCATTTCTCACAACTTTCTCAGGTGTCAAGACTGCTGGCACGGCATCAAAAGATAGGGAAAAGCTTTCTAAAATCGACACATCTCTCAAAATGAATCTGAGAGACGAGCCAGTTTCCAGTGGAGATGCAGATTCAACGACTCGTCACCTGGCCATGATCCACTCTCCCAATACCGAAGTGCGAGCACCAAGGATTGTGGGAGAACAGAGTGCCGAAAAAAAGAGTGGGAAAGAAGTGAGTCTGAAAGAGTCGGTGGCATCAAGTTCTGCCATAGGCGCAAGGATATTTTCAAAAGCCGATTTGCAGCCTCGCTCGAAACTGCATAATAATGGACAGCCTTCTAATGACACCAAATCGCAACGCTGGAAGTCAGGCGATTTCAACCAAGCTCATTCGGATACGTCTCAAGCGACGCGTGAAAGTCTGCCGGGGTTACAAGGACTGAACTCGACTCGACATAACGCCACTGCCATAAACTTGCTCTCTAATTTTGCACAGCAAAAGAGACGATCGGTATCACTGGGCCAAGCGCCAGCACCCACGAAGGATTATGAGGAACTGAAAAGGAGAGGCGACGAGATTCACAACTCTTTGTTGGGTGAGCTTCAAGAACCCAAAAACAATTCCACGCAGAACAAGTTGAGGCCATCCACGCCTGCCAGCAGTCGAGTCAATGAGCATCGTGAGAAAGATTTCTCGGGTATTACCCTGACGCATAGTTCTGGTGCTGAATCCTCAGATAGCGATTCCAGTGATTCGAGTGGATCTGAAGACAACGTGACATCGAGAAAAGCACGATTAGTTGCCAAACATCCCAAGCCAATATCACGAACGAACTCTGCGACCTCAACACCCATGAGCTCCAGGCCGCTGATATTCACAAAACGAACTTTTGCAGATCGTGACTTTTCGACGCCTCAACCGAAGCAGATCACCTCCCCAGCAAATTCCCACAAAGAAGTTGCCACAGAACCTATTTCGAAGATCAGGAAAATCGAGGGACGACTGCTTTCTCGGTTGAGCTCACTAAAAGACTTGCAAAAGTCTTCAAATCAGAAAGCTAATGCAGCCTCACCTGACGTCAGACCAGAGGTTCTTCCCAAAACCAACGGCTCTCTGAGGTCAAAGCCAATGCTGAAACGAAAATCAAATCCATTCTCTGGCCTGGACTCGCTGGATGATGATTCATCTGACAGCGAAAGTGAAACTCAAAAACTGAATCCTAAGTTTCTCACAGTACTGCGGGCAATGAATCGGAAAAGATCTTACGGTAGACTTGAGTCGAAATAATTCGCAGCTCGAATGTCTATATCTTGAGATATAATTCGATCCTATTAAATTTTAAAAAGCAACAGATAATTAAAAAGTTACGATGAATGAATACTTCATAATACGATATATTGCTACCTTTACAGTCCGAGGCAATTATAGTGAAGCCTTGAAATATGCCCGATAGACTTCTCCAAGAAATATCGCCCTATCCGGTCAAATCTGATTTTGATTTTTGTCAATTATAGGTGCGTTTGTCGACGAGTGAACGACCTATGACATTCCACGTCCAATGAGAATAAGAAATGTCTGGCGGTAGTTGTTTCGTAATAGCTTCCAATACATTATGATAAATGGCTCGAACAAATTCGGCAGCAACTTTTGGTTGCTCCCAGAAAAGGGCCCCCACATAAGCCTCAAAATAATCACCCAAAAACTCCTCTTGATAAACTCTTTCATCGTCATTCTGCTTCGATGACATCGAGCCGTACGTGGGAATGTACTCCTTCCTAATGACTCCATTGAGCTCATCATCTAAAATTCCTTGGTGAAGGCCATAAGCAAATGCGAGCTTAGCCAATAAGGTGTTTGTACCCAAGATCAACCGAAGCATGTGGTATAGGTGACATCTCATTTCAGATAACCTGCTCTTATCATACAACTCATATAAAAGAACCAGAGCTTCATGTGCTAGGAAAAAGTCTCCCATACCGTCGAAAAAAGAGAACTCAAATTTGAGGACATTATAATTACGAGGGTCCAAGCCATACCCTAACTCAAGGAGCCGATTTCCAAAAGGATGGTGACTTCGTAGCAAAGCACGATAGGTTTCGCGGTGCATCAAACCCCTGATAAGGAGATTTTTATCATGAATTGGCGGCAAACTTGGCAAGTCTATTGGTTCCCTCAAAGTCGGGGTCATCACAATTGTTCGTTTTGTTGTCCCAAATAGTTGCTCATAATTAACTTTGACACAATCAATATAGTCTCGCAACATTTCCAATACTTCAAACTCAATGGGATCCGTTATTATGCGAGGTATTAAGTTAACTCGCTGGCTATTAGCATCAATGTAGATTTGCAAAAGGCGATCCACAAAGAATCGCACATCTAGACCAATATCAACTGAAGATATGTAACTAATCAGAATGAAGATCCAACGGTAAAGGGGGAGCTTCTGATTGAAGGTAGTCATCGGTTGCCCCGCCGAAAGCGTTGCAACTCGTATTTCCTGGGCCATCAAGTTTAAAAATTGCTGTAGTTGTTGACCCGTGACGCTGTTTTCTTGTGATTCCCTTCGTATGAACGGAATCAGATCATGAATAGTATTCTTGATTTGACCCCCTCCGCCATTCATTAACGTTGATTGCATTTTCCGGTAAGTTTCCAATTTAAATAATTCACAGCCATGGTGGAACATGTGGGTCCGAACCCAAGGAATCTTTAACAAAGTACTGAAATGGTGAGGCAAGCTAATAGCTTCGACTTGTGGATTGGGTAAGTAGTTGGGCGCAGCAATTGCCAACATCCTCCTGATGGTTTTGGCTCTTGACATGTAATCGGCCTGCCTCGATCGAATACATATTTGACTGGTGTCCCACGAGGAGCTCCCCCATGTGGGGTTTCATAACCAGTGTGACGTAATGAGTGAGTCACGTCAGTTGTCGATAGAATGGCTTGTATTGCACGGAAAGCCAATAATACCATTCATCGGATGTCATTTACAATCGTAACAATGTGTAGCTGTGGTCTTAGGTTGTCAATGTTAGTTTTCGACTCACAAAATTAATTGAGTCGCATGGGAAACCTTTGGGGTTGAGAGTAAGAAGAGTAAAAGGACATATTTGTCGTTGTAGTTTAGGCCAGTGCTTCTTCGCTCATTGGAAGGCGTACAATGCATACGGATGAACGCAATGAGCATGTCTTCGTCGTGAAGTTTGGAAACGTAAGGATTCGATTTATGAAGTATGTAAAATGTGAATCATACAGACGGAATCTCTCAAAACTCGCGAATTAGGACCTTTGGGTATTCGAAGTGCAAACCTAGATCTCTCTCGATGACTCATCATGAGTTATTCTTTCTTGGATGCCATTCGTGTAGGACCTGATCTATCCCCTCGAAACCCCACAGTTTTCGCAATGCAGTGTAGTATAAAGCCATAATCGCAAGAAACGTCAGGTTCAGGACCGTCGAACCGTACGTAAGTATGATCATGAGTGGCGTTTACAATGAGATTATCTCCTTCGTGTCAGCAAAGAAATTACCTTTGGAAACCTCGTTTTGCGCAACCCCCTCTACGATCCTAGTTCGACTGCCAAGCTATGATCATCCTGGTAGAAATGAATGCAGACGTGTCGTGGTATGGTAGGATCTTGAACGTGCCCTCATCGATAAAGGATTTTATACTATTTATATTACATAACAGAGACACCGTTGGCCAAAACACGGTTGACCGAGTTGTTATTTCGTCATGTTGTGTAAACGCGAAAATGTATTTTTGACGTGATCTACATGCTAAACACAGTCAAGCATTGTTTGGTTGTTACAATAAGAAGAAGTGGTGCAACTTTCCATCGCCCATTGCAAATCCTGTTGGTTTTACAGGAGGCAAAAATCTCAACCCACGGCGGGATTCGAACCCACAATCGCTCGATTAGAAGTCGAGCGCCTTAACCATTGGGCCACGCGGGCATAATAATTTTTTGTTGTAAAGTACTTGCATCTGAAGTCTTTTAAACTTAAAAGAGAAATATCTCAACAATCTGGCTGGTTTACTGGCTTAGTGGATTATTTGGATATTCTTTAGAATTGGCCTTTTGTTGTTCCTTTTGTTTAGACCTTAAGCGAAGGTTACACGTTATTTTACGGACGATAGAGAGATACGCATGCAAGTTTTGACAAAAATGTAAACATTAAATTTAATGCAATTGATAAGATCAATGCAAAATCTATGCAGGGAATTTGCCACGCGTGTTGATGATAGATGAGGATATGGTGTAGTACCCGTTTTCATGGCAGACCAGGTCTTACGCTCCCTCAATGAAAATCGAAGTTCGACCTTTTGTGAATATGGCAGCTGAAACCCTTTGATTGAATACAACCCAACCTTTTAGATATGAACACAAGACTATATAAAATTAATAGACATACTTTAAGTCTCTGCGGAATCATAGTAGATTGCAATTAGAAATGAAGTGCTCCTTTTAACTTTTTGTCCAACACTAATGTTTCTATAATACTTTTGAGCGCCTTTTTAAGGCTCAGGTCCCATGGCACTATTATTGAACATACCGTTACACAGTCAAGATGTTCTTCACTGCGTTTGTGTCCTGTTGATTAATGATTAAGCAAACATGTCGGACTTGAACGCCGTTAGTCAAGTACAATTCTCATCAGAATGGAATGAACGCTGGAAATTTTGCAAAAGCTGAAAATACCTTGAAATGTCTTCTGGGTCAGTTGTGAAACTAAATTGTAACCTCCTGGGACCTACAGGAACGCATGAAACAAACTTGTTGAAAGCTTGAAGCTCAGAAAATATATATCGATGAACCCGTGTGGAGAGTCTGCTTACCCGAGACGCTCTTGAGCCAAAGCGAGCTTCCACTAAAATGAAACATCTACAGCCACCATCGAATATAATCCTTACCAATCATCTGATGGGGTTAAGGCCACAAAGAGAGCTACATGATGTGAAATATTAATGTGCTCACGATCAAGCCTAAAGCCCTTGCGTATGTCAACCACATGTGGAGGCTACTATAATTTAAGGAAGTTGAGCTCACTCTATATTGTATATTAAACAGTTTGTATCTTACAAACCTTGGTTGGCTCTTCTTCTGTCTCTTTCTTCAGCGATGGACAACTTGATACCCTTACCCTTAGGCAACGACACCCAGGGCTTACCGGCTTCTTCACCAATGACGAACACGTTGTTTTCTCTGGTGACGAAAGTGTGGTCTCTGGCATCCTTGATGTGGACCAAGTTGAAGCCACCTCTGTGGTGTTCTTGGTGGATGATAGTACCAATTCTACCCATGTTTCTACCACCAGTGACCATGACCAATCTACCGGTTTCGAACTTGATGAAGTCGGTGATCTTACCAGTGGCCAAGTCAATCTTGACGGTGTCGTTGACTCTGACCAAGGGGTCGGGGTATCTGATAGTTCTACCGTCGTGGGTAACGGCGTAAGGAATACCTCTCTTGCCCAATTGGACGGACTTGACCTTGCCCAACTTGTACGAAGCTTCTTCAGCGGTGATTCTGTGGACGGCAAATCTACCCTTGACGTCGTAGATCAATCTGAAGTTTTCGTTGGTAGCTTCAAGCGAGATGACGTCCATGAACCCGGCGGGGAAGGTGGTGTCAGTTCTCACCTTACCGTCGACCTTGACGTGTTCTTGCATGAGGATGGCCTTAACTTCCTTACCGTTCAAGGCGTACTTCAATCTGTTTCTGATGAAAACCACCAAGGGGAGCGATTCTCTCAACTTGTGGGGACCTTGCGAGGGTCTGGGGGCGTAGGTGCCGGACAACTTGTCCAACATCCAGTGGGAAGGAGCTGCCAATCTCTTCAAGTGCTTCTTGGGACCTCTAGCCATGGTGGTTGTGGATTAAGAGACTATTCGTCGTCGCTTCTTTTTTTTTCACTCGCGGCGCGACACCATGCGCCATCGCCGATGCGAAGAGACTAGGGCACATACCCTAACGACACGTGACTTCCAATATACGCATGTCTTAGAATTGGAGTAAATGGTGGTCCTCGTGCTTCAGTATGTCGTACCCATCCCCGTAGGACGTCGTAGATTTAATATTTCCGGACTAGCACTCTCAAGAAACTGCACCCGACCGCGAGTGACAACTGTTTGGCAGCTACTTAAACCACCTTGAGTCAGCAGTGAGCGAGTTCGTCGACGACTAAGTAGTCTTCGCGGGGAGCATTTATGTTCATTTACGTGTTCAGATTAGGCATGCTTCATTTCGAAATTTTCAACAAAACGTAAGCTTCAAGCCAAGACGCACCAAGAAAAGTTATAGAACCTCACAACATACATTCATCATGGTGTACGCCATCTTGAACGAATCTATCAGCTTAGGCTAATCTAATGGAGGAGGACCGCATAGTGGAGATTGATGATATCCATCAAGTGCCTCCACCAGCAAAAGGGATGTAGTTTGCTATAGTAATTTTTGCGGTTTTTGCGTTCAATATGGTACACCTTACACTGCTGAGTATTCGCCACGATTGCTGTTGCCAGTGACTTTTTTGAGAATCTCCAGCACAAATGCTGGCAACCCTCTAACAACGTCAACGAAGTTTTCAACGACCTCACGTAAAGCGCTCTGGAAGTCAATGGAGTTTCCCTTGTTATACTGAAACCAAGCCCCGCCAATTATGTATATACTCAAGAACAACACCATGAAGATGAAAATCCACGTGAACCACCCCCACAGCTCACCTTTATCTGCGTGACCCGAGTCATCCAGAGGATCTTTCTTCTTGTCACCACGTTTGGTAAGACATGCACCTTTAGTGACTATCTGAACCGTGACCTTGTGGCCATCCCAAGAAACAACTTCGAGGTTCCCTTTTTCCTTTGTCAGGTCACAAACGAAACGGAGCTCAGCATCGACCTTCTTCGAGCCCCATTGGACTCCCTCATACGTGATGATCACACCCTTGGATTCGTCGCCGTCAATAGCATTGAACTTTTTCGTCAGAGCTGAACCGATACCGATGATGTTTGTGGTTAATTCAGTATCCTTTACACGCACTTTGGTGATGCCACACACATCCAGACCATCAGGACAAGCGTCCACTTTGTCGATTGAAGAGCATACACCCACGTACCATGTTTGATTGGTCTCTGAAGGCGGGGTTTGCGTCAAATCCAGCACAGCATGAACACCACGTACCACCTCGAGATTGTATTTTTCAAGCTCGGGTATGGAGCAGTCAAACGCCATTGAGAATGCAGCGAAGGCTGTCACCAATGTTGCAAACGTTTTCATGGTGGTGGTAATTTAGTCACTCGCGCAATTATCGATAACCCCAATGTGTGGAACGAAAAAAGAACAAGCTTGAGATAATGCCCGCGGTTTGACCAGGAGTTCACTCCATCGCCATTAACAGTTTGTAGTATCCTTCAATAACTCTTGTTATTTCATATATTCTACTGTTGACACAACATAGCTCAAACAATATATTCGTACTTTATCTTGGACCTACCGAGTCGGCAGTCGGCAGTCGGCGGAACTGAACTAACGTCAATATTGGCTTATCGCATTCATCCGCTGACGTCATCAACGTTGTATATCCTTTAAATCGATCCTAAAATGCCTCCACAACTAGAGAGCAAGTGGGGAATGCATGTGAGAGTGAGAAGTGCACAATTACACCAAGAAAGCAGGGATTGAAGATGGAGTGTTCCATCATATATAATTGGGCCATGCTACTACTGCTACAATATATTTGACTAGTTTTATTCAAACTGAAGCATGCTAACGTGTCGGCTCTACGGAACAATGTTCCGAAATGGAGTCGATCACGTGATTTAATGTGGGGAGGCGGTACACCCGAGGAATCTCGGCTCACATGGCAAACATATATATACTGTTTAGTCCACATATAAATCGAACCAGTCGACAATGAAGGTAACAGTTTGTGGCGCTGCTGGGGGCATTGGCCAACCCCTTTCCCTTTTACTCAAATTAAACCCCCAAGTTACCGAGCTTGCTTTGTTTGATATCGTGAATGCTAAAGGTGTTGCCGCTGATTTAAGTCACATTAACACACCTGCCAAGGTTAATGGTTACCAACCTGCCTCAAAGGAGGATACTCAAGCTATCACCGAGGCTCTCAAGGGTACCGACTTGGTGGTTATCCCCGCTGGGGTTCCGAGAAAGCCAGGGATGACTCGAGCTGATTTGTTCAACATCAATGCATCAATTGTTCGTGATCTTGTGGCCAATATTGGCAGAACTGCACCGAATGCTTCAATTCTTATCATCTCAAATCCAGTGAACGCTACCGTACCGATTGCCGCCGAAACCTTGAAGAAGTTGGGAGTCTTCAATCCCAAAAAGCTTTTTGGCGTCACCACGTTGGACTCCGTGAGAGCAGAGACGTTCTTGGGTAATTTGATTGGCGAGAATCCTGACAATCTCAGAGGCAAATTGCTGGTGATCGGGGGACACTCCGGTGATACCATTGTGCCCCTTACGCATACTAACAATGCCATCGCGAAGAAGGTTGACAACTTGTCGAAGTCTCAATACGATGAGTTTGTCCACAGAGTGCAGTTTGGTGGGGATGAAGTTGTAAAAGCGAAAGACGGCGCTGGTTCCGCCACGTTGTCTATGGCGTACGCTGGATACAGATTCGCTGAAAACATCTTAAACCTGTTGAACGGAACATCCTCAAGTCAGGAAGTTCCCGACTCCGCTTATGTTTACTTGCCAGGAGTTCCGGGTGGCGACAAGCTTGTGAAGGAGAAGTTGAATGGTGCAACCTTCTTTTCAGTTCCGGTCATTTTGAAAAACGGTGAAGTTTCTGATTTCGTAAACCCTTTTGACAAATTGACTATCACCGAACTGGAAAATGAACTCATCAAGGTTGCCTTAGGTGGCTTGCAGAAGTCAATTGAGCAAGGTACAAATTTCGTAACCGGCACCAAGTTGTAGTTTTTAGCAATGATTAGACGATGTTAATCAAACAGATAACGCTTATACAATCAGACGTATCGTAACAATATGGGATGGAGTATAAAACGACAATTTTAAGATTCAGATATTCATCATAGATCGAGACGTATAAATAACGCTCAGCAAAAGAACTCAGTAAAAGAATAATCAGAATTGACGTATGTCATCTATTCACTTCCTCTTCGTACACCGTTAAATGGTTGCTCCACGATTTGCGTCTCAGCTAATCTACCTCAAATAATCAGCGTGTGGTTGATAACGGTATACATGTTGCCGCTTGGAAATTTTATTGTGTGTATCTTCGTGGAGAAAGAGGTTCGTGGGTGCAACGTAATAATCAAGCACCACCACGGTTATTAGGTTTGGGAAGTAGATTCCGTTTTTACTAGAGGATATTTAGAACTATTTAACTTCGGAGTGAGGGTCTCGTGATTGATGCACCAAGTACCAGCGTTTGATCTGAGATACAGATCCCTTGCACATTCCGTGTTAACCCGGTGTTCACATAACACGAGATGGTTGGTGTTCCGTGATAACCGGGTGTTTACATAACAGGACATGTTAGCAAGAACGCGGGCATTGGGCCTCACTCACGAGACATGAAGTGTTCTTGGCGAAAAAGAGTGAGAGGACCCGAGGGAAATGCCCGAGGTAATACCCGCCGATCCCAACAGCGGTGAATATAAGGATGGGAAAAATTGATCCCGCCCGGGCTCGATCCGGGGACCTTCAGTGTGTAAAACTAACGTCATAACCAACTAGACTACAGGACCATCCGCAAATTTTGTTGTATAGAGTTCGCACCTGAGGCTCTCAGGCCCAGGTCGCGATGACTCTGTGCAGGACATTTCTCAGAATATTAACGACAGACGAGGATATGGTCAGATACCCGTTTTACGGAAGACCAAGTCACAAGGGGGAGCCAGTGTGCCGTGGACGGCACCAAGGGAGGCTCTGGCATTAGTAAAATGCAAAGCCAGAAGGCACTGGCGTTTGTAAGATGAAACGCCGGGAAGCGATGCCCCGTGTGAAAATCCTGTGTAAAGTAAAACTCGTAGTATTTAAACTCGGCGGGATGTCGAGTTTGGAACCAAGTTATCAACAGCTAAAGTATTGTCTTTACTACGTCGGTTCTGATCTCGATATCCCGCCTTTCTTTATTGTCGGATTTTTGAGAGCACAGTATCTTCTGGAATTATACAATAAATTTTGTGGTATAAAGTAGGCCAGAAACCCATGTGGATGATCAGGTGACCTTGGTTTTCACTTACACACTAGTAAGATATTAATGCATACTTATAGATGTGGTAAGAGATGCGAACTCGGTCTATCGCGTAAGCCGCATGAACGGCACCCCGCTCATTG